TAATACCAAAAAAGAGATTACTTTAGATTTAGGAGTTCCTAGATACGTAAAACAAGAAATTAAATCCTTGAAACCTTATTTTAATTTGAAGTTTAGTTAGGAAAAATAACGGATATCCCTTAAATAAATACGTGACATGAGTTCAAATGAAGAAAAACTGGTGCAGTAACATCGTGAAACTGGTACAAGGTGGTCAGAATCATACATTACTTAACAACGATCTCTACACTAATAAAAATATTTTAACGCAATAATTCCATATCAAAAATTTTATTAAGATATTTTTAGTTTTTGTTGCAAATTTATAAGATTATGTCTTCGTATTTGTAAATGGTTGTGTGAAATGACTACTGAAAACTCAGCACATTTGTATATTTAATAGCTTAGAAAACCTTCTTAGAAATAAATACTATAACATTATGTAATGCATTCGTCGCGTCTTTGAAAAAACCGTTCCGTTTCCAACTATGACTTTAAGGCAAAGCTGGCACCGGAATTTTTTTATGGAAATCCTAACGACATGATAGTTGCATAAGTATTCTGGAATTTGCTGCCCTATACTATGAGAACATCTTGACAAAAGGCTTCACATTATATAATTAAAAATGAACCTATAAGAAATTGGGATATTAATCGTGATCATTATTAAATGTTACCGATTTTTTACCGACCTTTTTTTTTAATTTTCAACACAGACTGGCATTGAGATTTAACGCGATATGCCTTTTTATTTCGGTTTAAGGTCACGAAAGGAAAACGCTTGTCTTAAAATGTAGATCTTAAATCGTGGTCGAACGTAATAAGTGTAACGAACAATTATGGTTTTGGGTTCCTTGTATTATTTACAAAACCCATATAATTGTTTATCTACTTTTCTATTTATAAATATAAACTTTTAAATTTAACTTTCGTTATGGAAACTTTAGAAATTATTACATATATTTTAGATATTCTTAAATGAACAGATGCTCTCTTGTATTAATTACAATTATAGGAAGAATACACTGAATCGTATACGTAACAAAAATTCCCGCAAATATATAAAAAAAAATATAACAACTTTTAACTTTTCCGTTTTTTTTTTGATACTTTTATTAATCTCAGTCGTATATTGAATTTATAAATAAAAAACACTTACCAAATAATATGAGCATCCAAAGCTCCATTGTAATCCGATCCATCCATCCCATACTGACACGAAATGTTCACTGAAGTGTTTATTTACGTAAATATAGTCTCAACATACGCAACACAAACTCGCGAGCGTCTCGCGTAAGAAATGACTTCAAATGACTCGAGCCTTTAACGCAGTACGTACTATCACGGTCAGTAAGAAATTTGAATGTATGGCTAGTGTTTATTTTGTTTGGCTTATATTTTATGTACCAGTTTTTTCAGGATATTATGAATCATAATATATTTAATTATAATTCCCCAGACATTTTAGATTGTGAAGGTTTTATTTTTTTATATTAATCATAAATCGGTACTTGTATTTTTTTTGTTAAGGTAATGATTTGTTATAATGTACTGAATATTAAAAATTATAAAATTTTTGTTAGCTTGTAATTTAAAAATCATTGTATTTTTTTAATTTATGAAAACATAAAGTAATCAAAGAAGAAACAAATAAGTTTCCTTTTGAAATAAGTAAGCATTATTTGCTTTTATTAAACGATTATATCTACTGTCAGAAACTATAAAACAAATCATTATTTTTATCATTTATATAATTTTGATATATTTTTACATTACAAGAAAAATCGGAAGCAATATAATTTATGTAAAATAAATCTTTTTGGTGGATACAAAATACTGTGAGAACTAACAAGAATATCATTTTAAAAATTACATCATTATAGCTTTTAAGTATTAAGAGGGTCGTAAGCCTGAGTTGTCACCCTGGTTTATGCGACAGCAATATCTTTTTCCGATATGGAACAAAGAGTCTTCTTAATTCTCAAACCAACAACAGTGACTGGGAGTAAGCTACACCTTCTGTTGTGCATACATATATATTTAATAAATATACCCACAACCCTCATTGATGTGGATTAATGATCGAGAATGTTGTATGTAGCTGATTTAAATAAAAATTAAACATATATGTATATGAAACAAGCAATAAAACTTTTGAAGAGGAAATAGTGAACATACTTAAAAAAAATGTTACATATCTTTAAATTTAGAGCCAAACTCTACTTATACCGAGTAATATAATTATTACTTGAAACCAAAGTAAAATTATGAATTTTAGATCGACTTCATAAGTTATTTTACTAAGATACTAATATAATGAGCATTTAGTTTATAGTTCCCACAATTAATTACCTTTAGAGGACAATGCTCAAACGTCAGTAAGTTGTGAATTGTCATTGTGTGTATGACAATAATATTAAAGTAAACAAAGTAACCGTTTGTGTTTTGAAGGCTGTCTTTGTTATTATTTCTGTAATATTTTCGTTAACTAGATAACATCCTATTGAGAAATTGCCGAAAATATTTCCTTTTAACATTTGATTTATTCAATTTATTTTTTATTTATTCGTAAAGAGAAAATCTTGTGTACCTACTGCGTGTGGATATTATGTACTGCGTGTGAAAAAGTAGTCTACAATTTAAGACTGAATACAAAAGACAAAAATAAAAGTAAATAAATTACTGCTGTGTATATCTTACGCAATATGTCGTAGCTACAAATATTCTCAACTTTTTACAGGCGATTAAAATTGTAATTTAAAAAGAAACATCGCCTTTTATGTTGGTTTACCACATTTGCTATACAATATATACAGGCACATTTTATTTTTAAACTATCATTCTTCACTATTATATTTATAGAATTCAAGTTGATAAAAATAGTCTTGGTTCAAGTAAAGGCCATGTAATAATCTATTTCCTTATTTTTTCTTTAACGTTTAAAATGTACTCATTTATTGATTTCGTATAAATAAGTCATAAGTCATTCATAACATACTTACAGGCACTTATAACTTCTTTCATAGCAAAAAGAAAATTACGTTAATATATTTATTTTATTTTTTGGTAAGAAAAATTTAAAAAATCAAAATAATAGTATACAACACCACATTACATTAGTCCCTGACAAGAATGTATAATATTCAGTTTTTAGTAACAATAAAGGTTTTAGACCACAATGGCCCATTAAATTATAGTTATTATTATATATTTCGTTAAAAAGTCTCAATTTTGAAAAACATTAAAAGGTCTTATTACATTAATTTTCCATTCGACAACAAATTTTTTTTTATTGTTCCTATCTTGATAAACTAAGTACAATAATTGTAATTTATTTACGTTTTTCTTAAATACCTTCGTGAATGACGGGATCACCAAATTCCATTATGTATATCGATTGAAGGCAAAAACAAAATATAGAATTTTATTGCGGTCAAAAACCTTAAAAGAATATTTCATTCATAAATACGTTGTATCAAAAAGATAAATTTGCTTTTATTTTATTCCAGGAAAAAACCATTGACTGACGTTATAGTAAAATACTATGAATTATAAAATAGTACTTTTATAATTACTTATTAAATAATTAAATTAAAATTAAAGGTTCTGTACAAAAAATAAAAAGTAAAATTAAAATTAAACGTAACAATGGTATGAAACTATTATAAACTATATACTAATAAGGAATTTAAACAACTATACTCTGTATACGTAAAAAATATTTTTCATGGCGTAATTTATGTAACAGTTATTTATTTTTCTTACGAGATCCGTTTGGTCTAATTAGCAGGTTATCTCATGGCTAAAGTTTAAAGAAATTCCAATAAATGTAAGCCTACCTCTTACCATATTCAAAATTATTATCGTCCTATTCCATTGCAAAATGGTATTAAGGTAAAAGCCCTAAACAATTATCGACATAATCACGATACGTCTCTTGGAATTAATTAAACATACACCCACATCTATTAGCACTCTTCCCACACTCGCCCACAGAGATGTTGTATGTATTATTATAAAGATTTTTTAGACATGTATATGTTTACATGAAGTCATACTTTACCAAAAATATTTTCATATCATATTGATAAATTAACCTGAAACCTGCGATTTCATTTGCGTATATAAATTAAATAGGATTTCGTAATTGCAGGCACTGATAGTTGACCTGTGACCAATTATAAATCCTTATAAAAATCATAAATGAAAATGTAAATAACTTTCTATGCAATGTTTTTGTACTATCGCTTAGGATAAAAATCATAAAAATCCAAAAAAAAAAAAACAATTTCGTGAATCCAATTTTATATACGTTAATTAGTCTTTCTTTTAAGTCCTACTTCCTCAGAAACAGCGAATTAGACAACTATTGCTTTTAGAGCCGTGCATATCATAATACGAATAACATATATGTTTTGTAACAGTCGCTAAAAATAACGAATTCACAGACGAACCTCATTCAAGGATATTGTAAAAATTATAAATTAACAATTTCAACCGGATTCTAGAACTGTAGAAACATATTTAAAATGATCTCTTTCCGTGTATCTATATCCTTATTTTTTAGCATAATCGTATATCGAAATGTGTAAATTCCTACATTTAAATTGCATATATTATACCAGTAATAATATTATATTTTATGATATATACGGCGTATGATAATATGAGGTCTGGACAGGCCTCATATTTTAGTAGGTTGCAGAGAGATTTAGCAATTATACCTCTTGCTTCCACTTCTATTTCGAGTTAGTTCGTTAGTGAGCTCGTAATATTTATAAAACTTGATATCATGGTCTTTTGAGATGTTGGTTTCCCAAGGAACTATAAGCTCTATCATCAAAACGTCCTAAAAATTCTCAAATATACAAAAAAGGCCGGCGCACAAATATCCTCGGGGATTTTGTATTGTTTTTAATACGTATCCATCATTATAGTCCAATCCGAAACCGCTTTAAGGATAGAGTGAGGCTTAAGTAAAATTAAAATAAAACAGATGTAACTTAATACATAACATATATTTACAAAAATATTTCATCAATGAGTTTCTTATCTATGACCCTGTGTGGTTTCGGTCTTGACTGTTTCCTTCTTCGTCTGTAAAGTCTAGCATTTAGTGGGTACAGAGCTGGCGAGAGTGAGCATCGAACATTGAACCACCAGTCACACGACGCTACCCCCTGTGAGAAAACTGTGCCATTGGGACAAAGAAACGATGCTTGCCTCCCGTCAATGTCACAGTAATGCCAGGCTGAAAATAATAAATAATATTAAAATATGTACCTAATATTACATATATCATATAGGATATTTCTTTTTAAAAAAGTAGGCTTTGTGCAATATTTTGACATTTTTAAAAGATACGAGTATAGGTATAGTTTGGACATTTCTATCTTACTTTCGATATCTTAATGATTTTTCAGCGGTTACATTAAATACATATTTAAAAGCAAATATAATTTGAGTTAGATACATTCCTTTGCTCGTTTAATCTCGTAAATCTTCTACTTGAAGCTAAAAATAGCTAATAGGAAAAAATCCGTAAAAATATTATGATAAAGTTTTTTAATTCATTTTATATTAAAATACAAAATGGATCCGCGAAGTAATCTAAATGTCAAAAGCTGAATTTTTTTTATAAAAATAAACTAATAGGTGAATTTTTTGTATCGTTTCCAATTTAGACTCAAATCGTGCCTTGTAAGGTTTTTATCGCAATTCTAAACGCTGTATATATTTAAGGGAATCCTATTTTTTTTTTACAACTCTTGTTAGCTTTATAAATCAAAGTGAGCCGCTTACATGGTGAATCAATTATAAAAAACTCGTTTTAATATTAAAGTCTAAATATTTTTTAATTAAATGCAATATTTTAAATTCTAGTGCTACAGGTGAATAATGTCGAAATTGAGTAATCATAAGTAGTTATGTTATGCAACATATATACACACGTATAAAAATATATACGGTTTTATGACTTGTAAATAATGTGTAAGTATTTAAGTGGTAATAAAATTACCTCTAACTATTTCTAGGAATTGAAATAATAACAAATTTATATTTCTCAGTGCATCCATAGCAAATGGTTAGGTAAAGAATGTTTCTTGTTTTAAAAAGAAAATATTATATTCTTTTCGTAACATATAAGTAAATATAGAATTTTACGCTTAATCGTTTCCTTGTGTTGTATATAACGCTTACAAATATTGCAAAAAGTTACAAAAGCTATGAACAAAACCCTCTCCCACTTATCATCAAATACATAACACGATCTAAACGTTACAAAAGCATTCAATAGAATCATTAGTATCTCACGATATATATATTATATAAGGCTTAGCCTGTAAGGACATAATATCTGAACATTAGATGATTGATTCGCTTCCGCGTCTTCTCAATAATTAGTTGACCTCTCAGCTAAAGGCCATCCCATATCCTAATCTAGTAAGCCCAAGGTCATCTTAAACTTGTAGGTTCAACTTAGCAAAACAATCGGTCACGATTCACGCCTACGTTTTGTCATTTACAAATTATTCGGGATTTAAACAATGCTTATAAATATTACGTATCAGATTATAGTTTCTAAATCATGACCATGTTTGGCTCCCACGGAGTTTTAATTTCTATAAACAAATAGACAAAATACTTTCATGGATCAAAAAAAGTCGAGGTCTACTCATTCCGCCTGACCCACATCGATATATTATTGTTCAAAACATCATTAGCCGTTGTAAAAGTATATTTTATGATCATTGTCGTGTAATAAATTAATATCGTAACGATTATTAAAATTTCATTATATTAATATTAATTGATTTGATTTAATTCCTGTTTATTTTTTGTTATATAATTTTATTGTAAAGAGTATTTTTTTTTCTTTTCTATTCAATAAGAACATCTTTCATATAGATTTTAAATTATAACATTTCTAATAATGGAAAATAAAGATATATTTTTGTGCTTAATTATCTATTTTAAAATGAAACTAATATTTTCCGATTTAGTACGTGATTTTTTATTTTTGACTACATACTACATACTACCGACGTTTCGGTTACTTTACAGCAACCGTGAACACGGGTAGACGAGATGATTGATTATGCATTATTTTCAAAGAAGTAATAAAAAAATTGTATTGGCCATATCGAGAATCCGATTTGATCTATGAACTTCTAAGATGGTAATAAAAGATAAAATATAATATTAATATCGTCTACGTCGTTGAATAATATTAAAAAAATCGAACAAATATTCAATACCTTGACATCTAGTCTCCATATCAGCGAAGAACCCTGGATAAGGTTGGTCGTCACAGTAAAAATTTGTGTACGGAACGGCGCCTAGTACTGGGTAGTCCGTTCCCGGTTTACCTGTAACAATAAAACTATTAGGAAACGAAGAAAATCGTATCTCTAACAATAAATACTTATTATAAAAAAATACTTTGAAGTAAGTAGTAATAAATATTTCATAATTCTTCTATTTATTATGACCAATGCAAGCTACCTGGTAATTGTAAGGATTTTTCGAATCATTGTCAAATATATAAATGTATGTATGTATGCATATGTGCAAAGATGTTATAATGAAAACTTAAAATATTTTCTAAATAAAAATAAAATATATATATCGTTTAATTATATTATACATTGTTCAAAAATGATAAGCGCTTGTTGTTCGTCTGTTCGGATATACAATTTTGAATTTCAAAATATAGAAAACACTAGAAGACCCGGCGAACTTCGTATCGCCCTATAATCAAGAACTATCTGTTACGTTTTTTATTTATATTTTTGGAGTTTACCTGTAAGCCATAAATCTCCGTGTTTTGAAGTGCGACAGAATGATTGACATATTAGTTAGTTGTCAAATCTAATGTCAAAAAAAGAACGTTTGTATGGGAAATAGAAAAGGGCTGTTTTTATGGTTTTCCCAGTAATGAATCAATTTTTTTCAGCTTTTATACCTTCCCTGAATCTCCACGAACATTTGAAGACTAAGATAACATAAATCCGTTTATCTGTTCTCGAGTTTTAGCGAGACTAAGGAACAGCAATCCATTTTTATATATATAGAAGATAATATTTTTTTTTACTTTGTAAGCTTATAAACAATACATTTCAACATTGTTATAATTTTATTTAGAACTCTCAAGTCTGAAACAAAGTGAACTCGAAGATTAGTCTTAGACTTAATCACTGTCTGCTATTGCAAATATTCTGTTTTGTTCCAGGAAAAGCCTCATTATGATCGTCCGTATAAGCGTCGCTGCCAGTCGTCTAGATATCGAAAGTGCAATACTTTCACTGGCCATTACCCTTACTATTGGTTCATTAAAGTTATAGTTATACAATATATATTTTTTAAATTTACTTCATATTTTTTTACTTAATACAGATCATTCGTTTGCATATTTTTGATACGTTATATCATATTTTTTTAAGCATTACATAATCAAATGTTACAACGTGGTGTAACACAATATTTACTTATGTATTAAATAGTCTTCCGATCGCAGAATTAACCTTCAAAATCAACAACCGTGTGGTTCTTTTTTGTATTATATCACAATGAAACGTTATTAAAACCAAATCAATGCAGTGGTAATTCGAGAACCAATAGTAACGAATTGCTGTAAGGGCCAAACTGTATCTATTATTCCTTTGACCTTTCGTTCATTCTAACTGTAACAACTGACATTCACATAATTCCTTTGCAAAATCCTACTAAATTATATACTCCTCTTTGTCTTTGTTATCGAGCCTAAATATAGTCTCATTAATTAAGAGCTTTATATACTTCGAAAAAGCTTGCATAATATAAGAGTTTATTAATAGTAGATACGAAAACCATTTTTTTAACTGTTAATTATTATCGATAACGATTTCCTATAAAAACTACTTGTCTATTTAAAAGCTTCAACTTTTGATCTGATTAGATAAAATTTTAATCTAAATATACATTTAAAGACATAAAGCCGAGTCTTATATTGTAGTCTTTCTATTCAAACCTTTCAAACCGGTATGCAATCGTTAAAAAGAAAAAGGATGGTCTTTTCAACCAACTCGTAATTTAAGTAACATCAGATGACGGTTTGATTAATAATTAATTTTACTTTTACTATCGTCTTCAATTACCTAATTGCTCATGTTTTATAACTTAGCAATCTACTGGAATTATGTAACTCGGTAAATATTGAGTACACTAGTAAATAAATACCGACATACTAGTCTTTGTATATGTCATTCAAACAAACATAATATGAGATGCATCTTACTTATTTTATGTGTTCGTCATTTCTACAGTGGATAATTTGCAATTGCAATAGTAGCGCTATGGACATTTCGTCTAGTAAATAGAAAATATACCAGTGACAACAAAAAATAAATACAGTCACAAGATTTCTTTCGAGAATGGAAATACAAATGTGTATTACTTAAAACCACCTTATTTTCTTTCCTTACTTTTCTTAGTTTGATAGTGGTCCAATTACATCTTTTGTATATAACATTAAAGAGAAAAAAATAATATTCAAAATTACCTAAACTGCTATCAATAAATCTCGAGACAGCGTTGTTTTCGCAACTTCATGAATGTGTGCTTCAATGTGTGACCAGCATTCGCAGCACATGTTAATATTTCATAATTAGGTTACAGAACACTCAATGAAAGAGAGAAGTTTATTCTTTATTTTATTAAGCAAAGTCCATCAACTAATGCATCATGACATACAATTTTAAATATGAAAATATATATTTACAGCAGTCAAAAAGCGAAACGAAAAACAAAAATGGCCGTACATAAGGTGAGCGACAAAACAAGGTCGGATCATCACGTTTATGTAATAATTTGAGATGAGGCTCCACACGATGACATGATAATTCATACCTTCTTATAACATTGACATTGGTTTGTTCCCTTTTATATGTTCTGTATTAAGATTTTTTAAGCAACTTCTTATAAAAACGAGAAAATCAACTCAAAAAGAGAACAAAACGATAATCTTGATGTTCACATTGATACATTTGAGGTTGAATTGAGGATAATTTACTTTTTTTACTAACACATCTATCCATGTTCATTAAAACAAGTAAAACTATTTTTTTTATGACCATAATTTTTACTTTAAAAAATGTGAAAATTTAAATAGAACATAATTTCCATTTGGTTTCTCTAGTTTTTTCTAATGCTGTATTTCTTTATAACTTTTAAATTAGGTCATGGCCAACGAAAACTCTTGCCTAAATATTTTATACAAGATCCGATACAATGACTTTAAATCCCAAGACACTTGAACTTTGATATGACTACTTTTATTTCCCAACGATTACTAGTAATTTATTAATTAAAATGTTGTTGATGATTACTATCAATATAAATCATTACATTTAACGGACTTTATTCCACTCCAGTAAGTAAATACCCAAAACATATTTCAACACAAAATGAAGAAAGAAAATATCAAAACAAATTTTAAGTGTCTTTCCCCATAAAACATTTTAGACAATATGCAAAAGATATAAAAAGTAATGAAGCGTTCGTACTTGGTTACAAAAAGGTATTTACTATGTACTAACCTTGTATAAGCTGTTGCAAAATAACTTCTTTGATAAACTAAACATCGCAATAAAATGCAAAGTATTATGTTTGTAACCATAGATCATAAATGTGATAAATTATATTTTTTTAATATGTCGGTTATTTCCACGTGACCTTTTGACCTACCAATTAAAAAAATGATACAAATAATAAAAAAACAAAAATTAAACTATCAACTCCGACAGCGGGTACATCATTGCTAATAATTATCACAGGTAGGAAACATCTTCAATGCTAAAACAAGCTCGACTGGTTTGACAGGCTATATAAAGTTAAATATAAAAAAAACTCCATTGCGAATTGAATGTTTCATCCGATTTTTATAATACATGCCGATAAGAATAGATATTATGTTGGTCATTAATAATACACGTTAGATATGATGTCGCAATTTTATAAAGATCGTGATGCAACGCATACATGTATTGTTACAGTGATAAATATAAGACATATTTTCTGTCTATTGTGATATGGTTATAAATAAATCAAAGTTAGGTGATAAAATTAATTTGATAAAGCCTTTTTCCTCATAAACTTTGATTTTCTTGACATACAAAGCTCGTTACGTTTTATTCTTTATAAATTTTATCAGTGGTTTTACAAAGACATCGCTGATTCATTTTCCTACCTTGGTACCAATATGTTTATCAGCTCGCTACAGCAGTCATACTGTCAAAAGTTTAGATTTAACATTTTCTTAATGAATTATATATACTATACGATGTCTATCTAAGTGGTAATAATCTATTGACTCTACTCGTACTAATTAACTAAATCTATATTTAGGAGTTCATCCATTGTTGATTATTTTTTTAATGTAACTTTCATAAATCACATTATTATCGGTATTAGTGTGCTGCTTATATGTAATATGCATTTTGACTTTAATGATTTCAATTTAATAACCATATATTTATATATTTTGTAAATAGAAAAGATTGTAATATGTGAAACCTCTTAACTCTTACTTAACGGATAGTTCACGGTTGCGATCTCATTGGTAAATATGATGATTAATATGCAAATTTAATATAATTTAAAATTAAGATAAATTTTCATGATATAAGTGACATGCTTACAAAAATAAACTTATAAAATTAAAATTTGTCATATTAATTTAGAAGATACAAAATTTTTATAAAGAAATATCAAATATCGTTATTAAAATCGTATTTGTCAATTAATGTATGGAGTAAAGGTAAATAAAATAAAAAGTGAAGTCCCATATTCTACGCAAGGCAGGCAACAAACAAGGTATATTCGAGAACTGTTTATCAGTGTCATAATAGTCGCAATGCCAACATATTGCACAGCTGAATGAGGACAAAAACTTAGAATGGGCTCTGATTTAATTGCTTTATATATAATTATGTTATACGATATATAAGAATATATTTGGACAAAACTTTGTGACAAATAAACATTATATTCTTTGATCCTTTCTACATTTCAGTAGACAATTTTTAAAATTCAAATTTACATAATAAAAAAACAGATATCGAGCATTTAAAATTTGAAATACTGAAAGGAACATTGTTAGTAAAGAGCATTCACCTTAATTCTTAACGGACTTGATAGAAGGTCATATATAATAAACAATTACTTATCACACACATATGTACACAGCTTAACTTTAATCAAAAGCTTATTGAGAACATTGCATTAAAGCGATTTAACTAAAAGAGCGTTATCATTGCTCCTGTCAAAAAGATTTCTTAGATATGAAACTGAGTAAGCTTAATAAATTGGTTTTGAAGTATATTTAGATTTGATTTGAATTAGTTGAAGCCGAACTAATTACAACGTACGTTTTATGATGTTAATCACTATTGGTTCATATAATAGTAATGTTTATTACCACTTATACAATGTTGAAGTAATATTTTGAAAACATTTTCATAACCTTCATGTATGTATTTATTGGTGATTTCGTAAAACTCATACGTTATTAATGAAAGTTATGAAATAGGTTCCATTTATTCGCATGTCATGTTTTCACTGACACCTTCGCACAATGTATCTTATAAAACGAGTGTGTTTTGTGTATAAATGATCAATGGATTCAAAAAAATAGTTTTTTTTTTAACATTTTTCATTTCATCTACATAATAAATATAGGTATTGACACAGTCATCAATAGTTATTACATTATTATAATTTATATTATTATTAAAAACATATATTGCTGTACCTTATGCATGATTGCAAATTATGGTGCCAATAAAAGATTGAATTTTGTTTATGACTTTTGTAGTAAAATATTAACAAGTCTAGCCTATATTAAGAAATATTTTCGAAAACCGTCCATAATATTTATTTCTTTTGCTAACTTATAAGTAGCTTTTCAACATTTCATCGTAAAGATTTGATGTCTATTTGTCTAAAATTACCAACTTTTACGTTTCATCTTATATATCTTCCAAATATTATGTTTGTATATATAGGTATACATGGTGTAGGTTTGTAGTATTTATATATAGAAATAACTTTGCCTACAACACACGCGTGCTCGCCAACTCGTCCCGAATATATTGTGCATGTTGCCAATAAACTACTGGTTAGCGATTTCTTAATCACATTCTATGTGCCACGCAAATGCCTTTAAGTACCAAGCCGTCCGATGCATAGACAACGACTATTGAAAAAGGTGTTAGTGTTGCAATGAACTTGAAACACTTTTAAAGTTACGTTAAAATAGGTACATACCAATGTTTTAAGGATTATAAAAAAATATATATAAGTAAAAGAGCATTTTAGTGTCTGTCATAGCTCTCGTATATGTTTCGCACTGTTTCTTAGTTTTAAAATAACTGATACATACGAATTAATAAATAATTTTATGGCATTTAAAGTAAAAAGAGCGTATAATAATTTCACTTAATTTCAAATTGCTTATGCGTGTGTTATCATAAACGCTATAACTCCTTGATCTATTTTTAATATTATAGATTGCACAACTTCGTACAATGGTGTGCCCAAAACACAATGATTACATTCATAATGGACGATTGTTAACACAATTAAGAACCAAGCTTCAACAGCAAGGCTGTGTAGTGCACGCCATAGGTTTAGTTGTTGACTGTAGTGTATATATATATTAAATATATATTGCAAATATTCACTTCTAATGAGAAACAAAACAATTTTCCCGTACAATTAAAACTTTGAGGTCAATGATATGTTAAAATTAATTTCTATGTTGGTAAATTTTAATGCATACATCAATTTTATAAGTTATGTTTGGTATGTTTAATCATATTTAAATTAGATGCACTTGTAAGTAGTAGACCTTGACTCGACCAAAACAGAGAGAAGCGACGCTTGTACAACCTTTAACCGTGATTTTTCTTTACAATATAATAACTTTTATTCCATTCATTGGACATGTTTTTATATACCTACATATAAAGTTAATTCCATCTTCATAGTTGTGTGAAAGACCTTTAGAGACATATAAATATGGAATCACGTTTCTTATATCATTTCACACCTTTGAGAAACTGATTCATGACATGTGAACCTTGTTCAAGTACGATGTACATCCGCTAAGGTCAAAATGCTTTATAATGTTCCAATTAAAAGGTATTGAAAATGATCTTTAAATAAAATCTTACATTTAAAACTAAATATTTTAGAATTTGAAGCTTATTTAAATGGATATCGTACTTACGATACGTTTATTATTATAAAACGCGTTTTCATTGATTAAAGTTGTAATTAAAATAATCATTGTATTTATCGCGATATTTGAATACCTTATTAGATTATTATTGATTGTGTGTACACAATCAAAATCATAAATAAACTCTTAAATTTTCGTGAATTTATAGAAAACCTTTCAAATAATATTAACCAATTAAAAGAGCAATAGCAAATCAAACTTCCCAGAACTTAAGATATAATACATGAATACCTTGTTTTACAGCTTTACCCAACAGAATATAATTCGTTTCTTCAACCATCATGGTTATAGAATTACTTATAACATTAAAATCTTTGTGTAGTTAAATTGATATAAATCATAAGTTGTTTGCAATCTCTATGACGTAATACAGTTATAAAAAGGATGTGATATGATGCACTTCTTGTGTATGATAGTGTGAAATACCTACTATGTTTAAGTTAAGTTAATAGTCATAAAGCCTATTGAATTCTATGAGAAAGTTGACAGGGATATAATATTTGATAATCTTAGGTAAAACGTATTGAACATAATAATATGCATACGACAATATATAATTTTAATGTTATTCAAAACAAAAATCAAGGAACTCAATTCTAATATATTTTATGATGTATAAAATGATCGAAAAACTTTGTTTCTTTTAAATAATACGACATTCCTTAAACTTATGTTGTTGACCTTTACCAAATGTCCTATCATAAAAGCACTAATGAGTGTCCTCAAAATAATTCATAAAATAAAATCTTGAATATTGAATAACAATTAAAAATATATGAATAAAACAGTTGTCCTTAATGAATACGTGAAAACAATAACAAAATTTAAATAATACAAAAAGAAGTAACTTGTCTCAACATATGAATATAAAAATAATTCGTCAATTAATTTTCTTAACACAAAACCCATTACTATGTTTTAAGTAAAATTTCTTCAATACTCTTTGTGCCAATTATTTTGCATTTAACCCAAAAAAAATATGCTCGTCAGCCTTGTAAGAAGCTGCTCTAATTGTATTTATTTTCGTCGTGAGAATCAGCTACAAGTATTTCAAGTTTAAGGTAAGGCAGATTAATTATAATTTAAGACAAAAATATAATTTTAAATTAAATATTCCGTTACAGTTTAATAGACTAGTATCTTATGAGTAATAATTCAAACAATATGCTCATAACAATCTAATCAATATTTTCGTGAAGGACTTATAAATACTAATTCATTCATTAACAATATTAGTAGCGCTAGTACAGTTATATACTGCACTTATAAGTTACAACAATTGTGGTGTAGCACAGGACGTAAATAAACTACTTCAACTAAACCTCCTACGTGAACTTTTGAAACCATCGAACACTTTTCGCATATAATATACATACATATATGTCAATATTATATATTACATACTTATAACGCCTAACAGTTAATCTTACCAGGTATTGCCATCCCTAATTCCAAGTACTCCTTAACGGAAGCCTTGATGAATGAGACTGGCGGCACAGGGTCGGTGATCGGTTCAGGGGCATCCAAAGCCTGTGCCGGTTCTGGCACCGCATCAGCCCTTAGACGCTTCACTCGGGTGCCATCTTGCGAACCTCCTGTCAGAAATTTCAAAAATAATATTGTATACATTATAACACATATTAATTTTTGAAGACATATTGGAAAGTTTTATATTAAATACTATGTAATATATGGTTTTATTGACATAATTAATGCCAGATAAATAAAATTAAAAAAAGACAAATTATGTATTCAAAGAATTTAAGTGAGTCTGGGTATATATATCGTTTCACAGGATACTACTTAATATTAATTGTTTTTAATTATTGTTTCAGACAGATAGCCACGAAACGACACCCAGCAACGCTAAACTATATTTATGAATATATTTCAGTTACAACTATGATCAGAAATAAATAAGATGCTTGAGACAAAAATAATAATTCATTATATGCCTATGCTCCCAGGGGCAATTTTATTAAGCTTAAAGTAAATATAGGTCTATACCTACGAGCAATAAGTTTTGTATAATATCTTCTAATAACATTATCATATCCGTTATTCAGTTAGTATATTTGTCATTTGTCAATATTAACTCAGACGCACTAACATACGGGTATGTACACACATAAGCCCCATCTCTCTTACATAAATGCAAGCGAGCATGCCTAGGTACGTGCTTGAACTTAATTAAGATATGGCTATAATAGATACATTGTAAGAACACATATTCCATTAAATCATATTTCCTACAAAGGTTAATTGGGCCTTTTTAACATCTTACGACATCTCATGTATCAACGAAACAACAGAAATAAAAAGAAAATAAATTATATTTGACATATTAAAAAAAATATTAATTATAATCAGCAAAAAATAATTAAGAAACAAAGGCGTCGATAAAAAAAAATATTATACTATTTAATTTAAAAAGACTCACCAATAACTGTTAATAAAGATATAAAAATCGCTGATAAAACACGATAATACTTTCTTCCACTCATCCTGTAAATATACTTCCAAGAACTTTTTAAAAACCACTATGACATTCTGTATTAACACTATGCTACTTCAATTATATTAAAGAAACAACCGAATTAATCATCAATGATTCATTGAAGATTTTCATATACGAATTTATTCGCAACCACTATGCTAAGTTGTGTAAGTTCGAAGCGGCGTGCTGTTTGAGACACAGGTAAACCCGCAATGTTCGCTGAACGCGCTCATGACACTCTTACATAAACCACAAACCAAAAGCAGTAATACAATTTATCTGACCTCTAACTTATATATGAGCGCTTCAAGTTTAATAGATATCTTTTTTTACAAATATTTTTAATAGAATTCATAACATCCGCATTTAATATAAGTATCTAACAATGAGAGCCAGTTTTTTAGTTAGTGAACAATAAAATCATTATTTGAAGAGTAATGCATCTATATCCTGTTTAATGTTTTGCTCTTTTTCAGTATATCCAACTGCTCTTACTGCAAAATCTATTAACTCCATGTTTTTTTTAAGATTTCACCGAGAGTATACTTTTTATTATATTTCTCTGTTTTAAACTATTTGATTGATCTTTAGCAATTTATAACTAAAAATTACATTGTTACCTAAACACATAATACTTTTACATATTCTGTAAGCCAGTTCATTTTGATGTATTACTTAGTTCATTTGATTGTTTCAAAACCATATTTCAAGACTCTTTGGCATTTTAAATTGATATTATAAAAAATATTAAATTGATATTATAGAAAAAATGTGTCCTTAGGAATTTAAAGTATACACAAGGTAGGTACACTTTAACAATTTATGGTACACAAAAGTTACACATTAAAAAGCCTAACTCTTTTTGGAGAGTTGGATATAAAAAGTTATACAAGGTAGGTATACGTATATATTAAGATTCAAAGCCAAAACTGTCTGCTATTAACAAGGGAAAAAATATTGAAATGTTAAATTTCGACTTGACTATAACTGAGACCTAAAAAAGATGTTCAAGAATCAAGCATCAACAGAAACTTTGTCTTTATAAAATGCTTATATTGTTTAAAGGTTTAAAAAAATACATTTTCTAGATTAATATTAACCTTAACTTGCTTTCGTAAAGGATACTCATATCTATAATCCAATAAGTTGTTTTTATCCTTTCAACGAATCCCATATTGCGACGATTGATGAATTAATACACGTCTTTTTTTTTATTGTGTATTGACTAATAAACAAATTATGTACGAAATAAGTAATATTCAATATACATATTTATACAATTCGTTTATTAAGTTACAACACGATGATATCAAAATTAATAATAATTCTAAATATGAAGAATTAATTGGAAGGAATATCATTTCATATTATTTTGTGAGATCAAATTTGAAACAAAATATTTATTAGTCCGGTCAAATTAGACATTCGAATTTATCTAAATTCCCATCAAGCTGAAAATCGGTAAGGTTGTTTGAAATATCATTAAAAAAAGTTCCCCATCTCTTTCCTGTAAGAAAATTTTTTATTCCAGATCAAAGGTAAAAAATGAGTTTTTTGCAATTTTTAGCAAAACGGTAAGTTTTATCATAAAAAAATCTCATGAAAAATTGTAGATCATAAAATTATCTGCAAGGAAATAATTAATACTTTTTTGTCTGCGAGCCACCGTTTTTGAGATATAACTATTCAAAAAGATGTAATATACCGTTGTGCTCATAATCGTATTCAATATGTTAGTTATTAGAAATATATTTGACACTAACGTGATTCAAAATATATAAATACATCCACTAATACTACTAAGACCAATATTTAATTTAAATTGAATATCACCTTGGATACGCTATTTTTTTGTAATTTTAGTGTTTATATAATCGTTACATTTTTCTATTATATTTGTTTTGTTTGTTGAAATTTCATATGGCAACTTTGAACTATCTGCCATAGCCTATTGTTAAACGAAAGTTTCAGTTTTGAACTTAAAAGTGAAGTTACCATTTTTCACAATTTAAAACTGTCGGTATTTAAAACAATAAGTGAAGTGTATGTGTATTGTTTTTTTTAATAGTTGAAGATAGGTAGTAATTTTATGTAACGGGCTTCGTTTTAAAATGTCTCATTTCAACTAAGCATATAGTTGAAATAGTCTACCATTAATGTTTATTTGCGTTTTAGTTAGTACATTAAGAAGAGTACAAATTATGATAACTTTTATCATAATTTAATGAAGTTCTCTAAACGGTAAACGATGGAGGTAAAAAATAAGAAATGTTGTCCGAAGTGTTCTCAGTTTTATAATATTAAATGTAAGTTGAATGAACATAAGAATTGTCTTTGTAAATAAAGTGATGAAATAAATTTTGTTTCAGCATAATTTAAATATACCTATCATACTTTCCCTTAATATGTAATTCGATTTTGAATGTTATGATTAAATGCTCATTAAAAGATTATTACAATAATACCATTACATATTATTATAAAACAGTTGAAGGGTTATGTTAAAAAAAAACATTATAAACATATATATAAATCATGCTTCTTGAGATCACTTGGAGATAAAATTACAAATATAACATCTTTTTCAGATTTGGATTCAAAAGCTGTGGGTGGTAATGTACCACTCTTTCTACCATGTGGTCACACTGTATGTGAAAACTGTATTAGGACTCTGATTAAGTGTGAACCTTTAATTGATTGTCCAATATGTGAACACAAAACAAACATAAGTTCATCTGATATAGCATTAATAGCCCTGAACAAGTCTGCCGTATATGATTTCTTTCCTATCAATCATAATATGTTAGGCGAACTTATCTTACCATGTTCAAAGGTATTATTACTAATTTATAATATACTTTTGCATTATTCTTTGAAATAATCAATTAATGAAGGAATAATAATTTTTCTTACAACTTTAATATCTATTTATATTTCTTAAACTGCTAAAACCCATATCACATCTTAAAGTACAGTTTTACTAAATATTAAATAACAATGTTTTATTTTTCAGCCAAACATTAATACATCTAGCTCAGATGAAGAATATTTTCTTAATATCACGGAACTGATTAAAACTACAGAATCATCAAAAGGTGTATAATTTTTTTAATGTTTTCTTGTGAAAAGTTACTCTAGAAAGAAATTGAGACTCTAATACCCAAAAATTATTTCATTCTGTAACAATTCCCTTTTCAACTTGTTAAATTTTTTTTAAGATCTTTCACCCAACATTTCAATAAATATAATCTATACTATATATAAGTTTTACATGAAATAATTTATATTTTTTATAAATAGGTGCATGTGTGGAATGTAAACAACCAACTTCAAAAATTTGCGAGCAATGTAGCATTATAGTTTGCGAAAATTGCTTCATTAAGAGTCATAAGAATTTTGTGATTTTCAAAAGTCACACACTTCAAAATCTTAGTAAGTTACATCTTTATTATGGTGTATAATATTTTAATTAAAAAATTATATTATCAAAGGAATTGTTTAAGTGATTATCATAAAAAAATATCCCAACAACTGATGTTAATCCATCTTTGTATATACTTTTATGTTATTGCTATGAGGTTTAGACTTTGACTATTGAAAAATATATATTATATCTTTTTCAGATGTTAAATCAGAAAGTGCTTTTTGTCATATACACAAGACCAAATCATTGGACTACTATTGCAATGATTGTGTCAAAGCTATATGTATGGATTGTTTAATGGTTGGTGGTGACAAATCATGTAAGAACCACAATGTCACATCAATTGAGCAAGTGGTATGTCAATACAGTTAAAATAATTTAATTTACTCTCTCTCCTTCAGTTAAAAACAAATCATAATTTAAGTACAACAACGAGTAAGTGGTAGTATGTATATATATAATATATTGGAGAAAGTATACAATGTTATGACTCTTAAACTAAAACATTAGATGAATTAAATTATGTATATGATTAAAGCAAAATAAGAAGTTATGTTCAATTCCTTGTTGTATTAATTGTGTTATTATTAACATGTTTATTACATTAATTACTTTTTCTTTAATAAATCTGTTGGAACATACAAAATATATTGAATTAGTTGTGATTATAATAGGTATATACATATTATATTTCTTACATAAAAATGAATTCTGATATCAAATAAAATGTATCATAATGTAATATATATTACACAACAAAGTAACCATAAATTTTTAATATAAAATAATTGTTGCTTGTCTAATTTTCAGAATGGAACTTTGTTAACTGAAGTTACCGAATTAACACCAACGGTTGAGGAAACACTTAAGAGACTTACAAAAACGGCATTTGTATGAAAATTTAATATGATATATGACTCTTCCTTTATTCAAATACATTATTTTTATAAAATCTCTTCTGTTATAGGATATTGGAAAGACCTTAATGAGACTTAATGACGATAATAATTCTGACGTATTTACAAAACTTCTGAATGAAGTTGAGCAAAACTATTCGAAACTAAATGCTGCCATACAAAAACAAAAAAACTGTATTGTTGCAAACATACTAAAAATGAAATTAATGGAAATAGATTCACTAAATGAAGCTAAATATAGTGTTGCTGAATCAATACAGAAAGCGAAGCACACTTTGAATACAATCAATTCTATAGATACAAAAAAAATAAAAGAGGTATGTAATTATAATTATTTAATACATATAAAAAGTTTTACCAGTTCAATACATGTATATACTTTTTCAGGTAAATATGGCAGCAGTTTTAAAGGATGTCAAAGAAATTGTTAATATACCTTGGTATTTAAATAGACAGGAAAGAGAGAGTTCTTTAAGGTACATGTAACATGAAATTATTATATATTAAGCAAACAATAATTATATTTATATTATAAATAAACACCTCTTTAGATAAATTCTATATTGAGAAACAATTGTTTTGACCATAGAACATTGTATTTAAGTGCTGGTTTTTCAACAATCTTAAATAACCAAAACTTCTTCAATCTATTTTTTATTTTTACAAACAATATTCTCATAATTATTCAATTTAAAATATATATTAAAATGTTTTTTTTTTGTTACAGAATAAAGATAAATGACAAAATCATACAATTAATTGATGACTTCATGCAACTAGAAGGTAGTGAATGTAATACATACACTTTAAGTACTACAAGGGAACTAGTTGAAAATAATGTGGATATACCAAAAGCACCACCCACTATTGTTTATCCCCCTGAGATTGTTAAAGGTATATAATTATCAATTAGATTTTAAATATATGTTAGTTGTAAAAATTATTATAGATCTAGTAAATAATGCAATTGAATAGTAAATTTTCGTGAATATTGAAAATAAAGAACAAAAAAATATAGCATAAACTAGTGTTTAAAATGTAGTCATTTACTTGACCAAATAACTTAGTGTATAAATATGATGTACTGTATGAAAATATTTTTGTTTTAGATGTGCGAGAAACAGTGAAATGTAAGACAGAAAAAGATAAAGATAATGTTAAACCAACAAGTTTCATAAAACAGATACCACAATATAAGAGTAAAATGGGATCTTGTTCTTCACTAAATTCTACAAATAGTGAAACATCACATATAAGTTATCAATCATGTAAATATAGATTGTTATTTGAATAATTTCTTTTATATGCTTTGTCTGTATAAATTATATTATATCTTTGTTTATAAACCAATTATTATAATTTGCTATTTAAAATTTTCTTTATATTATAAAATGAATTTGATAAAATTGTTGTTTGGGTGAAACAACTAGCTTTAATAAGAAATACTCCCATATTTTTAATAAATCATTATCTCAATAGATCATAAATATATTTTTATTTGATTCTTTTCATACTAATGTTGAATATATACTTTTTTAATCTTTCATCCACAGATGATCAAACACCTACAATATCTTATTATCCCGACAGCCAACATTCAAAGCAATTTGTTGAAGGTATATATATTTTTAATAAACATCTATTAATAATTTTATATATTAATGGAATGTATTTATAGGGTCTCAAGAACTAATATATATATCACATATTGTGGATCCTCACAACTTCTATATACAAAAGGCTTCTCATCAGTCTAATATCAAAGAAATGATGAGGGAGTTCAAAAATGCGGTTTCTATGCCAAGACCTTCTATCAGCCATGTAACTGAAGGTTAGTATTAATAATAATAATTAATTACACGATTATTTTGTTAGTACAAGAAAATATATTATATATTTTTAATTAAGGATTTCATAAATTTCACTTAGATTGATGAATAAATCCCTACTAATATTGTAAATGCGAAAGTTACTCTGTCAGTCTGTCTGTCTGTTACGCTTTCACGCCTAAACCACTGAACTGATTTTAATGAAATTTGGTACAGAGATAGAGTTGACCTTGAGAAAGAACAATATGATTTGTTATGTTTTTATCTCAGACTTTTGAAAGGTTCTCTTGCAAACACAATATAACCGAACTCCACGCAGGCAAAGCTGCGTGCGGAAAGCTAGTGATTCGATATATTCTTAGAAACAAGATCAGAATTATTTTTTTTTTAATATTCGACATAATTTGTCTATTAACTTATTAAATTTATACAAAACTTAAAACAAATTTTAAATTAATAACTTTCAATTATGTCAATTTAAACTTATCGTGAAATGAAATCTGAATATAACACAAACGATAGATATAAACACTCGGAAAATCTACGATCGATTAATCCATCACAACAACGTAGGTTTACGAAAACAAAATTCAAGATCTCTGACAATAGCTTATATGTATGTCGTTTTTTCTGTCTTACCCTCTTATATTCTTACAATTATTTTTTTTGTATTGTACAGGTAAATTTTATCTGGTATTCAGTAAGGTCGATAATATATGGCAGCGTTGTGAAGTGTTGTCAGTCGACAAACGAAACGCTAACAAACCGATATACAAAGTATTCTGTGTCGACTTCGGCTGTACTGAATTGGTTACTATAGATAAGTGAGTTATTTTAATAATAAATTTTCACTACGAATAAAATATTTTTGAAGATTTTTATATGTTATGCCAATATAATAAAAACTAGAATATGCTTATTTAAAAAATTGTATTTCTTATCGTCAATTTACATTTACTAATAATTTGGAAATACCTACTGTATATGTATATTACTTGGTTCATGAAACATTTTTTTTCAAATTCAGTATTAAAAAAAGACAAATCCCTACTAATATTATAAATGCGAAAGTAACTCTGTCTGTCTGTCTGTCTGTCTGTCTGTCTGCTACGCTTTCACGCCTAAACCACTGAACTGATTTTAATGAAATTCGGTACAGAGATAGAGTTGACCTTGAGAAAGAACATAGGATAGTTTTTATCCCAGACTTTTGAAAGGTTCTCTTGGAAACGCGATATAACCGAACTCCACGCGGCGAAGCTGCCTGCGGAAAGCTAGTTAATAAATAAATTTCTTATTATATCGCCTTTATAATAGATATTTAATTCTATATATGTATTTATTTTCATTAAGGTTGCGTCTATTACAACGCGCCCGTATTCAAAACCCTCCACACTTCGCGTTCAAATGTCGACTGGCCAACTGTGAGCCAATTAATGGAAGTTGGACCAGCGAAGACTCCATACTTATACAGAATATTATTGACAAGTAAGTATAAATATTGGTCTGAGATATAAGTTAAATATCATTAAAGTACTGACTAACTAAAATAGAGTACAAACGGTTAAAATAACATTTTTTTGCCTATCTAGAGATTACGTTTCAAGGAAAATAAAAGCTCATTTAAGTATTAATAAATATCAGAAATACCATTAGTTTTTATTTTCAAAGATATTATTAAAAGTTTTTATGTTTTTGGTTTGAATGTGTTTTACTTAGTTTTACACTTTTAGGGGCTCCGTGTCCATTGTCGTACTTTTAGTTACCGGCACGTTTTTTGCAAGGTTTTGGTGTAATGGATATAAGTTTGCGCATGTACACTTCGTGCAACAAAATGTGGTCACTTTTTATGCTTATCAATAACAAAAGTATAATAATATTTAAGTCCTTATTCTGTGAAACTTCCTAATTTGGAAATGGAAATAGGAAAGGGTAGAAATTGATTTTTATAAATTCATTTTGTTGCTTTAAGACAAAAATTGCTTACAATTTACAGTTGATCGTATCTTTTAATTATCATTTTCGAGTGGAGAAATATTCTAGTCTATATATTTTTTTAATGGGATTATAATAATTGGACTAAGAAGAAACCTAACAGTCAATTGATATTCACAAGAAAAGTACTTTGACATAACCTTAAATCCGTCGCATTCTCCATGTGAATTTTTCACCCATTTTCTACAATTCTCAAGTGTCTTCCCTTGCGTTAGAATATTGGACGCTACTCGGTGCCAACGCTGTCCTGTAACAAGTATAGGAACGCGTTTGTGTGCCACGCATTCTTTGCGCTGTCTTTTTATGCCTCCCCCCGCTAAGAAGCGTTGAACGTGTAACACAACAGTGCTTTCATACCCTGAATACAGTATCGTCAAACGTTTAACGCAATTGGTTGGACGTCGCGTAAGAAGTTTCACTTCAAAAACTTGTAATAGTAATGAAAAGAATAGGTTTAATTATTTAAGTGCATTCAAGTATTCTCGGGAGCAAACATCTAAACACGCGCAAGAGATTGTACTGTCTCATTCTCCTCTATTGAGTTACACCTATGACACCGACAAATCGCATTCTAAGCATCTATCGTCGCTCGCTAAATAACGTGCCGGCAATTATACATTTAAAAAAATTAAAGATAAGGTAGAAAAACAAATTTTATAGTTTATCATAATATTTAATATTTCCACAGTAAGCAGGCAGTACTTCATGTGCATCAAATACGATCGACTACCACGGGAGGCTTGTCTTTGGAAGGAGATATTATCACGGTAGAACACGCAGTTAATGTAGCTCAGGCACTCGCCTTCCATGGTCGTGCGAAAATACCTCATGCTACAAAGGTACGTAAAAGTCGATAGTAGGGGACATCCTAAACTTGTAAGGACATGCTGAACAAAATCTCTATTGACCAGTCAATCCTACTAATATTATAAATGCGAAAGTTTGTGAGTGTGTGTGTATGTTTGTTACTTCTTCGCGCTCAAACGGCTGAACAGATTTTGATAAAATTTTGTATATAGGAAGCTGACGTCCAGGAATAACACATAGGCTACTTTACAACCTGGAAATCCGCGGGTAATACCGTGGGGCGCACCTAGTGTAGAATAAAAATATACCGTACGCTGATATAGCACTTTTTACGAACTCCCTCGTCGACATAAACTATTAGAATTAATTATACTTATAGATAGAAAAAATCCATTAATGATCCAACTATATAATTTTTACAGCTTTACCTTAAAGTTATGATAATTCAGATACATTTCACATTTCTTGTTATTTACTCAAATTAAAACATATATGAGGAAAAAATATCACCAATGCTCGTATATTCAAACTCCAACGGAATCATCTCAATTCTTGAATATTATTACTTTTAATATAAGTATTATATATTTTTTTTATTTACTACAACATAACTTTCCGTTACAAAACTAAATTCAAGGAACATACTTGTAAGAGTAAGATAAGCATATAGAATATCATATAACAAAATATGAAACTCAATAATGCCTATACAGGATGTTCTCATAAATCGAGAAATGTTTTATTTTGGATACTACATTTACATATTAATATATAATAACATAATGTTATACATTAAGTTACTATAATTAATGTTAATGTATATAATGTAAAGCACTTTTTGGTTTTAAATTGCCTAATAACAAAATATTATTTTGGTTTACTAAACAGTACTAGGTATTTTTTGAGAACAACCCTTATATATTTACCGTCACAAGAAAATTATGCTGATTTGTATTTGAAGTATATTTCTTTGAATACATTTTAATGTCACATCTATATGTGTTAATTGTTATTTCAGTATCCAAAAATAAAAGCCATGAAAGAGAAACCAAAACTGTTTATAAGTAATAACGATTTCAAGCTACATACGTCAGAAGATGTTTATATCACGCATATTACGAGCCCAGATAATTTTTATGTTAGAAAGGTAAGTTTTTTGAAAATTAATAAAATTAATCAATACCAGATTACGGCAAAATCAAGAAATAAAAATAAATTCGCCTTGTTATGATTGTACGTATCTTAAAAATTCTTTTATGTCTTCAATATCCGCATATAAGTTTCTTTTCCAATTACTATTTATACTATAAATGAAGTATAGAAATACTTTAAATGTCCATAATAATATTTCTTTACTTTTAGCAACACCTTCAAAGTGTTTATGAAAGTCTATGTGAAGAATTGGATCACGAGTACAGTTTAAGTTCACAAAATGACTGTATACATTTACCAGAAAAAGGTATTTATTTATTCACAAATGTAATAATGATCTTTATCTCTGGTGTTTTTTTACTTGACACAAATTAGAATTGATTCAAAATTAATATTATAAGAAAGAAAATATTATTCCCCTTATATATGGACTTAATAGCCCAATGCACTTATAAAATATTAAAAATTCTACCGACGCGTATGTATGTTTTAATCATGGTCAAAATATACGCATAAAACGACATTTATACAATAATGCCAAAAAACTACTAATTAAAGTTGAAAAAACTCTAAGTAACAAAAAACTTTTTAATTGAGGAAAAAGGTGTTAGAAAATCTACTTCGCCATAATCGGTACCTATATTTCTTTATGAAAAAGTCTTTAGTCCATTGAAATCCCCAATGCTAATTGAATTACTACGGCGTACCCCAGGCGACACACTATTGTATTGTATTCAAATCTGATACATCTCCACTTCAGACATGGTGGTGGTTGCTCACTGTACCCGTTGGTCCCGCGCTGTGATCCGTGAGCTGCCTGGTCGTAGTCGAGTTCGTGTGGTGTGCGTTGACACGGGAGCTTCGGAACTGGTGCATTGGACCGCCTTGAGGAGACTGAAGACTAAGTTCACTGTACTGAGGGCGCTGGTAAGAACTGATACACACACACACACAGATACAAACCAATATATATACATGTACTAGAAGACCCGGCGAACCTCGTATCGCCCTATAATCAAGAAATATCTGTTACGTTTTTTTATTTATATTTTTGGAGTTTACCTATTAAAGCCATAAATCTCCGTGTTTTGAAGTCCGACAGAATGATTATTGACATATTAGTTAGTTGTCAAATCTAATGTCAAAAAAAAACATTGTCCAGCGGACAAAATTGTGAATCTAAACCATTCCCAGACCCCTTGAACACACGCAGAAAATTTCATCGGTCCAGTCGTTTGAGAGAAGTTCAGTGACATACACACACACAGAAGAATTATATATATATAAAGATATACACGCACACACACAGTCAAAGACAGTACACACAAAGACATAAACGTTAACCTCACAGGCTTAAGCATTACACACAGCTTGTAGTACTATGGGATTTGGGATACAAAGATGCCTGTAGGATAAAAAGACGCTCGCTCTGTGTCTTATTATCCCACAAAAGCGTTAAACGTTCAACGCCACCTTGTTGGAACTAGCGTAATATTTTCATTTCAATTCAACATTGGATAAAGTTAACTAATTAACTTCGACTTTACATCAATATATTTTGTTTTAGGCAACTGAATGTCATTTAGCAGGAGTGACGCCTCTGAATAAAAAATGGAGTCCGGCTTCGGTGTCATTACTACAGAAGTTTCAAGACAAGTTATTAGAGCTTTATGTTGAAGACAATCGTAATAAAAACTCCTTGGGTGTTATACTTAACGACAAAAGTGACGAAAATAATGTTATATGTATCAACACGTTAATGATAAAATATAAATTCGCTGTGAGTTTCGGGTGAGTAATTTTTATTATCCTGTTTCATTTATTTGCTGATAAATAACTGATAAAAAAAATAAAAACTACTTTTGAGAGAATTTATCTGTCACTTACAAGTAAAATATAAGGAGTGCAAAAAAATTAAAATTATATTATCAATTAGTCATATGACTAATATTAGTAGTCGCCTTGGTACTTATCAGCAATAGGATAACCCGTTAGTTTTTATTAACACAATATTTCGTAAACGTACGTATTTGTTTCAGACTTTTTATGTTTAACAAAAATACTGACATGGATGATCTAGTCATCACTAAGAAATCTCCACTCGATGAACCCAAACCTGTTGTGAAAACTGAAAAAAAAGTTAAAATCCTCAAAAAAGACACAAATGTAGAAAATAAAACGAAAGACAAAAATTTGGAAGCAAAAGATAAAGGACCTCTTAGACTTGAAGCGCATGTCCTGAATTATCAGTCACCATCACTATTATACGTGTCTTTGGTGCATCAACAGAAAATATTTAATGAACTCTTTGAGAAAATACAAAAATATTACTCGACAAAGAAATTACAAGGCAAAACTATATGGAACGTCGGCGATAGGTGTTGTACTATATGTAATCAATCGCATACATGGCGCCGGGCGGTCATTTTGGAAATCGAAAATGATAATGCCAAAGTCTTCTATTCTGATTTCGCGTGTGTTGAAACTGTTCCTATATCTACTTTGAGGGAATTATCCCAAGAATTCGGATCTATAGGTGATGCTGCTATAATGTGTCATCTTTGCGGCGTAGTACCAGCTATCGGTGACGAATGGCCATCACTTACTAAGGAATACTTAAAGGAATTACTTGACGCGTATAAAAGAGTTTTTATAACTAAAGTCGGTACATTTAAAGGTAAAAGTATGCCGATAGAACTATGGGTGTATCACACGATACAGGGAGGCGCTCTCGAACCGAACAAATCTGAATGGAGATGTCTCAATAAGAAAATAATTGATCAAGGTTTAGGTATTCCTGATAAAAGTGATGAGGTGAGTTTAAAGATAACACCAAAAAACCTAAATATGACTATTATCGATTAAGTTAAAGAAAAGCAAATTCTTTTTCTTCGTCATTTAATTTACTGTTGTAAGATAGGGGTGTGCCTTAAATTATTCTGCTCTTTACATTTCATAGTTAATTTTCGTGAAAATTAATAACTAATTTAATTACCTCAGATTCATAAAAATGTATTCTAATGTTGTAGTATAAAAAATATTACCCACCCAAACACATGATGTATAAAAATAACGATTATTTAACATTGTATGACATTTAATTTTCATTATTATATTCACAGCTAACTCCCGACAGTGCTACAAATGGCGACGACATGTTGTCTTTCTTAAACATAGCCGGTTCGGTTCGTGATTGGCTGCAAGTAGAACCGATGCCATTAAAACCTCTCAAAATAAAAAGCGATTCTGATGAAGCCAGCAATAATTCGACGCAGAGAGAAAATCAAACCGAAAAGTGCGAAGATGGCCCAAGTTCCAATACAGTTTTCATATCAGAATGGTTACCGCCCGAACCATTGCCCGCTAATGAGTTCACGGCTATGCCAACGTATGTCCTATACACATTATTTAGCTATTTAAATGCTATTAAATTTATGTTTTAAATCATGTGACTAGGATAATAATTATTTTTATCATAAAACTCCCTTACTTTGGAGAATTAGCTATACATATCGTGTTATTAAAAATAAGAGAATTTTAATTGTTTCATCGAAAATATTATGAGATAGTAATATTAATTTTATACATTTCACTTTCCCAGATATATAGACAACGACGGTGTAATTTACCTTCATGATGTGTTTCAAGAGGATACTTTGGATCTTATCCGTAAAGCTTTGGATGTGCGCTTCAAGTATCCAGATCGAAAAGCTAAATTCTACAAGTGGTCAGTGGGAGAACCTTGTGTGGCGCTTTACTTCTTAGACAACCGCTTTTACAGAGGAAAAATACTATCGGTTAATAATGAAGAATCTACATGTCTAGTGCACTACATAGACTATGGAAACGAAGAAGTATGTGCATTCGAAAACCTTAGAAAGAGTATAGCCTTGTATCAAATACCGACTCAGGCGTATAAGTGTGTTCTGAGCAAAATAGTACCCGTTGGAAAGAATTGGGACAGAACAACCTTGGATTATATACATAAATCAATAGTTGAGAAGAAATGTTTCGTTAAAGTTAGTGGGGAAGCAATAGGCGATGTGATTCCTATAGAACTAAAGTACGATAAGTTGTGGATCAATGATCATCTTGTTGAGTTTGAGATGGCTAAATATTCAGACGGCTCCGAAGCCATTGTAAGAAAATACGCCCCGAATATAAAAGATAATAAACTAGAACAACCAATAGAATCAGATTCCGGCCCAGACTATATCATAGAGGACGATAATGTTGACACTTCTTCTACACACGACTCTATAAATCTAGGCTCATTAGATGGCAAGGATTGGAACGAATTGATAGAAATCGAAGAAAAACATGAAAACTTCAAAACTTATACACCTTATAGTGAAACTGAATTCAAATGCACGATAACAGTACTCAATGAAGTTAGTAAACTCGAATTGAATATCATACATGATGACGAAACAACTAAGATGTATGAGGATATGTTTGAAGAACTTCAGAATGATGGGTGTAATATGATTGATTTAAATGGTGTTTTTGAGAACAAGGCCTGTGTTGCCCTATTTCCGGAAGACGGCCAATGGTATAGAGCTTCCATTTTACAGTACAGTAAATTGTCAAATCGGGTAAAAGTGAAATATGTCGATTATGGCAACATTCAAGTACTGTCATTGAGTGATGTTAGAGAAATTGACAAGAAATATATTGAACTACCCCCGGCTAATTTAACTGTAACATTGCATGGTGTTAAATTGAATCCGAGTATAGATAAAGATTATTTGGTGAAACTTTACGAACAAACATTCCTAGACAAAGAACCGTTTGATGTTAAGATTATAGATATCATTGATTCAATACCTAGTGTCGAACTGAGACAAGATGGACATTTGGTTTATGAAAATCTTATACTAGAAAACATATTCCTTAAATGTGATTAATTACTAAGTTGACTTAAATATATTATTTCTTTTTTCTTTAATTATTTTTACTGTTAAAGTAACGGAATATTTTGTTTGTACTATGATCATCTCAATAAATATATAAATAAAAAAAAACTGGTGTTTATTATTATTTATTTATAATGAAAGAAATTCTAAAAATATATATTTGAGTGAAGATAAATTTATAAGTTTTATATTTAGTCTATAACAAAAAAGACTATTATATAATATCAGTATATTATCGTGTTAGAATAAGACAGTTGAAATGCAACAATTAATTAAATATTTATTTTTAACTATAAAATTTCATTTTTAATCAAATACATTTTAAAACATGAAAGTCTAGATATAGTTGATTAACATTTTTTAAATAAGCTAGTTTTAGCGAAGATTAAAAGTATATAGCATCTTAAATTCTACTTTAATAGTATAAATACATAGTAGTTCTATGATGTAAAATTATAAGCATTTAAAAATTAGTAGGGGTCACTTTGGGACAAATTGCTACAAGACGTAAAGGAGCTCCTGACCCCTTAGCAATTTTCATTGGTAGTATCAAAGCTGTGCAACCGTAGTCTGTAAAAAAAAATTACTAAAGAATGACGTAAAAATATTAAAAATATATATGTATTATAACTCACCTGGAATATCTTCATCTAATTTAACATTTTCTAACATATAAAGCTCAGATTTGGTTAAAGTTTTGTGCGCATCAAATTCCGTACTTGAGCCAGGATCGACGGAAGCTGTATCAACTCCTACACCGATGATATTTTTATACGACGACGTTATCCATTCCGCTACTTCTCCACTCAGACCTACGTCAAGACCTCGTTAGTACAGGAAATAGCAGTTAAGATAATAAAGTTATTAGGGATAAACGAATGCATTGTTGAAGATATGATAACTGGCTTATGAGCACGAATACAAAACTATACAAAAACTACATAAAAAAACTTGTACAATTGACCTTCATAAAATAAATAAAACAGTTGAGAACGTTAACACTTGACCAATTATTTATAATAATTTTTAAATTACGTGGTTTCGTATCACCTAAGTTTCACTACTAATAATAACTTCGAGTAGCGAAAGTTCTAAAATCTTCTATCAACTAAAACCATTAATAATAATACCCTATATTTTCTATTTCGATATGCGGCAGTAATTTTAAAAATAACGATAAATACCTGGAAAATTCATAGTTCTGTTTTTTCCTAAATATTTTTGGTGGTCATTGATAAATTTACTCCATCCAAATTTAAATATAACAACACATGGTTTTCCAAAATTGTCATTTAACATGAAATCTAAATGATGTTTGTATAACACGAAGTCAGAATCGTCATTCACCTTTGAACTGACATCTGCTATTATCACTAAAACAAAGTATTATTTGTTGGTAAATAAATAATATCAAACTTTGTGCATATTGTAAACAAAAATAAGATATTACCTATAGATCAAAATCGGTGTTCAAAGCTTGAAATTTACTGTCTTTAATGCAATTTAAAAAAGTAAAACAGCGCATTGGCATTTAGCATTAGTGTTAAAAATATATAGTAATAGTTTTTTTAAAGTCATAATAATTAATATTTAGAAAGACCGCGAACTTCTTACTAGTAACACCGATAAGTAATATATAAAAATAGTGTTAGTAAGTAAACAACAAAGTTATAAATATTGTTATCCAACAAACACAATAATATTCATGTGACACTTACAAGGAACAATTAATTTTTCTATAGGAATATCCCCTACGTGCTTGCCATTTACTTGAAAATGATAAGGTGCATCGATATGAGTCCCGCCATGTTCACCAGCTTCGAAATCGTTAGCAGCATACCTAAACATTATATATAAATATATATATTCAGTGTATAATTGTGAATTATTTTTAAACAGTTTTGTCCTGAGATTTCACTCCAAAAATCATATGTACATATTATTGAGCTTTATTCAAAGCAGTTCCTGTCTGGTTTGAATTTTTAGAATAAAATAACGTAGCTACTTACCAGGAGTTATCCTTTTGAAATGATGCCTGTTTTCTTGTAAATTCAAATTGTTTACTTCCAGGAAAATAAACAGTATTTTCATCAAATGGATGAGTTAAATCGAAAAAATTATAATCTCCGGTAAATAAAATATCGTTTAAATTATTATCAGCCTCAACAAGCACGAATAATAGAAGAGCGAGGCTAGAGAAGGCGACTACAGGGTAAACCATTCTGACTAATACTACTGCAACTGCGTTTGTAATGACATGAACAACACCATTTCTCAACACTTAATAGCTAATTAATATATATCAATAGAAAAATTATTGGAAATTAATGAAATAGAACACTTTTCAAAGTATTTTATTATTGGATATTGATATCTGATAATGAATACATGAGCAAAATAATAATTATTCGCATTCATTCAAATACGTTATTTAGTTCAAACTTTTTCTTATGTCTGTTGAATCCCCGATTTAAGGTACTTTCTTATTCAAGATTTACTCAGAATATATATAGGTACATATTTTTATTTAATGATTACTTAAATGGTATTTTTTGATCCTGCTTTTAAAGGACTTTATCCCGAATAAATATGTTAAGATAATTGTTTATTAGTGGTAAAAGTTGATGTCTGTATTCTGTGGGGTCAAAACTGTGATAAAAATGAAAATATATGTCGATAAAATAAAAATATGTACAGTTCAAGCTGTGAGTTCTAACTTCTATCTATAATCAAGTAAGAGTCATGTAGAGTAATGTTATCAATTAATACTTCCGGTCCTACATATACGGCTAGTTCGGGTACATCGTGATGATTATTTATAAGTATACATTAAAACTTCTGTTCAACAATTTAATTAGTAATTTAATAATCAAATAAATAGTTGATTCCTATTTGTTTATACTTGGAACATTTTATTATATGTTATTCTATTTATGGCGCCTTCTGCTTGTCAGCTTCCGGCGCAATTAATAAATAGTGCTTATTGTTATTTATATTCTCTCAAATTATGTCGATTGATCAATGCTATAATAATTTTGTTTTGTTGTGTATAATGCAAGAATTAAGCTACTAGAACCTTATTTTACTGATATGACTAGATTATAAACTTCCGGTGTAATATATCAACCTTTAATATTTAATGTTACATAATCCTGTATTATTAAATAATATTTGTCCATAAATAATAATTACAATAATTAAGATAAACAATGTTTAATATTATCTCTTAAGTTTACAAATTGAATATTAAATTAAGTCAAGATATTGAATATAATACCGATATACCGCCATATTGAATATATCGGCCATTAGCATTCTAACCGTTGTAACGTGCATTAAAGGTGTTCCTTTATATAACGTATCGTCATTTACGCCGCCACCCTGAGAACCCACCTTTTATAGTAATTAATTTGTGAGTCCCCGAACCAACATTACGTTACGACATTACTCTAATAAAAACCATCCCCGTGTAAAATGCTATTTTTTCTACTTTGTACTTTCAGGATTCTGAAACTATTCTTTCCAAACAACTCCGAAAACAAATAGTCAATACATCTTATTTATAATTGAATTTCTAGATTTTTTTTATATAATTGAATTAATAGAATAGGTGGATAATTAATAGTATTAGAAACCCGTAATAATTTGGTAGTTAAACTAATCAAAGTTCAGTAAATCAAACAGGGCGACTGAACCAGAAATGTCTTTATTTCAAATTGGTCAAGCGCTGATTGATAGTTATTGCATTCTGTCACTACCGTTTAAATTACCTATATATTTCATGCCATATGCCTGAATGTAAGAGCAACATTTGTAAGCCCAGAGTTGATAAATGATAGTGTTTTATCTAAATAATGAAGTCATTAACCTTTTAGATATTTTTAGTTGAAGACCTTTTCACCAACCGCTTATCTACTAGTCTGCTAGTAGTCTATTAGTAAGATGTCTGCATGACAATGTCTCATCGATAATTATATTTCCTTTTTTTAATATATTTCCTTATTTATCTATAATCAAAAAGTTTGGATATTAATTTGCAGTTGAAGTTTAGCTCTATCATAATTCATACACCAATATATGTAGTAATAAAAAGATTATATGCCATATGCCTCATATTGTTATTTTTGTACTTGTACTACTTTATATTATATAAAATATATGTGAAAAAATAAATTAACTTTTCTAGACTAAACTGTCTACCTAATTGTAAGCTAATTAATGTTTGATCTGTTTAGCTAATTAATGAGTAATTTGAATGTTTATCTGTCTTTTATTTTGTTTTATTGCTCTACACGACTTTTTTTATTATTTGCCATTAATTATTTTTGTAATAATGTCGCCTAGGAATTACCTCTAAGTAAGTTTATTTTTTTGTATGTCTTTTCTTATATAATATGTAGTACATTATTTATAATTAATGATCAGTTTATAACAAAAGAAAACTTTTTTAGCTAAAAAAGATAGAATAGATGAATTATGAAAAGAATTGATTTATTAATTATTATGAAATACGGACCGCCAACCTTTTACTATATTCCCCCCCACTACCACCACTTATGATATCGGTTTAGAAAATGACTGACGTTCAAGAAACAGGTATTATCTGTAGCCAAGTGACATTCTATTTTGACATAAGTAAATTGTTATATCGAAATTTATTAACATTTGGCTATAATTAATATAAATTGCTAAACTCATGCTTCTCAGATATTAAGCACCAATTACATTTGCATAGATATTTTATTTTCAATCAATGAAAAGGACTAGAAATGATGCAGTTAAAGCAGCCGTTACTTCCTACTTAGAGCGAAGGAATTATCCAGTGAGTATTGTTTGTTTTTGTAAGCATATTAAGTTGTTTTTTTACAGTAGGCCAAACATTATAATTACTTAAATAAAATCAATATTCTTAAAATAATAATTATTTTTGTTTAAATAATAGCTACTTTTTTAAGTACAAAAATGAATACAATGATCAAAACAAAATGAAAATGTATGATCTAAATTTATTTTATCATGTTGTAGATTATTACAATAGATTGTTTTCATTCAGACTCAGAAATGATACTAAGGTGTTTTTACTTTTCAGGACATTGATTTCTTTAATCACAATAATTGTACTAGTCGCAGTGCTGAAGAAATGGCAGTGGCTACAATTGTACAATGTGAAGCTAGCCGTGCCAATTCTATTATGTTCTCTCTTATTAATAATGACCCCGGAAATTATGACGCTCAGTACACAAAGTAATTATCACAAACTATTCATTATAATTTAAATTTATACTCATACCATAATATTACATTGATATTTTTAGACTGGTTAATTTTATAAAGGAAATCAATATTGAAAAGGTTAAAAATGAATTACTCGGTTTGCTTACACCATTGTTATGCCACTTATATTTGGAAATGCTGCGCGGTGGACATGGGGGTGCTGCTCAAATGTTTCTTAAGAGACACTCTGCCACATTACCACAAAAGGAGTTATCATACCACCAACCAATAGACGGCAATCTTCCATCAGCACTCTACCGACCAAACAGCCTCGAGCAATTGTTCAATTCTCTACAAAATGGTACAATAGATAATGAGACTCCAGAGAAAGACTATATGAATCAGCTCTTAGATGACATCGGAACTATATATACCTTGCAAGAGGTTGAATCTCGACCTTCAATAGCTGCTTTCAGGTAAAAAAAATAATTTGAAAGTATAAATAATACGATAATAGCTTATAAAAGCAATTTATGATGTAACTAATCCGGAAAGAACAAGATCTGTTTTCTAAGTGATGTTAGTTGCTATTATATAGAAAAATATTCTGTAACATGAATTGAATCATAATTAATTTAAATTACACTTAACTACATCTTTAATTATTTATTTATGTCCAAGGTCCTGTAAATATGACATATATCTATCACAAGACTCTCTAAACCTTCTGAAGACTTTTTTGGCTAGACATGGACATGTTTTAATCATACAAGTTTTACAGACATGGTTCCATATTGATATTAATAATGACAATAAGAAAACTTCTGTAAGTATTAATATTTTTCTTAGTGCGTATCTTCAAAACAAGATGTTAACCTAAGACTCTTGCAGGAAGACGATGATGACGAACACAATGAAGAAGAAAATCATATGAATGCTGCAAATTGTGATGAAAAACTAAATGATAAAAATGGTTATTACATATGACTTATTTATTTATTTTTTATTTTATATATTGTAATGGTGAAATGTTCTGAATCCACAGATGTGTTTTCCAAATGTAATGGTCATACAGAACATCAATCTGTAGACAAAGAATTGAAAGATCTGCAAGACGCTATAAAAGGTGTTAGAGAAACAATTGCGCCACTCAAACTTTACAAAATTGCCACTCCTGATAGCCAGTAAAGTATTATTTAAATTTAATTATTGTTAGCGATATTTAAATGAAGCATTTTGATTTTAACTCAATTTATTGCCCATTTTAGTCTGATATGCGGTAAAACAGACCAATATTGTAATGTGTTATGTGGAGGATTTGAAAACTCAGAAATAAGACTTTGGGATCTTGGACAGAATAATGTTAAGAAAAAGATTAACAGAAACATATCGGAAGTGGAAATTGCTTGTTGTATACCAGCCGAACCTGAAACTTCATTAGACAATACCTTGTAAGTTAAACATTGCTTTAAATTCAAAATTATTTACCAGTTATCATAAATACTACCTTACAAATAAAATAAACAAGTATGTACTTGCTTATTATGAATTTTTATACAGTTACATAATAAGTTATTCTATAAATAGTTTAGCTATGTCTAGATATATATTATTTAAACTCTTGACAGGGGTTTAAAATGTTTAGTAGTATCCATTTTTTATTTACTAATGTCTGCCATAAAATTTGTTTGTGTCAAATTTCTATATACAAATATTATTTGATTTATAGACTCTTACAAAACTTTACTTTTGTTCATAATATTTAGTATTTAATATAGAAGGTTGTCTGGCAGAAATCGCTACATAGCGATAAGACCGCCTTTTTGTACATTTCCATTTATTTTATTTTTTTTTCCATGTAAAATTTACTGTTTGTGGTGTACAATAAAGTATATTCTATTCTATTTAATCTTTCCAGCCAAATAGGAACAGGTTTACCACTTAGGGGTCACTCTGGTCCAATTCAAGCTGTAAGTATTTTAGCTCAAGAGCAACTAGTGTTGTCGGCATCTCATGATAATACTATGAGGGCATGGAGATTGTCAGATTATTCATGTGCTTCTATATACCGGTAACTTTATATCATATATACCTAATTTAAATGTAAAATTGATAGATTGTCTTATAATAAGAATTCTATTATTCGAATCTTTTTTCAGAGGACACAATTATCCAATATGGTGTATGGATGTATCTAAAAATGGTTTATTTATTGTAACCGGATCTCATGATAGAACTGCAAAATTATGGTCATTGGATCGCACATTTCCTGTTAGGATTTTTGTGGGGCATTTATCTGATGTTACTGTGAGTAAATTATCAAGAACAAAATATATTTGATCACTAAGTGCCCAAAGTATAAATTATAAATTGCTTAACACGAATTTTTCAAGTTCCAAACATGTCTTATAGTGTACATATTCTGCAAGTATTACTTTATTTTGCTATAATAAAACTAACATATTATTATATTAAAATACAGTGCGTCAAATTTCATCCCAACGAGGCGTACCTGGCGTCGGGAGGTGCGGATCGAACTGTTCGTATGTGGAGTGTATGTGATGCGAGACTTGTTCGTGTATTGTGTGGACATCGAGCCCCACCACGAGCACTCGCTTTCTCACCATCAGGGAAACATTTGGCTAGTGCAGGTCAGGAATATTTACTATGCTATAATACAACAGCAATTTCTATAATAGACTCTCGTAATATATTGGCATCTTAAAAATCTTTAGTCTAATTATAGGATTTATTTCAGGTGATGATAAAAAAATTAAAGTATGGGATCTAGCAGCTTGCAACTGTATCCATGAATACAGAGGGCATCATAGTAAAGTAACATCATTAGATTGGTCAGCAGTCGGAAAGGCAAGTTTAACTAACAGAATATCATCAGATCCTAATGACACAAATGTGGATAATTCAATACTATGCTCCGCTGGTATGGATGGCATAGTAAAGGTTTTTTATGACAGCTACTCAAAAAATAAGTAAGTTATTTCATTGACAATATAAATGAAAATCTTTTGAGTGTGTACATTAATTATTATAAGAGTATTTTTTAAAATTTTCAGACAAATGCCCAGTCAAGATGTCACAAACTCCACATATAATACAAAATGTTCATATCTCGTAGATGTTCAAGTACATCCAGATTGGATGGTAGCTATTGGAGCAAAAAGATAATTCTATCATATTAAAAATTTTAAAGACTTATTATTACTTTGTTTTACTTACTTGTTATACCAAGATATTAATTAAAAAAGATCTTACCTAAATTTAAATATAATATTGTCATAAGGATAAATAATGTGACACAAGTAAAAAAAAATATTTTTATTTATTGAACATTGATGTGAAAATATTATTTCCTTGTATAACAAATTTAATAGGTTACATGATTATTAAAACATGTTCAGACCAATCTAAACTTTTTTGAAGAAATTTGTAAGAGTGGACTGTTTACCCTTCTGAGGTGGTGATACTTTTTTCTTTGTAGTTTTTTGAACAGTCTTTGTTATTGGCGATGTATCTGACTTTTCTTCCTTAACTTTAGCATTTTTTACTGGGACGTCCTCATTTTCTGAACAGCTTTCATATACTTCCTCTTTCTTAGTTAAAATATAACCATCTTCATCTGTATAGGTTTTATTAACAATTTTTCTCTTTTTCTTAGGGTTAGCGATGCCTGTAGTAATTTTAACAATACTAGCTGATGGTGTCGCCGGTATTTCGTCATCAGAATGATCAATTGAATCGATATTTGAATTCAAATTATCAACAAACGGATCATTCTCTGTATCACTATCACTATCTGAAACATGCAAAACTCTTTTGCGCTTTTTATCAACTTTAGAAGATTTCTTGATCTTATTCAATATTACATTGTCACTTTTAGTTTTTGATTCATCTTTAACAACTTTTTTATCTATTACTTCTGGTTTACTATCTACTTCCATAGGCTGTTCTTCTGTTTTTATAGTTTCCTTTAACTCATTGCCTGATTTAATTTGTTTTGTTTCTTTTGGTGCTTTTTTAATTTCAGGAATACTTGGCTTATTGAAAAAACCTGCTATTCCTTTTTGTGTTTTATGACCGTTAGTTTTATTGGTCATTTGTTTTGTAGGAGTTGGTTCCTTTTTAGGCGTAACAGGTTCAGTCTTGACAGTGGAGGGTGGAACTTCTGATTGAATTCCATTTTTAGTATCCTCACCATTTTCTAACTTTGGATCTTTATTTCCTGTTTTATTTTTCTTTGCAGGTGTTATTAACGGCTTAGTTTCTATAATTATTTGTTCCTGGCTGCTAGTTTTTAAATTTCCGATTTCTGCTGTAGACCTCTTAACACATTCAGACCCTTTAATTTGTCCAGAACATAGGTTGAAATCGTCAAATTTGGTTAGCAATAGATACGACACATTGTCAACTACCGGAGAACCCTTACAAACACTATATATATGATCATAAAACAAAATCTTGAACGATGTTTTGACAATATTTAGATCTTCTTTTGTACATACTTTTGTCTGCGCTTTATTGTCTTCTAATAAACCTGACACTATATAATTGACATTAAGTTTAATATTTGCCTTTTCTGTTTGAAGATTTTGAACTACATGCTGTAGTAATTTTTTAGAATTATTAACATGTATGCATAAATCTTTACTTAAAGTAATATACGTCACTAATTTATCTTCATCCAATATGTATTCCTTGACGGTGTTGGCATATGCTTCAATTATTTCATCTTTATCCATAACTTTCCCCTTTTGATACCTTAAATCCTAAAACATAAAAACAATGTTTTTTATGAATTTCGACTTAAGATGAAATTAGCGCACTTTTAAACATTTGACATTTGTTTGCCTTCTGACATTTTATAAGTTTTAGCAGAGTACAAAAAAAAACAGATTGTAAATATTTACACAGTTATAACCCATTACATATGGTTTTGACAAAAAAGAGTTAGTTATTTTAGTGAACACCTCAAAGGTATTAATTATAATATGGTTTATTAGAATTTCAAATTGTTTTTCTTGTTATCATGATATTATAACAGAAATTACAAGTACATAAACTTATTCTTCCCACTCTGGTTAAGATTAATGACATCATTTCAATCGTCTATGATTTGTTTGGATCCTTTAGGTGTTGAGTTATGTATTGAATAGGTGTACTTATATTAGAGCTTAGAAAACTTCCAGTTTATTATATCGCTATAAAAACAAGTGTACCTTGTGAAGCATTGCAAAGGACTGTAACATACCTCCATACATTGCCTTCTGAAAACAAGTGTGAGTACCTAATAAAGTTAAAATCTATTTTTGTTTCCATTACATCATTTGTATTGGTTGGATATTGGTGTTATAAATTCTTAATTTTATTATTTTTATTTTCGACAGAAAGACCGACAGAAGAATTTTTACTAGTATTATATAGAGTTTGTTTGGAAAATGCCAGGGTAAGCAGTCATCTGGGAGTGGTCCAATACTTGACATATAAACATCCCACATGCAAATCGTTGCCATCGAATTAACAAAACATTACCCATTAATGATTAAAAGGCATTCATTATATGAATTAAGAGTCATTTAACCTTGTAACCCACTCTATATTTCACCATATTCAAATGACAGCACCTACTACCCCTGTTAGCTTATTAAAATGTTTTTTTTTTATTATTACTATAATCTTATTATAAAAGTGAGCAATAGTAGTCAAAAAAGATGGCAAAAAGAAAATTTAATTATTTGTTGAGTCACAGTCTTAAATTAAATGTTATTAAATCTATTATCTTACAGCATTTTCCTTATAAGTATGCACATTCAAATTTTGTTTAATAAAATAATATATGTGAATGAAAAAATAATATTAATAGGTTTTTTATCACTTTTATATTTTATTTCAGTATCGCGACCATGTCTTTGGACAATATGTTCTGCACTCGGTGCGGAGATGGTTTTGAGACCAATGAAAAGATTGTTAATTCTAACGGAGAGCTCTGGCATACAGGATGCTTTGTGTAAGAATATTTTATTATTGATGTAAATTAATATAAAAAATCAGTAGAAAAATTAGTTTATCTATATTCTTAGACTATATATTTTCTTTACTACAGTAGTCCTTAAAATATGTCAGTCAAAATAAATAAATAGATGAACAAAAGATTTATTACAATGAATGATGATCCTTGGGGGAGGCCTATGTCCTGCAGTGGACGTCTTTTGGCTGATGATGATGATGAATGATGATAATATAATGTTTTCTTCAAATAGAAGTAGTATATTGAAAAAGTATTTGAACTCACAATTTCATTAATGATAGAAACACTTTCATTCAGTTATGGTTATAATTGCACCTTTGAATAGGAAATAAGCTAATTAAAAATAAATATTTTTTTTTGCACTATGAATCTTATATATTGCAATATAATGGTATTTTTTTATTAAAGTAACTCATGTTTTTTTTATATCTTTACAGGTGCGCCCAATGCTTTCGTGTTTTTCCTGATGGCGTCTTCTTCGAGTTTGAAGGTCGTAAATACTGCGAGCGTGACTTCCAAGTTTTGTTTGCACCTTGCTGTGGCAAATGTCGTAAGTATTTTGATAGTACAGATGAAGTCTTTATAAAGTAAATTATTTATTTATTTTTTAGGCACACAAACAGAATACAATACTGATTACATTTGAGTTACAGTCTAAAATTATTTTTAGCTTGATTATATTCCTAAGCATGTGTAAATGGCATATTCATTACAAAACCAATATTTTGTCAGGTGCTACATTATTTAGGTACAATTCAAGACTAATGAATAAATAGGAACATATAAATTAAATTACTTAGTTGTTGATACAAAAAAAAATTATAATTTAAATTAAAATTAATAATTTTAACGATCGTTAGAAATTAACTCAAATTACATTTATTAAGATACAAATAATATTCATTAAGATAACAATTATATTATTGAATCTATTCCAATAGTTTTCCTAAGAATAACTGATTCCAATTAATTTTGTATTATTTTTCTATATATATGAATGATTTAACTTGCTTTAGTTATGAAGAAAACTAATTCGATAAACTATTGTAAAATCCTAAGATGTATGTAACGTTGTACAATTCCAGGGGAATTCATTATTGGTCGTGTGATAAAAGCGATGAATTCCAATTGGCATCCAGCCTGTTTCCGTTGTGAAGAATGTAACGCTGAACTAGCTGATGCAGGTTTTATTAAACACGCCGGTCGTGCTCTGTGCCACGCTTGTAACGCAAGAATCAAGGCGGACGGACTTCAGAACTATATATGCCATAAATGCCAGTACGTATTACTTTCTTACTCATTCGAAATTTAAAATTTCGATTGTTATAATTAAAAAAAAAACTAAACTGCCAGTTCTTTTGAAATAAAGTAACTCTGTAATTTAAATCAAACATCGGTCATCATCAATTTTATTTAACATACATATAGGTTAATGGATCAGTTGAATGACAACGAGTTCGTATAAGAACTTCAAATTATTTCCATAAAAATGTTTAAATCAATCTTAGATTATCTGTTTGTATGAATATTCCTAACATCGAAAACCATAATATATAATATTTATATAAACAGTGGCGTGATCGACGGTGAGCCACTTCGTTATCGAGGCGAGGTATACCACGGCTATCATTTCACGTGTGCTACTTGCGGGCTAGAATTGGATCACACCGCCCGTGAAGTGAAAAACCGGCCTGGATATGCCGCCAATGACGTGGTAAATATTCCACAGATTATATTTATTATATAACACTATACTTACACATAATATGTATTTATATATCACGTGTACAGCCTATTTAAATCAAAACGGCTTTAAAATGCGCACATAATGAAAGTGTTATGTGTAAAGTTTTGTCATAATTATTTGTTGAATTATTTATTCAGTATTCCTATATTATGTGAACAAATTATTTAGTGTAGCCAGTATTCAAGAAATGTATTAAGATTAACGATAAAATATATGTAAATAAATGTTACAGAACAATCTATTCTGCCTCCGTTGTCATGATAAAATGGGTATACCCATTTGTGGAGCTTGTCGCCGGCCTATCGAAGAACGAATTGTCACTGCTTTGGGAAAACATTGGCATGTTGAGGTAAAACATAATAAGTTTCTGTTACGCATAAATAAAATTAATTTAAGAAATACTATAATAAAATACTAATATCGATAATTAAATAAATTCACAGCACTTCGTGTGTGCCAAATGTGAGAAGCCGTTCCATGGTCATAGACATTACGAAAAGAAGGGGCTTGCGTACTGCGAACAACACTATCACCAGTTGTTCGGCAACCTGTGCTATGTTTGCAACCAAGTTATCGCGGGAGATGGTAATTTTCATTATTATTAACATAGAAAATAATTATTTCTGTACATAATTTGCATTACTATTATTATTGGTAAGTTGTAAGTACAATTACTGCCGCCAGGTGTTTACAACTAAAACTAGCTTAAACGGGTCAGCTGTCAAAAAGCTATTGGTGATTATATTGTTATAGTGAACATTAATTCGCAATTATTTAAATTTTTTATAATTGTAGTTGAATAAAAAATTAAAGTTCAAATGGAAAATAATGGTGATGATTCAGGTGTACGTTTTGATTTAAAAGAAACAAAAAGTAAAGCTTATTGCTGTTTATGGATATAAGAGTAAAGCTTGTCGAGACTTTGATGTCAGATTTCATTTATTTCCTAAAATAAATTATTTCGTTAAAATTACAAATGCTTTTGGTCAAGAAGAAAAAGTAGATAGTAGAAAAATGTGACAAATTGTTTTAAAAATTAGCAAGAATATTACTGATCACATGCAAGTTTGTTCTTTACATTTTAAGAAGTCAGATTATTTTTTAACAGGTGATTATATTGGTTTATTATTTTTGCTGAGAAATTTCATATTTTTATAATAAAATTTAAAAATCTCTTTGTTATTTAGCTGTGAGTTCCAAAAGTTAACTACACTCGGAGGAAAAACCTTACCAGTTTTACTAATTACTATTGTTAATTCGTGGGGATCTCCCCGAGTATTGGACGATTGTATGCAATAAGACAATAATTCATATTGTTCATCACTTTCCTTTAAGACCCCAGTGTAAATTAAATGATTGCAATTCACAACTTGCTCCCCTTCAATTAAACATCGGCTTCTTGTTGTAAGCCTCTAAATGATCCAAGACTTCACACATTGATAGAAACATTTTTTTTATTAATAGAACTCTACTTAACGTGCTTTGTATCATTTTAAAAAATAATTGATAATTAATAATACTTAAGAAACGTATTTGTTTACAAACTGTTTACATATGACATTCATCAGGCGATCCGTTTTCGCTAGTTCAAGATAAAACCACCAGTTGGCATGTTTGCAACTCCCACTTACCAATAGGATGCTTACAGGTTAATAATAATAAATGTTATTATGAAAAAGCTAAGCTAATTTGATTGATTTTAAATTCAACAGTTTTCACCGCATTGAACAAAGCGTGGTGCGTTCATCATTTCGCGTGCGCGGTCTGTGACACCGCGCTCAGCACTCGTAGCAAGTTCTACGAATATGACGAGCGTCCAGCGTGTAGACGGTGCTACGAACGTCTACCATCGGAGCTACGGCGTAGACTGCGACGAGCTCATCATTATACTATGAGGCGATGAAAATATAACCTATTTTATATGAGCGTATATCAATATAAGTGCGCCCTTGATAAAATCACCAACTGCCTTATTTTAAGTTTTTCAATAGGAAATACAAAAGCCTATTTTATTAATACACAATATTTTTGAATGTGCTTACAATACTAAGTTATATTAATGATGTTTAACAAGTAAGGATAGAACTTTAAAAAATTAATTATATTTAAATTAATATGAGATTTTTTTTCTATTATTTATAATTTATGTAATCTCAGAATAATGTATTCTTAATAAAAACAATATTTTCTGTGAAGCCTGGAGTTGTCAGCCTTATTATTTCTTTTTTAGGACATTATTTAAGAATATGTGTTAATTGTTAAAATTTAATTAAAAAAGCCATATTACATATAACAAGAATTGAAGCAAAGATATACAAAAAAATATTTTACTTATATAACTACATTAAAAATGATGTCAATGCAATGTCATTTGACATTGTTTCATAGATTTTAAAGTGCCTTATTAGAAGTAATATATTAAGTAAATGTACTGAAGAATTAACAATTATATTATAAATAGGATATATCTTATAACTTGACTATGAATTACTAATATTGCTTGTTTAATGTGCTAAAGAGTACTGTTTTGTTGTAACTGGTGGTGCTTTAAATAAAATGATTTATTAACAGTGTGATTTTGATTTCTTGTAAACAACTGAACTACCAAACACACTTGCAGTTGTATTCTTGTATTGTGTCGAGAATTATTTGTAATTTTTTTTCCATACAAATATTCCAATATTATAAAAATCATTAAATACTTTCCTATTTGTTACTTTATGTGTTGCTTGCACTAAAATACACAAAACAGTAGCAGTCAATTGATCTGTACAAATTTACAAGCGAAAAAGACAGAATTTTAACATGGAGATTAAACAATCACAAAGACTAAATAAAAATCCGACATAAATAAAACAAATTTATTTTCAAGGAAATAAAATTACAACTTGCAATAATACTATTTAAACACATAGATACATTAACTTAACGAGTTAGAATCTAACATCTCGTTTTAACAACATTTAACTGTGGTCGAGGATACTATGAAATCCGCCTTGCGGAATGTATGTTCACTAAATAGAACTCTTTACTAAACAATAATTAATAAATTAATTATCTTTCTTCATTCGAGTGCTAGTCATGCGGTATATGATGGAATCTCTGCCAGGGTCCATATCCATAACGGCATAGACAATAGCGACTAAAGAAAATGCAAACACAATTCCAAACCATAGCATAATGTTGAAGATTGCAGCATAATCAGCTGAGTAGTTGTCTTGATTCTGTAATATCAATAAAATTTATTAATAAATAATAATATTCCCTACACACTGGATGCTACTGAATTTAGTATCTAAAAGAAACATGCTAATTAAGTCATTAATATTGCTACTATAGTCACTACACTATGTTAGCAAGAAACATCTAAACTACACTACTTTACAAATCAGTATTGAACTAACGGATCGCAGTTGCTTTTCCATCTGCTCTTCATCCTTGAATTGAAAATTATTCGTTATAAAATTTATTAAAACTGCATTCATAGACATTAAAATAAATATTTGTATCTATGTATATAGTCACAGAATGTGATTATAACTAATATTCTTTAAATATTAAATGATATGTATAAAAATAACTTCCATAGTTGATAGATTACTCATCAAAATTTATCTTTCATATAGCAATAGTAAGAAAATGTATGCTGTGCTGTATATATACATATTTATTATTTGTTATATATGTATATATGTATTTATACCTGATCATCAGCCACTGCATCGGGAGCAGCACGAATAGCACGTCTTGTGTGTGCGACGTCAGTAGTCACAACAGTTACGAGCACTGAACCGTCATAAGCCTTTACAAATGCATCATTTAGCTCCTGAATAGCTTCAGCTGAAAATTATATTCATCAATAAATCTATTTATAAAAAAATTATCTGCTTGATCAGCTGAATTTTTCACTTTAAGTCAAACTAGTAAACTATATCTTTAGAGATATACATTATGACTATGGAAAAATAAACTTATATTTTCTGGATACACTGTCCATAGTATACTACAAAAACAATAGTTTTCTAGTATGTAGTTTCATTTTAAATATGAGCTTACAAAATTATTACAACCATTATATCATAAATGTCTTTTAAGCTTTCGGATTTTATACTTCGCACTTATTGTAACACCAATTGATTTGTCACCAATTATCTTTTAGTTTACATTCATAACGGTATAAAATAATTATTAACTGTAATATGAAGTGTAAAAAACTCTTACCTAAAAGTTGCCTAGCCTCTCTGGTTTGGGCTGTGTTAGGGCCGTGGTAGTCTGATAGTGCATGAAGGGAACGGAATCTAATGTTGTAGAAGTCAATAATGTTATCGGGAGATACTGCACCACTTTTCAACTGTTAAATATAGACAAATATACATTTAACATATACTGTGGCTTTGTTGTGTAAATCATACATAATTTAGATTAATTTTAGTATAATACTTTGAAAAAGTATGATTATGGTCCTGTATGACCAAATAACATGTACCTTATTAGTAATTTTTTTCAATACTTCCAACTCATATAAGAATTGGTAATCCACTTCATTTGTATCATATTTCAAGTTGAAAGATTTCTTGGGAATCTTAGGAGGAACAATTTCACCGAACACCTTTGACGCTACAGCTAACTGCAATTAAAATAATTTATTTGTAAATATTTGAGACATTTATATGTAAAGAAAATTGATTTCAATTTGTTATAGGTACTACTTACATCATCAGATTCTGATAATCCAATGTTAACAAGCTTATTGTTTCCGTTAATAAATCTCTGCTTAATCCTATGTTTGATAGCATCATATGCATCTGGTTCATATTCATCAACAATAAGAGGGTATTTCTTACTCTTAAGTCCACTCTGGAATACATTTTATATGATTAATATAGAAATATTACGTTTTTAACGGTTTTACGTCATAGCATCTTTGTGTTTGACATTTTAGATGGGTGGATGGAAAATTCTGAATTAATTTTTTTTTACATGTTTTTAAAACATCAAAAATTTTAGATAGTTCAATATTTTTTAAGAGGGCATAAGCTGATAGGAATGTTAGCAGCTTACAACTTAATGGGATGGAAATTTTTATCTTATGCTGGTTCTAATTTTGTCATATTACAAGGTCTACCACACTTAAGATAACTTACATTTTCTCCAAGTGAAGATATACCATCAATGTAGACTTGTACAACTGCCTCTGGGGTGTTAAAAGGATCTGTGATGGACAGACCGTTCCATTCTGAATTCTGTAAAGTCATAATATCCATTAACATTTCAAATTACCTTAAAAATCAATAATAATCCGACATCATGTGACAAACTATATTGCAGTAAAAAACATTTTCGTATTCAAATTTATTTAAAAAACTTACTTCTTCTACTGACAAGCCAAGAGCTGCTGAGAAGATTTCTTTCAGGAGACTTTCCGATGTTTTGCTTGATTCAGAGAACTTCAAGGATTGTGGACTATGTAACACGCTGAATTCACCAGCAGCGTTAGAGCCTTAAACGTAATTGTTATACAAAAAAAGATTCCCAAGCGAATCCATGTTGAGAAAAAAGGGGATATCTTACCTAAGACTGAGACTGCAAGGGTAATCCAAAACAGAGGCATTGTTACACCCATTTTGCATGGAAACTGGTGGCTTACTGTCATATGATTAAAGTGTTACCAATTGAAACTAACTATTGGCCTTAGTACCAACATAACAAAACTAATATTTTTTAGCCAGCAATTAATATCCAATAACTAGTCTATCGGTTTTATGCTTTCAATAATATTTTAAGTTTTAATCTATTTAAGTAAAAACTTTAATTTGATGTTTTATTTTATTATACCGTTTTTTTTCTAATAATTTGATTCAATGTCCTAGAATTCAGAGCGGTATTTTAATTTCATATCAACCAATCCAATAAATCAATGTCAGCTTTCATAGTCTTTTTTTGTCAAAATTCAAACTTAAAAAATGTTGTTGTCGTGTTCAGATTATTGATTCTTTTATTTCCGTAGTTTATATCACTATAATAGAATTAATTACCTACTCATTGCATATGTACTTTCAGTAAGACATTACAAAGCATTGTTGAAGGTTGTATTGGGATCGTTCTTAGAAATGCTCAACTAAATATAACGAAAATAGAATCCCGTAAATTTCATGTTCTGTTTATTTAACAAATAAGTTAAAACATACATAAAATCGGAGGAAATGTGTTAGAAGAATAGTTTTAGCAGCAGTTTTTAATTAAATATTGTACAAATGTCTCACAGAACCCCAGGATTTCAGCTGACTGATTTATTTCCTAGAGAGATTGATATCGAAGTATGTTTAAAAAACTCTGAGAATATTCCAAAAAATGGAAGGTGATGTTAATTGCGTTGTATGGGATGCATCATTAGTTCTTGCTAAGTATCTTGAAACAATGTGTCAGACCAAACCAGAATTTTTAAGTGGCTTAAGAGTACTGGAATTGGGTTCAGGGCTAGGTGTTGTTGGACTTACTGCAGCTACATTAGGGTTAGCATTAAATTAGCTTCCATTGTATAAACATACAAAGTGCAAAAAGTTTATATAAATATTTTTTATTTTAGGGCTCAAGTAACACTAACTGATTTACCAGAAGCTCTGCCATTGCTCCGATTGAATTTATCTGAAAATAAATCGAAAATCGCAAGCATGGGAGGATATGCTATAGCCGAGTCCTTAGTATGGGGTGATAAAAATTCTGAAATTCATAAACAAGAGTTTGATATGATTGTTTTAGCTGATTGTGTTTACTATGAAGATGTAATTAATAAAATTAATCCATATTAAGCTTATGACTTCATTAGAATGCTTCTTGTAAAATAACATATTACCAATAGATTTGTTGCATTTGTATGTATAAGTATTATTAGTTTATTGTAACATTATCAAAAAGCTTTTAAAATACAGGCTAAGTTAAAAAAATATTGCTTTTTTAAAAATTTATTGTAGTGAAAATATTTTATATATTAAATTTGTAACTTGATTTCAGGCATTGCTACCTCTAATAGAAACCCTGCAGTGTTTAAATCACACACTGAAACAGAAGCCCACAATATATTTAACACAAGAACTAAGAGATTCTGAGATACAGAAAAAGTTATGGAATGACTTTTATGAAAAACTGAATGAGTACTTTTATATTGAAAAAATTCCCGAGGAACAGCAGCATGTCAACTACAGAAGTCCCGATATACTCTTGTTGAAAATAATAAAGAAATGATATTTATACAGCTACGATTTAGTTTAAGGATTTTTGATGTAAAAGTTATACAAAACAGACATTTAAAGTTTTAAAAAATTAAACATTTATAGAACATTACAAATGTTGATGAAATAATTTATATCACATTTTAATATTTCTATTATAAATAATGTGTTGATTTTTAATTGTTAATAGATTTAGATGCAGATTTGAATGAAGGCATGGACATATTTTCAGCACAAACTTTTGAATGTTAATAGTTTACAATAGAATATTTACAATTTTAAGAAAATCATTATGAATTTAAGATTGTTTATTATGTAAATGTTTATTATATCTTACATATAATTGTTCCTAAGGTGTAGAATCTGATAGTAAAAAAAATAAGAATTTTTGACTTTCCTTCTTATCCTGAATCACATTAAATTAGTTGTTTTATTTTAAACTAACATAAAAAAAGGAAGATCTATCGATATTATTTGGTAAAGTTATCTACCCATAATTTGTTCAAATATTTTTTTGATTTTTCAGAACCTGTTTGATGTGTTCTATTTTTGAATTGGTTGGATTTATATGTATCAAAATTTGTTTAGTAGTTTTTGAGAGAAATTAATGGTTAAATAAATTAAATTATTACGCCAATAAAATTTTGGATCGCAGTTTACTAATTAGATAATTGACGTCTGCTTTCATATGGCACGCTTGTACGTTTGAACATTAATAGAACGCGTGATTGTTGGTAATACCACAAAAACCTTTGATATATAAACAACGTAGCAGTAAATATTAAGCGTATCGCATTGAATCTGTCTTATATATATAGTGGTTTTTCAGAACAAGTGAACAATTTCCAAGTGATCATATGAAACAGTATTTTTGTAGTTTAACTTTCTTGTCAAAGAAATTAAGTTTAAATTAAGTTTCCATCATGCATAGTCTTAGAATGGTTTCGAATATATTGCATAGTATTTATTTGTCTTAAAGTAAACTTTAAATGTTACTTTCCTTTGCGCTTTTGAGCCTATTTCAAGTATTTATAGTTCAGAACGGAACATTTTTTTCAAATTTTGAATGTAAACTACAAAATGCTTCCATTTTTTAATAATTAATTTGTTTATTACTAGGCGTTACATTTACAATTATAATATTGTAATTTTAAGCACAGAATACAATAAAAAATTCGCCTACGTTGCATTCTACGAAGACAGAAAAAGATAATGTCGATAACGCCGACTTTTCATTTATGAATTGTTGACGAGAAATGGGGTCTAAGTATAATAGAAAAAAAAGGGTTGTAATTATTTTATTTTATTTAAAAGAAATTGTTTACTAATAATATAAGGTTTATATTCGTTGTTACTCCACCTTGGTCCGTCGGACATTGAGGACTTTGAAAAATTTAATTTAACCTTTCCATTATCACGACACCGGCTTGCGGAAATTTATTATTTTCATTCATGAATCAAAACAAATCAACGACAATATTTGGAAGTGATACCCTTAAGCATTTCCAGTGTTTCTGAAAGTCGAATATTAAAACTTAAAAGTGACTTCAGCCAAAACAAGTATTTCAATTGTCTTTTAGGTGTAGGTATATATGTATGCAGAATATATATATATATATATATATATATATATATATATATTAAAAATATGACAGTAGTATTTTAAATACTACTGTCATATTTTTACTATAAGGTCTATCTTAATAATACTTATAAACTTATTTTCATTTTGTTTGTTCACTGAGAGTTTTGAAAGACCTAAGTCTCAGTTCTTTAGATCTTATAAATATTTTTTGAATTTCTAAGCTCGTAACACTATACAGGGTGACTGGTGAATTACTATCAATATTTAAGGAGAATACTCGGTACATGATTCTCATTCGAATTATGTAAAAAAAATAGGCACTTAATTTTTGACAAAATTTCCGTATAAATAAATAAAGTGTTGACACGGTCCAAGTGTTCCAAGTGTGGACGCGTGCGGCGGCGTGCTGATACAACACTACGCCGCCGCACACGTATGTGTGTGTGAGTGTATACCTAATCTGTAGGGTGTGCACACGATGCGTAATTAATTACATAACTTTTGGTTAACTTTACTTACAAGTTTATTAATATTTATGTTATATTAATTTTTATTTTGTCATATATGATCGTCAAATATCACGTCCTCAAGTATCGATAGTAATTCACCAGTCATTCTGTAGAATCAACTGTTCCAAAATAATGTAAAGTTGAGCGTTTAATTCGCTTCAGATAGGGTTTCCTTAAACCAAAGCACGAGGTTCGCAAGTTCAAAGCACTGTTGAAGTTCCTCTCCATGCAACACGATGAATCCGGCACCCGCATGGCAAGTCAAGGGATACAAAGAAGCTTCATTTCAAATTCTTAAAGAAGGTTTATTTAGATAAAAGCTATATTTTTTTTGTAATGTTTATCTACCATTTTATATGTTGATTCGTTGCCTTTTTTTGGCAGTAAAAATATATAAAATTATTATTATTAACTCTTGTATACCTACTCGGCTTTAATTCATATTAATTGTTTATTTTACTTAATAATTTTTGTATAAAAAATAAAATGACAGTGGCAAGACATGTAAACATAAAACAATGTCCCTCAAATTTCAAAGTCGTTGTCAAAAAACATGCTATGTTTGCAACACGGAATTCATCATAATCACTTTCAACTTTAAAGTTTTGAATTGTCTATAAAACCTAAGAGATTTTAAAGCAATTTTTTGTATTTTGAATTTAGTAAGTAATTAAGACAAACATGTCGACATCTTCTGTGCCTGAGGATTTAGTGTCGTCTGCTTGGATAGTTTGTCCATCAAAATCCTACCCTGGTGAAGATTATTATTTTAATACTTTAACTGGTCAATCAGTGTGGGACTTAAGTGAGCCGGAGGTAATAGCAACCTTTAAGTAAAACAGTAATGTTTGTTATTAAATTATGTTGTATTGTTTTAAAATAAGTATTTTTAAAAACATAAATAAAACTTTATTTTGGGATTAAGTTATAGTGGTTTGTTGAAAGCGATAATCATTTTGCCTTCTATTCAAAATATTACATTAAAGTAATGAAAATATATAAAAGTTAAATTGGAAAAAAAGAATGAACATGTATGTTGCAAATCTTATTTTTTTTATTACAGGTAAAAAAGGCTCTAACAAGAGCTCAAATTTTAGAAAATCAGTCAGGATTTCATGCAAATGACTGTCCGGAACCTTCAGACTCCCCTCAGAATATTTCAAGTGAAGATCAAATAATCAAGCTTAAATACAACAAAAGTTTTCAAGCAAATATTAACAATAAACAAGTTATGAATAACCAGTTTAGGAAACCATATCCAGTAAGACAGTTTCCCAGATACAATGGTTCTAATCCAATTGAATTCAATATACCTACCACAAGTGCTTTTAATGGAGAACAAAATGCATCAGGATCTATTCAGGGCAAATCATCTTCAGACCAAATACCAGAACCTAAAACATTGTTGCCTTTGTCAAATCGTTTTAAGAATTTTCCAAACTATCAAACTCAAAACCAATTTAAAAAAAAGGTCTTCAAAAGGAATTTCAAACAGAAGCATTATAATGGACAGAGGAATAATTCAAATCAAAAGTTTCATAATAGTAAGAAGAATAGTGACGTTAGATGCGTTGGGCCTTCAAAACAAACAAGTATTAACAATATAATTGATAATGAATCTTTTAATCATTAAGATGCTTACTTTCATGAACATTATTATTTTAATACAATACATTATTATCATCTTCGTCTTTTTGCCATTTATGTATGGTTGTCACAGTATGTACTTCTTTTCCTTGTGCCTCTATCCGCTATATCTGAATTGACATCCTTATACATATGATTTCTCACATTTCTCTTTTTCCTTTATCCATTTAATCTCATTTTTTCATCCCGCCTCATAAGATGCCCATATCAAAATACAATATAATATATGAAATAATTATTAATATTTTCTTTCACATAGATCACAATAATGGTTTTAGAAAACCAAATTGCAAGAGAAAAGCAAGTGTCAGAAATAATGAAAGTAATTCTCACGATTTGTTAAATGAAGATGATTTCTGGTTAGAGGTTAGTAATATTTGGAATTTATTAATCAAAATTTTTGTTTAAAAGACTTCTATGTTGATGTATTGCATTTCAACATATGTATTACACATTCAAAAATCCTTTTTTTTTAATGAATAAGTAGTTTTATTTCAGTACTAAAGTGATTATTTATAAACCAATTTTCTTGATTTATACATTGAAATTATTTTTTTATAGGAAAATCTACAGTTGCAAAACAAAAAGGAAATACTTGATGTAACACTGTTAAAAAAAAATTTAGAAATTGAAAATTCAGATCTATGGTATATTATTGTAGATTCAAACACATTGTTAAACAACATAAACTTCATAAATATATTTATTAATGCAGGTAATTCATCATATTACACATTGATATTTCATAAAAAAAAGAAACTAAAAAGGTTTTCTTTTAAATTTCAGATGAGGAGTGTCGTCTTATAATACCAAAAATGGTAATTGATAATATTAAAAGCTTTGTGAATTCTCGAATGAGAACTCAAGCCCACAGAGCTGAATATTTAATTACAAAACAGCTTGATGCAGGTTTAGCTTTTATTGGTAATAAAATTTCTACTATGTTAATTAAATAATTCATTTTTAATTATAGAATGATAAAGGTTTATCAAAATATATAAAGAACAATATCACAAAATAGGGCTACAGTAATTTGTTTGGTTAGCTGCCATATGATAGTTTTTAAAGATATGTTTATTATATCTTGTATTTGGCCTTTGGGTCTAATAAATCTGTGCCAAATAACGTCAAGGTAGCCTATATTGCTAAGATATTAGCAAAATACAAAGCTAAACTACATTTTAGCTTGCATTCTATTATGTATGAAATATGGAATTCATAAAATTCTATGCCTTTCTATTTTAACTGAAAATTCCTTAATAGGTTAATACTTTCAGCTATTAATTAAGTAATCATTATTTTTCTTCTTTATACATGATCATCAATACATCTAGAATTATTTCTTAGTATTAGTAAGACCAGTTGGATTTTCTGCTGGCTTGTAATTTTATAACACATTTCTTTTTGTAATTCTTGATTTGAGTTCTATTTGGATAGTTTTATCCCTACTAATATCATAAATGCGAAAGTAACACTGTCTGTCTATTACGCTTTCACGACTAACCCACTGAACTGATTTTAATGAAATTTAGTACAGAGATATGACCTTGAGAAAGAACAGGATAGTTTTTATCCCAGAGTTTTGAAAGGTTCTCTTGGATATAGCCGAACTCCACGCTGGCGAAGCTGCGGGCGGAAAGCTAGTGTTCATATACTTTTTAAATATATGTACTTTCTTAGTCATATATAACACTACATACAATCCCCTGTCCTAGATCTATTTCAACTATTGGATAGGAAAACAACTAACATACTGCTTTACTAAGATTTAAGTACTTATTAAATCGTATTTTATATAATTAAAATGAGAATTAAATTTAAAGTTACAGATGAAGTTAACTCTCCGATGATGTCTGATGAAAAACACAGTATTATAGTATGTTGCACCAAACTTATAGAGGAAAACTGTCATGTGGTATGTATTAAAAATATATAGATATAATTTTTATTCTAAGAAATTTATTAATTAGTTTCCAAAAAAAACTTTTTAGATAATTTTAAGCAATGACCTAGAAATAAAGGATTTAAACTATAACAAAAAACTGGTTTTTACTATAAGAGAAATAAAAACATTACTGACCAAAACTGAAAATGAAAATAAAGAATCTTACCAACCCAAAGCAAACATAGAAGACAGTCTCAATATAAAGATTGTTATACCAAATACGAATAAGACAGAAAATAATGGAATTTTGCAAACAAATGACGAAGCATATGATATTGATGAAGCAAAAGTTCAAGAAACTGAAATAATTACTGAAGTACCAGAAACTGAAATAAATACTGAAGTAGAAGAATCTGAAATAAATCAAATAGATTACAATGTAATGCCCAGTGCTAATACCAGTGTTAACAAAGATCAAGCCCAACAAAAAAAATTTAGGAGTTTATCAAACAAAAACCCAGACAGTAAAAGACAGTATTTGAAATACAATAGACGCAGAACAACGAGTAGTATGACAACATTAACAAATGGCGATAAGGATGAAACAGAAATTACACCCGGAGATGTACATTCGACGGACTCTGAAAATTCGACATGTAAAATAATTAATACTAAAAAAGAAGATATAATAAGTACGAATAAAAGTAAAGATATTCCAGAAATTAAGAGAAATATAGAGACTAAGAGCAAAGAAATAACAAAAAACAATGAAATGTCGCAAGAAAACACAGAGTATCATAATGTTATGTTCGAAATCACCGATCAGGATATGGAAGATCATTTAGAGCTGAAATCAGATGAATTTGTATCAAGATTCGTACAAATAATGGGGGAAGTTTTAGAACGCGTATTACTAGAGGAACCGATATTCGATTCTGAAGCTATGCCACCTCCTTGGACGCTTTACGAAGCCACAGAATGTATTAAAAGGAAATTTCATTATGATTCTGATGTTGTGGACGCAACAACAAAACTATTGAATGTTTTATTTGAACTCGGTGGCTTGAGAGGTTCGTTTATACTAAATTATAAAGCACTAAAGGCTACCAAAACTTGATATTATATTATTTCTTATGTAAAAAAAATGTTACAATATTTTTAATTTTCAGGTAAGATTACTCGGGATATAAGTCCTCAGAAATACATGGACATGTATAGCTTCGGAGTTTACTTAATAGATTCATTACAGGTATGATATGTGGTCAAATTTTTCGTTTATTTAAAATCATAATAGGATTAAATTCTTAAAAGGTGCAGGATGTATGGAGTAGCCAGATTTGAAAATATCATTTATGTTAGTGCTATTGACAACAATCTTTTATTGTAATTAGAAATGCAATAGAAATTTTTAAAATAGAAAACAGACACCCTTTTCGGATTCAATGAAGAAGCAGTTCCGAGTATTTTTTTTTGTAAAATTTTAAGGAACTAAAGAGTGGCCAATAAGTTCTGTAAATAGAAGACGTTCTAAAAATATAAAATATCTAAAAAAATTGACAATTAAAAATTTTTGATAGAGACCCCAACCCTTTAAAAATATATTTAAATATTATATAACTTCATGGAAAGATTCATTCATTAATATTATAATTCAATAAACTTTTTTTTAACAATGCAGGGTATTTTAAGTAATAATGAAGATCTCCAATTAGCTGCTGAGTCTTTATCGAAGTTGTTAAAAGATATACAAAACCCTGTTTTGGACAATTGCAATCGAGACAGTCCCGATAGCTTACAAGATGGCGATCATAATAACAGTTTTATTAATGGAACGATTTTAAATGGTGAGTTAGTATTTTTTATTTCTTATCATATCTATTCGTTTTTACTATAATTAATCATCCAAAAACTACCTACGCCTATGTTGCATGATCGATTTAATATTTTCGATAATAATAATTTATTCAGTAGATTTTTTGTCTATTGAATTTAGTTTTATATAGATTTAGTTCTTCTTCCTCATAAACCTTTTAATTTTCAAAATTAGAATGCTAATGCTTGCCAAATTAATCGATACCTCCCCCGTAAGTTGTTGTATGCCACAAAAATGCAATTTTGTTTTTATTTATAAAAAATATTCTATTATGGATCATTACATCCATTCAAATTGAAAAACAACAAAAACACTATTTTTAAAGGATTTGTCAGACGCATAATGTTGTAATTTTCAAACGCGAACGGATTAAACTGATGTATATGCCTATGCAATTGTTTACGCGGGGCGCGAGGTGAGTAAAATCACGCGCTCGCGCCGCGTATGAGTTACATACAACAGAATAAGTTATGTTTTACAACGTATACACTTATGTTTTTCAACGTATACAGTTGTAACTATCATATACCACAAGTGATGCTACGTGGGCGCCGCGGTATAATGTTTTAAGTATCAGATACAACGCCTTTTTTAGCTTCTACTCCGGAGTAAAATGTCGTATGAACAATATAACAACAATATCTCCGCAAATAGGCATAATAATTAAAATATCTTTTAACGTAGTTAAGAAGACTATTATGTTAAATTTAAATACGAAATTTTAAAAAGATGCATCAATAAATGCAGATTTTGGTTTAATTTGAATCTTTGAAACACTCTACTGTCAAATTACACTTTTGGAGGTACAACAACTTACGTGGGAGGTATCGTAATGTTCTTATTAAAAAAATCCAAAACCAAAACTGATATTACAAATTATGTGAATTTTATTTAATAAATAATTTATGTATTTTTTTTTTCTAGAATCAGGGACCCGGGATTGGGGCTCGTGTGATCATGATAAAAATCCCAAGAAGAAAAGGGTCAGGAAAGATTCAACCAGTTCAAGAAGTTCATCAGATTGTGACCTTAGATCTAGTGAGGAAGAAGTATTAGAGGTAATTAGTAATTTACATATAACTCGAATTAAGTGATAAGTCTTTTTGATCCTAAGTGGTTTCACTAAAAAATTATTTATAGAGATATCCCTTGACTTAATTGGTGCCACTAAATTTGTATATTAGACGTTAAATAACAGCTTTAAAATAAATTATAACAAATACTCTTCTTATATGCTGAGTATAAAAAACTTTCTATATTTTGTTAATCTTTCAGGACGTCAAAGAAAACAATAGAATTGATTCAGAATCATGCTTCTTTAGGAATTTAGATTTGAGGAAAAATTCACCATATAAAGACAAATACTCAGTAGACGATAGTGAAACATCAACAAATGTCGCTCAAGATAGTAATAGTAAGGAAACTAAAATTGTAAGGAAATTCACAAAGTTTACTGAATATGAGGAGAAATTTAAAGATAAACCTAAAGTACCATATGATTCATGGAATCATATGAATGATGAATATGAACAACTTGATTATGAACCAATGGATGATGAAAATTATTCTGAAGATAATCATAATTATAATGATGAAATGCATGAGAGTATTGACACAACCTGTAATGATGTACAAGAAACAGAAAATAATAACAATGAGACAAATTTTGATACGTTCGTAAAGAAAATGGAATCACATGCCAAAGAAACTTATTACACAGTCTATAAATTTTGGTGAGTTACTTGTATTAATGACTTTTGGTTTGCTATTATGATAATGTATAATTCTCATGTTGCATAATATTAAATATATATGTTGTTTCCAGTAATAATTCATATCAAAAATTAATTTTAACACCTAGTCCTACTGAAAAAAGTCAGATAAATGTACAGGCTGAAAAAACCTATGCAGATATTGAAAATTTATGCAATGCTTTCACAAGGTGAGTTACTTTTTATATACTGACTATATTAAAGTTTTTGACAATATTCTATTAATTTATCTCAATTTTCTTAGCTATGTGAGAACAATTATTAATTAATTATATTATAGTTTTGTTTTCATTACAATTTAGCTCAATTTCAGTTCAATTAATTTTCAGTCAGACTTAATATCGAGTCTTTTTGTGTAAAATTTTCGGCTTATCAATTATTTTCTTAAATAAACATAAAATAATACCTAGTAAGCAATATAGTTTTGTTAACAATAGACGAACAAGTGAAGCAATAAGTTTTGTTGCGGAACATATTTATAAGCATTTTGATAATAATATTCCAACAACAGTTGCCCTTTTGCTTTTCCCCCCTTTTCCCCTATCAGGGCGGCAAAACATCCGCAAATCTACGTTGCGGATGTCCATGAGCGACAGTACTATCTCAATTAGTTAGGCCGTCGGCTCAGTTGCCCCTTTTACGATAAAAAAACAAGTTACTTTTGGGGCTGTCCATATATTACGTCATTCTAAATTAGGGAGGGGGGTTCGGTCTTCCGATGACGGTAAATGATAGATGGGGGGGGGGGGTGTTTTGAAATTAACGTCATTCTTATTTATTTATTTATAGTTTATTGTTCACGTACAAAAAGATAATTTCTAAAAAGAAATTTCTTCCAGCACTCCTAGTAAGTGAGACTGCAAATGTGAGAGGCGGCTAAGGCGCATACAATACTAAAATAACTCATAATGCAACATAGATGTACGCAAATACTTACATGTATTATACATATAAACCTTATTATATTATATCAATGATTATTGCCAAAGTAAAAATAAAAAAGGTGATTCTATAACCAAGTGTTTTAATCATATAATACCCTATTTTTCTCAAATCTGCAATGTTTTAATTTTGTCAAACTGGTAATGACGTCAATTTCTGGAGAACGGGGTGGGGGGTCATTAAGAAATGACGATAGGATGATTGTAGGGTGGGGGGGTCTAAAATCTGAAAAAATCGATGACGTAATTTATGGACGGCCACTTTCTTATTAAAGCATTTGACACAATAAGCTGAATTCTGTTGGGAAAGCTGGAAGTGATATAAAAGCGGAATCGTTTTGAAGCTATTTTGGGGCTATTTAAATAATAAATTGCCATGCATTGAAGAATGTATTGTAAAAGGCTAAAATAGTTACCATAGGTGTGGGGAATATTCTAGGTCCTTTGCTTTTTATACCTTATATAAAAGAATATTTTTGTTAACTTCTGGATAATTGTAATGTTTGATAATAATTAGTTAGTTTAATAGTGAGTAGAGACAGTTAATTATTTGTCAGGCCTCGGTTGAAGGTGGTACTAGTTGACTAAAAAAAATATTGAGGAATATTAAGTTCATTCATATTAATTCACATACATTCATGTTGTAAATGTCTTATTTTTCTCCAACTGTGACCACATTATTTTCTGATATTTCCTAACTATACTTGAGAAATGTAAATTAAAACTTTGGTAAGATTATTAGATTTTATAAATTTGGTACTTGCTTGAATCAATTGTTTTGAATTATGTAATTGTATATTCCCCCTTCCATTATTTTTCTGCTATATTCCTAAACCTACCTACCAAAAACATAATATAACTCTTATATACAGAATATTGGAAGGTGAGAAGGGTGATTCTGAACACAAGATTCAAGAGTTTTTCAAAGATACGGAGCTTTTAAACGTCAGTGGTGAAATGAAAAATATTGAAGATTACAGGTTCAAGTTTAATTTAATTAATTTTTCTATTCAAATTTCCATATTTAATTAACATTTTTCTATATTTTACAGGAATCTCATCAGTTATCTGCTACAACACGGCAACGCTTTAAAAGACACTCTAAAATTAGTTTTAGATGCTAGCAAAGAATAACTCTTATGAGATATTCTGTTGTGTATGAAGTCAGAATATTTTCGTTAAGAATTGTTAAAAAATATAAAATAGTTGAAAAACAAATAAACCCCTGTGATCAATTTTATTGTACATAATAAAGAAAGGCTCATTTCTGTGTCATTAAAGAAAAAAATATTTTGTAATAAATTTTTTATTATAACCACTCAGACATTCATCCACATGGCACTTATGTGCGTAATAAATATATTAAAAATTATTTACAAGTAAGGAAGACTATTGCAAATACTATCTAAAACCCCTTCCGTCCATCATTGCTTGGGCGCAGTATTTCGGGAACTGGATTACAGTCAGCAGAAAGTCTGTGAGGCCCTGGAATAAGTAATGAGATATTTAAATACAAGAAAAATATAAATTCTCTATAACTTTATTTCAAATGTAGGTATTCACAGTTTGCACTTAAGTAGATACAAATTTATTTACATAGATTATAAAATAAAAATTATATACTCACTGATAAAGGTTCTATGCAAACGGTGAAGGGTAGAATTATAATGTATATTCCTGCTGCGATTCCCGCTATCCAGAATGCGATGAATAATAAAATGATGAGCCATATTATGGAGTAGATAATGTTGCCCATTGTCTGAAAATAAATTTAAAACGTTACCTTCATACTGAACGCATCTTTAAACATGTTAAAATTTAAAAATTCTAATATGAGAATATATACATACAGTGAATGACTTTTATCTGTTAAAAAAACATTAATAAAATAATATAAATTCATTACATATTTAAAGAGAAAGTTAGTTATTTTAACTTGATTTATTTATAATAAAAATTACATAAACGAGCAATCTCGTTTGTTGCCAGACGAAAACAAGTACTTAATTGGTTTTTTAATAATGTATATAAAGATACGCAATGCCCCAATTACAAATGCATTTATTACATCATTAACACTAAAATTCATAGGCAAGTTATCTGTTACGATGAGTTATAATTTATTTTGATAGTTATATAAGTAATTTTGTTGTCACTTAGTCTTTATCAAACTCACGTGATTGATATTACACTTATAAAAAAATAAAATTTTCTACTTGTTTCCTACAACCAAACAGGAAATTTCAATTTTAATACCTCTTATAATTGTGTTGGAATTAGGACATAATAATGTACTTTTTATGTAACTAAAATAAAATCTTTAAGGTCCGACTGTCAAAGAGTAAATAATATGATAACTACCTCTATAAAGGAGAAGTACTTAGTAAAAACGGAGGCCTCATTTGTACTACTAGACAAAATTAAGTTAGCCTTCTTATAATTATAGTATTTCTGTTAATAAATTATGGATTATAGAAGTATTAAATATGGCGAAATGGGGAACTGTGAGGGAAAAGAAAAGTAACTACATTGTTAAAATTGATTCCTACTGTTTATGCATTATCATAGGTTGCGGTCAATTTACTAATTGAGTCATTATATGAGAGATACATATAAAATGAATTGGCTTTTATTTAAATTGAGTTCAGTTAAAAATTTTATCCCTTCATTTATCATTTTAAAGCTCTTATAGACACTTAAGTGATTAAGGGTCTTGGTAGACAAATAGATGCACTAGAAATTGTTCAAGTTAACATGTAAGAGGATTGAAGAACCCTAAAATGGGAACCTTGGGACCCTAAAATAAGTAGGAGATTTTATTTCAGTATTTTACATCACTTCAAAGATATGAATATCTAATTTTAGTTTGTTCATTATCATCAATATGCAAAGGCTGATGTTACGTAAATCATATCTCGTATTTTATGGTTGAACAAGGTTAAAGTGATGCGTCAGTCCCTTTGGAATTGATTGTCTCACGGATGTCCTCGACAACGATATTTAGTTTAGTTTGTTGCATGTATTACGCCTGTATGCTGACGGGTATAAACATACACCACGAAGTCTTAATGCAATATGCATGTAATAGTGCGTTGAGATAATCACATAGCTATTATAGCTATGAACGATAGGAATTCTGGAAAACTAATATAATAATTTATAATATACTTTTTCAAACTTGTTTCATTAGGTGGGGTGATGGTTCAAATCTTTTAAAAATATTTCAAAACATGAAATTGTTTTGTATCGTCTCTTGTTTTTATCAAAGGATTTTATTTATAAAATTTGATGTTTACTAAATTATAAATCGATGTTTCTAGAGTCTTTCGAAATTAAAAATAACGAGGAATCTATAACTTCTGAAGTGACGTACCTCCCTAGCTGTTACAAACAATTACCGGTTATATCGATACCGGTTTCTTGGAATTGTGTGTAACGATCTCATTAATATGTTTTGTACTTAAAACTACCGCTATAAATAGGAAATATTTTATAGTATTATTGTAAGATACCTGTTGCTTCACGCATATGTTAAATTATTCGTGTGGGAGAACTACATATACCTAGTCCTAACATGTAGCATGTTTAGATATTACAATAAGATAATGAATAAATAAATAAATACTCATATCAAACTACGGATGTATAAAAAAATATCAAATTCCTGTTTCATATCTATTTCTAATACCTAAATATTAATCCTTTGTAACGTATTTTTATGGTTATGTTCCCTTTAGATACAGAATAATACCTACATGAATATAAACTGATAAGTTTAGTAATTTAATCAAATTTCCCTGAGATTATTCCCAAAATATTGTACTTTAAATAAAAATAAAATATAAATGATGTGTATTTGTTATAATTAACATGATTGTAAAGTATTTGGTGATTTTTAAATTATTATAGGTAAATATCTATATCATTCATTAATTCAATTGTATTTCTAGCTATGCGATGTAATTAAATAACAATGTTTTCTAATACAAAACCGTCTAATCAAGGCGTAACGTATGTGAAAGTCGAACACTTGCATCTATTTTAGGTTCAAAGAATGCGTTGATAGCATAAGTTTACTCATAATAAAACAAACCGGTATCGCGTCTTCTAGCGTAGGTGCTACTTACTACGTCCTACTTAGGTTTGTTATGAAAAGACGAATTGAATCCGCCCACTTACCTAAGTTTACCTAAGTTTCATTAATATTATTATTTATGTATAAATATATTTACCTACTCATATTTTTTTCAACACCATTTTGTTAAAGAAATATTGATATCGCAACCTTCCTGAATTGTTTTTATGCGATTAGTTTTGTTAATTCCAGTTTTAATACTATTGTCAATAATTCACATTAAACTTTTATTTCACATGACTTTGTAACGCCTAATGTGAGAACTAATATTGTGATTTTATTGTAGCGACCTATTTAAAAATATCTTAATGACTATGACATCATATTTAATAAAGTAAATTCTAAAAATATTACGTAAACAGTTCTGGAATGAAACAATAATATAAGAAAACAGTTTTTCGTAAACAATTTACTACAACATAAAGTAATCGAGTTCTTAAAAACTCTGATATCTTCCAAATAATGAAGAAAAATGTTTCAATATTCTAATAAAATACTTGAATATTATTATTTGTTATTTAATAAAAATTCTTACCTAGTTTTATCGGTGGTTATTTATCACAACACAAACAACTAAACTGGCGTCGTATGTTCACGAGAACGTACACTGCTATAACTTATAAACGACGGATATAAACTACTCTGTGTCACAGAGTAATGACGTCGCTAGAGAAAACGATAAACATTTGATAAGTAGATAGTACGTTAGTCATTGCAAATAATGTTAAGGTTATGGTTTGTGATACTTATCACGAAAGGATTAGGTCAGTTTAATTATATTTTGTTTTAATTCAGTTGTTACTAGACGGTCATGCCACTAGAATGTACCTACTGATTGGTTATAATTTTTTTGAATCCTTATTCTTTTTACGATTTTGTGGTCACGATACGGTAATGCTTATATTTTTTTTATATATAAAAATACTAATAGTAATAAATATCTCACTATTTTTACTTATATATTTAACTACAAATTAGGAATGAAGATCACGCTATAAACAAATCTTCGTGGAACATTGTGTTCCTACCTATTTGTAGTTACATATAAGGAGTCATACAATATTACTATTGTGATACTCCATAACGTTTTGTGTATTAGTTCAAACAAATTTTTGTGCAATCAGAGTAACAATTAATATTTTGTAATAAAAACAGTATATATTCATATTCTACTATATGAATTAAAACGTTTAACTTTCAAGAGCAATAATTGCGTATACAACTTAAATTTTCAAAAAAATCAGGCACTACATACTTTAATACAATACTTTAAAAATAAACCCTTAGATATTGAATAAGAATGGAATTTGTATACTTTTAGGATTTATTTTTTCTTTTAGTACATGAGTGACGTGTCCATTTATCCGTTATAGGTATTTTTAAAAAGAGTTTGGAACTAACTTTGTGCTTTTTGCTTTTATCTTTTTTTACCCAATACCAATCAATACATATTACTCCTAACTACAAGAAGACAATGTTCAACGTAACATCGAATTATAAATATAAAACCTAATTTAAATCTAATAACCGTTACATACAGTTATATAGGTAGTAAGGTATACGTTACTAGTTCTCGCTTCGCCTGGCCTGAGTCCTCGTAACTTAAGTCTTAACCACGAGTGAAGACTAACACTTTTACATTATTATATTAATACTTATTTAATTTAGCTTTTAAATCTATAACCTCCCATGAACTGAAAGTATTGGTATATAATGGTAACAATAATGTTAGCGTCTTAATGCTCCAGTACTGAAGTATCTACGATGTACCTAATTGATTGAAAAATATTAAAATACATTTAATCCCTTTAACAATATAAATAGACATAAATGTCTATATTGACAATGTCGAATTACAGGCAAAGGTCCTCTCTATATACCATATTGCAAATTTTAATAATTTGTTAACATGTGCAGATGTAAGTATTTTAAGCTCTCGTGCCATCTTTGGCTATCTTTAGTAATATATACATGTACATACCTACATACATAAATTATATAAAATTATATATTTCAAGCTAATCTTTAGCAGCAACAGCGAACACCCTAGAGCCTAAAGCCTGGACGCCAACGTGCTAATTACTAAATAAAAGCACTATAGAGATTTTAAAAAAGTCCATACTTAATTTCTTGTGTAGGTTTGTCTTAAAGATTCTAAAAACCAAAATTAATATAAGTACTAACCGAAATAAGCTTAACGGCAGCAAAATGTTCCAAAGCCGAACTGTCTCTGAAAATAATGATGTTTCTTCATATAATAACTATACTTTTCTATTAATTAAGTATAATATTCTCTGTAACATATTTTAAAATTGACTAAAAGAAATACTAACAAATTGATTTGATTATAGCAATATTAAGATATTTAAGTTGATTCAGATTTTCACTTTTATTTCACAGAGTTTAATTATAAAAAAAGGTTTGAAATGACGTTTAAAATAATTTCTGTATTTTGATGTTTAAATCATTCCAAATAAAAGATTGTAAAGAGGTACATAACTTTTTCTATTTATATTTCTAAACACAAAGTTGATTTGACATAACATCTTGTCATTCTTCAATTCATATATTATTTTGTTCATACAATATGAACAAAATAATATACCTATAATACGCATTATGCAGTGGTGTTGTCGTTCCGGTAGATACTTCCTTTTAGGACAGGAACGCGTTCCGGAACTAAGGAGGTGTTTTTTGATAATGACTTTTGCTAATTCTTTGACCTTTAACTAAAGTGATTCCATAAACAGGGCTAGTAGACTAACATAACAAAGATTTTGAAAACCAAAACTTAATATACTTGAGCTAATAATCAGCATTTAAAAACTTATATAACATCATGTACATACCTTTTATATTATTTTTCCTATTTTCAGGTTTTGGTTACTTATTGAAATTTATGAAGAAGAAAACGAACCAATATAAATGGGTTCATTTATAACATTTTTTTAAGGCTTTGAACTTAATTGCCTATTTTGTGCTAGGTTTATAATATTATAATAAACAATTAGACATGTGTAATTTATATGTAGGGTATGGACCAACCAAGAGAAAGAAAGGCGAATAAAATGGCATCATGGCCGACATCCCTCGAGTATTCAACGGTGACGGGCCTAAGCAATTCGCATCCCTTAAGTTCTCGTCAAACGTTTAGATACCCTCGTAAATATGTGGAAGGCGGGGCAAACAACGATTTCACGACTAGGGTACTAGTTTGCTTATTCCCGCCTCCTTTGTCCCTCAACCATCGAAATATATTGAAGGGCAAATGGTGGGCGAAATATATGGAAGCACGGTTCTTTTAACGCCATTTGTGCAGAATAAAGTGTACCTACTTAGGAATAAATATGGCCGTCTGCCCGTATCAACTAAGTTGTAATATTGACAATACAATTTATCTTTCTATGCTTAATTAAAATCAATGTTTCTTGGTGTACTTAGGTCTAAAAAAATTGAAAATGTATTCAAGTAATAACAGTATGTAATAGAGTATTATTGTAGTGACTAGTGACAATAGTTTTTATAACAATATGGATAGGATTAAGTCACTGCCTAGTTTTATTTAAAATAAAATTTATAATTTCGCAAAATTTTAAAATTCCACGTAGTTAATAATTGTCTCCAACCTACAGCTTGTTCTGTTTGAGAGAAAATTTAAACAAGAACGTTACGTGTATACGACAATATTTTGAGTTGATTCTGTAACATGTGACAACTGAAGGAAGAGATTATGAGGGTGAGGGTCATATACGAAAATAGGTTTAACTTTTACGACATGGAGAAATATAAATAATTTAGTGTTAATAAAAAGGTAAAATTAACCACAATCAAATAAAGGAGCAAATACAAAAAGTAATACCGTCGTAACATAAAAATTACAACTACCTAAGTAAATCTCATCCACATTCTTGAAGCCTAGTAAAAATAAATAATAATGATAGGTACACGCGTAATCTTCTATACGTCAGAAATTAAACTTTTTAAAATTAATGACCACATTAAAGATGACAAAACACCACAAAGTTCCTAGACATGACCAAAACTCAAAAACTCAGATGTTGAACGATAATATATTTACCAGTAGAAAAAGAAGTAAGGTTCACACAGTACTTATAGTGAAAGTTTTTAAAAATCACACTATAAAATATAATTATATTTTATATCAATACAGATAAAACATTTGTATTAACTAAATATTTAAATATCATACGTATTAAAACATAGATACTCAATATACAGGGTGACTGGTGAATTACTATCAATATTTAAGGAGAATACTCGGTACATGATTCTCATTCGAATTATGTAAAAAAAATAGGCACTTAATTTTTGACAAAATTTCCGTATAAATAAATAAAGTGTTGACACGTTCCAAGTGTTCCAAGTGTGGACGCGTGCGGCGACGTGCTGATACAACACTACGCCGCCGCATGCGTATGTGTGTGTAAGTGTATACCTAATCTGTAGGGTGTGCACACGATGCGTAATTAATTACATAACTTTTGGTTAACTTTACTTAGAAGTTTATTAATATTTATGTCATATTAATTTTTATTTTGTCATATATGATCGTCAAATATCACGTCCTCAAGTATCGATAGTAATTCACCAGTCACCCTGTATAAAGAGATAACAAATATTTAACAAAATTATTATTCGAAATACAGATGTACCTACAAATCAAGGTCCAAAAACTCCGATGTGCAGAGCACTCTTTCCTATCTCTGTACCGCTCCCTGCACTTACTTTTATCAGGTGAAGATGTTCGACATGAATCGTACGATGAACGGAACTTTATGAAAGCCCAAGCCTAACTACAATTTCTGTAATCTTCAAACTGTGGTCACTCAGAACCTCTTCTTCAAAAAGAGCAAAAGTTTCGGGAGTGAGCATTTCCACAGGTTGACCGTGGTGGCCAATGTCTTCGAAGGTTTCTCTTTGCTTTTAATTTTATCAAGAATTTGCTATTATTATATCAAGAATAAACTTTTTCACTCAATTTTTCACTTGCTATTGGAATGAGCAGGCTCCTTACACCCGCCATTCCATCATTCCTATATTTGGGCAGGGGATAAACCTTTTCTAAACAGAAACTTTGCGAAACTTCGATACTTAGTTTTCCAAATTGTGAAAACACACGTTATTCTCGTTAATGAAATGTCTCAGCATGTAAGCAAAAGACCTAAACATTTTATGTCGATGTGTGTTACATACCTAAAGTACACGATACACACCTAAAGTACGACGATTAAAGTGCTATTAATGCGACACATGTGGCCACTTGTCGCCTAGAACTATATCAGGCCAGATCATTATGAGATCGACTGGTATATAAATAAACTAGAGAGTATAGTGTTTTTAATAGAAGTAACTGGATCATCAGATCACAAAATAGGAGCTTAATTATTAAATATAGAATTTATCAGGTTATAGAAATTTCTATTAGGTATAAAACTAATAATGATAGGAAAGGCATTCATTAACTAAAATTTTACACAGATATTTGAATAAATTGGATGCAAATGTAAATATATATTACTTAAAGTAATGAGTGTTACAGTATTAGTAAATATTGAATCTAAACCTCTTTCTGATGGATTTGGAGAATCGAGAGAAAAAGAGAGTGATAATAAAATTCCATATTGCATTTCTATATTTTGGTAAGTTTAAGGTAATTGAACATTTTAATCTTTTTTAGAACTGTACATAATGAGAAACTAATAGAAACGAAATTCGGGCTTATAGATAATAAGAAGGATGGGATCGATGAGATCTTTTAATAAATACTAATTCAACAACTTTGGTGCTTAATGAGTATTTTAAAAATAAAACCCTATTAAAGTCAGCGTGTGAGGTATTTAGTAAATCGTACGTCCAAAAGCAAAAAGAATAAAGCTATCCTATTTTACTATTTAACCCCGCCTCGCTATAAGCGTTTTGCTCTAATGTTCCGTGCAAATAGTAAATGACAACTATGTATATATGTATTTCCTTGAATAATATTTTTTTTTCCTGTAATTATAAGTATAGTACATTGTAACAATTGTCATGAGTTTACAAAACATAATATTTATAACAGCGATTAAAAATGTTACTTTGAAGTTTGGAACCTTGTGAAACCTTTTCTTTTTTTATCACTCATGACTCACATGATACATCAAACTCTTAAGTGAATAGTCGTATGGAGATCTCACGTAGGTACATTCTCTGGTTGGTTGGTTGTTTTTAAATACGGCCTTCATCCGTGCAAAGACGATCACAGTGTATTCTTCCAGTATCATGTAGGATGAAGGAGACACGATCTGGGATTAACTTTTGAATGATATAACTTTTAATGGCCTCGAAAAAAGTCACAATTTGGAACTTTGTGAGTAGATCTAAATCAACCCAAATTCAAATAGATGCAAACATAGGAGATATGTACTGTATAAAAAATGTAACCCGAAGACTAATGTGATATAAAGGTAAAACAATTTATTACAATTCAATTATAATGATTTCAATATACCTATTTACATATTACTAAAGGAACCAAACACCAAAGACAGCAAAAATAGTCTATTCCCTAATCTAAAGTACCTGTCACATGTATGACGTGCACATTTGTCAGCGATTTTGTGTTTATTTACAAAAAATAAATTTTTGTGTAAATCATTAAGTACACTTAGTGTGTAAATAATTTAACATATAAGTTTGTTTGGTTGTGCTTAAGTTACTTCGGATTTCGATTTTTAATACTTTAAATAAAAATCATAACAATGACAGATTATTTTCAAGAAATGGGGTGGAGAGAATTAGAAGACGGTGAACAGCCTAATCATTTACTGCATATGGCCAGATTTTTAATAGATTTTGGAATGTATGATGACAACTTCACGGGAGAATGGCCGAGGTTTGTTCCCTTATATCTAAAGTTAGCCAAAATTTTTTTTCGTTTTAATATTTGTCGTTTTGCTTTGATGCCAAAGTCCATAAACATTGAACTTAAACAACAATGTAATTAAATAAGGATATTATTATTTTATTAATATTTTGATCATATTTAATAATACTACTACCAATGTACTTTACTTATGGAAGAAATCGTTTCAGGTTGCCACCTCCAGCTTCAAAAGAATCAGTGAAAAATTTAAAAGAAGTCAAAATAGAGGATGAAAATCAGAATTGTCCAATATGTTTAAAGAAATTCAATATCAATGATACTGCAAAAGTAATGCCATGTCAACATTTGTTTCATGAGAAATGTATTTTAACATGGTTAAATCAGGTACATGAGTTTGTTATTATCTTCTGAATTTTTTGGGAAGGTTTCCAGCTATATTGTGCTGTTTTTTGTGTGTATTCAATTAATTTAGAGCTTTATTAAAATTTATCATATCAAATATAGTAGGCTCTCAACATAGAGTATTTTCATACACTTTACAAACTTTTTACTAAGCCAAAATAACTATTTTGTTCAAATTATAAACTTCAAACACATTATAAAACATGAAACTTCAATTGATGAACAATTTTGTTTTAGTATGTTCTACTTCTATTTTGACTTATTTGATTAAGATTCATGATAGTTTACCTAATATGTAATAACATATATAATTGTTCTCAATTAGAATAAACTTGTACTTTATCATATTTAATTTTATTATAAGAATTAAATTTTAGTTGTTACTTGTGTAATTTTAAGTGCCAAAGTTCAAATGTATTTAACAGAAAAAATAACACTTAATTTTATAAGCAATTATGGACATGAGAAGTATTAGTTAATGTAATATATAATATAGTGTTGTAGTCAGTGGTTAAAAGGCCCGCCTCTCATGCACAAGGCCACAGGTTCGATCCTGGCCCGGGCAAGTACCAATGTGATTTTTAATGTAGGCAAGTAAAAATGTATTTAGATGTATTTAGACATCACTGATTAATGCTGATTCCTAAAGAGGGTTGATGTCAGGCAGGCGGCCAGTCATAAAAACAAAAAGCTAAAACTAATCACAACATGTAAGGCAGACCCTGGCTATAGCTGGGAAATTGCCAGTTAGAACGAGTCCACTATGTGACTATCGCTAACACTATCGAAATTCTGAATAGTTTTCAAGGTCAACTATCAAGAGCCAAACTATCAATTGTTCTGCAACACTAATATATATTTTCAAATTTTCAGACGAATTCATGTCCATTTTGTCGTCATGAACTTCCTACGGACGATGAAGCCTATGAAGCATTCAAGAAAGAAAAGAAAAGATCGGAACAGAGAAAAGAAGATATAGAAGCTTTACATAATTCTATGTTTAGTTAACATTCCATTATATAATGAAATAATATTTTTATTTGTATTATAATTAAAAAATTGGTTTCAAATTTGTATGATTTTTTAATCCTTATGTTATCCATATGTTTACTTGTTCTTGGAAATGGTTATTATTTATTATTGTTATGTTAATAAATACGTTGTTATAATATTTGGTTTCTATTGGGGTAAGCTTAATTACTTATTTAATTCTCAGGAATCATTACAATTTGTGTTTGTATAATGTAATATTTCTTTATTATAACATTTAAAATAATTAAATTGGGCTGTATTATATAACTCGTATTATTTATTTACTTTTGAAGGTTTTATTAAATAAAATATATAATCCGTCAAAACCAACTTGACTTCAAACAAGCACATGTCAAATTTAGAATAAAATATTGTGAAAATTTTATAAAAAAATTAGAAAAGTATAATTTTTTGTTAGAAAATAAACCAAAATGACTCCAAAAAAAAGGTAATAGCAAGGAATTTACTTGTGATATTTTAAAAATTAAATACATTTTACATACGATATTATTTTATAGATTATGCAAATGCCCTCCGCATTTGCAACAAGTCTGCAAACACGCGAAAATAACAGACTGTAAGGATCTAGCTGAAATTATAGAAGCGTTAACAGTTCACGATGAGAGTGAGTCATTAAATTGTTTAATTCGTAGTTGAATAATGAAATACTTAGTTTACATACATTACATTTAATACTTATTTTTAATTACATATGTACTTTACATTTACTTTATTGACTTACAAGTTAATATTTGTTATAATATTTATATTGCACATAAATAAAATCACAACTCTTATAGCCATTCTCAAAATATTTCGTAACACAATTGAATTTTAGGATTTAAGGTTATTTTTAATTTAAGGTACCCTATAATCTATATCCACTGTATTATTGAGAATAATTGATTACTTTTTGTTTTCTTTATGCTGTTGTATGATACACAAACAAAGTTGAAATCATAAAAAATGTTTTAGGTTCTAAGAAGGATCACAAATTTAAACCTCCTAATTTCAAGACGAAGCCGTTTAAACCGCGACATTATAAGGACACGTGTGTGCCTATGGCTCCTTCTATGCATACCAGGTTAGACTCTTTATTATTCAGTTAAATGATTACTTAAAAAATATCGTATTACAATGGATTGAAAGGTTTCTTGACAGTATCATTCTTTTGAATATATTTTTTCTGTTTAAGATTGAGATACATTCGTCATTGTTCTTTGGATCCACATGGGTATAAGAAAGGCAAGGCGGATCTGTAAGTATTATTAGTTATTATATTTGTAGAAATATGTACATTTTACTGTTAGAATTTTTAGAAAGATAATTTATATGATTCCTAAGCTATGTAGAAATAAGATCATCCCTGCAATTTAGTTGAGATCATTTGTTATTAAATGTAATTAATCCCTTAGTTGCTATGTATTCTAGTCCAGTACCTATTGAGAAGAGTGTTTTTGCACCCTTATGGAATAAGGAGGTAGGATTAGGAGAATTAAGATTTATCTGTAATTTTAATTAAGTGGTTATTGAAGACTAGCTTTTGCCGCGACTTCGTCCGCGTGGAATAGTGACTTCCGGCAGATTTTTGGTTCTTCCCTCATAGTTCCCGTTCTTGCTGGTTTTTCGGAATGGTCGAGTTCCCGTAGAATTTCCAGGATAAAACCTATGTTTTTTTAATTCACAATGAAGTACTCTTAATCAACAATATATTTATTTGTTTATTTGAATAAAGATTAATATTATTATGTTGATACAACTTAAACAAATTATTTCGACCAAATTAGGTACCATAAAAACAGTTTTTGTGAGTTAATCTTAAAAGATAGACATATACTGTCGCGGACTGTTTTTTAAAAAAAGCTAAAGAAAAAAAGAGCTATTATATTCTTTAATACATATTTTTTCACGGCGCACGCAACGGAAGGCTTCAAAGATGAAATAATTTCTCCCGTTTTTTACACATTTACCACTATATCTTTGCTCCTTTTGGTCGTAGCGTGATGTTATATAGCCCACAGCCTTCCTCGATAACTGGACTTTCCAACACAAAAAGAATTATTCAATTCGAACCAGTAGTTTCGGAGATTAGCGCTTTCAAACAAACAAACAAACTCTTCAGCTTTATAATATTAGTATAGATAGTACGAACACGGTGTGCTTATCATAAGTTAGCGTCCTTACATTAAAGAGGAAGCGTTTCTCGTTTCTCATTCAGGAATGTTAATGTTAAACTATATTATTGGAAGATCTTTGAAAAACTGTCGACGATCGAATGTATTCTCAATGCCGACTATTTAAGACTTATTGTATAGGTATGGTGTCCCGTTAATCGTATCCCGTGGAAAACATCACACCCTTTATTTTTTGAAATAACATTTACGTAGTGTAATCGATGGCAGTTATTTCATTTTCATACTAATAAAACCTGCTAACAACAGATTAAATGAAATATAATGATTACATAATTCCAGAGATGATTTGGGAACATCATCAGAAGAAGAGGCGGGAGGTATATTGAGGAAGGATAGAAAAAGAGAGAAATATAAAAAACGTGTCCGCTACTACGATCTGATGCCAGGAGATGTGATGCTGCCAACGCCGGCCCCTGTTATAACACACACGTCCTCCGATAAAGAAATATTTAAAGTATGTAATTTAATGCATAAATATTATATAGTGTATATTAAGATTTTTTTCCATATTACTTAAAATTATTGCTCATCTCAAAGATAACCTCCGACATTATAATTGCTTGATGTATAATTTAAATACGGTGGGCAATAGTACCCGTAATGAACACATTAAGATGAAATGTTAATTTAATGTATTTATACTTATATTTTTTAGGGAAGGTCATCCTTGTGTATATAAAAATATTCTTTCTGATGTGATCTAGTAATCATACAGAAAATGATATTTAGATTATTCCAATTTAATTTATTATTAATATTTGTGAAACCATGTCGAAATCCTGGTTAATGAATTGTTACTGAGATTTTGTATACAATAGGTACCGAGTCCAAAAACGAGTGGGGAAGTGATTCAAGCACAGAGAGCTACAGTAAAACCCGCGGAGTTTAGACCACCATTACCGCCAAAAACTGGATTTGAGTAAGTCATATGTTCTTATAAATGGCCACATGGCTACATTACCAAGTACTATTGGAGTTTTTAATGAAATTATCGTGGTTGTTAGAGACCTGTTCATTTCAAACTCACATTATCTGTCAAGACTTCCCCATTAAAACAGTCATGTTTAAAGATTTCAGTCGAAACAAAATATTTGTTAACAGATTCTCGAATCATAGATATGTTATATTTTTATTTTGCATTTTGTAAATCTGATTGGGCATTTATCGTATTGCTGTTCTGATTTCAGATTGTTCAAGCCTCACAGTGGCATCATTGTCAATAAAGACAAATCGTTCGCACCCGACGTCGTGCATATGCCAGGACCAAGGAAGATAAAGAGGTAAAAAGTTAAAAGATCATATTAAAGTAATTTTCTAGATACGAAACGCGATAACTTTATAAAAAATATAGATTACTGTAGTCTTCTTGTTTTCTCCCTAACTGAGATCTTTTTTTTTTTCATTGCATTCGTTTAATCTATTACTAAACTATTACTTAATCTATCTATGAATGTTTAAAGTTATGTGTTGAGCTTCTTTATTTAAAAGATTTGGAGGATAAAGATACGCCTATGGCGTTGGTAAATAGCATGTTATAAATATTCAACGGTATTGTTTTGATTTCAGTGATAAAAAGAAGAAACCTTGTCATAAAGGCGGGTAAGCAGTACATTAAAGCAGATTATTAAATATATATTTTTTATAAACAGCATTATTAATAGAAATCAATTATGTTTTCAGAGTGTGTACCAACAAAAAGTGCCCAAGAAAAAAATGTCGGTAAGAAGCTATACCACAAAATTTATTTGGTTTTAAAAGAAAATAAACCGTATTGAATATACTTGAAAAAATGTATGCAATATGCAAGTAATTTTTTTATTATGATTTTACATAAAAATCTTAATCTAACAGAAAACGAGCAGCTTTAAGAAGATTAAGGAAAAAATTATCAAGAGGAGGTGGAAGGTAGTCGGTTTTGTACTTTTATTTAGATTTTAGAATATAATATGTAATGATAATTTTCAAAGACATAATCCAAACTCGTTTTTCTGTCCTAGCAAAACTCTATTGAGTGAGATCTTTTGATTTTGAATATTTGTTTGTGGACTATCTAAAAGACGAATAATCCATTTGTTTCTCTCTACTTAGGTTAAATGTACTATTAATTTGTGTTTTCTGTATAAAATTACTCCACAACAGAATTACAAAAAATATTGTACAGTTAATGATTTGTATTAAAGTTGTGTGAAGTGGCGAAACATTTTTCATCAATAAGTTTTTTTTTACATTTTTCTTTATGCATTTCCTACTGATTGTCTGCCATTTTATTCTCTCGTTCCCTTAGTATTTTTTACAACCTTTTCTGCTATTAAAATTTAAAAGCGTTAAAACATGTAACTTTTTCAACATTGTCTAATGGACAATATTAAAATTATGACAAAGAGCGCGTTTTATGTATTATAAACAAAATTTTAAAAAACTAGTCTCAATTAAGAGAGTTTTGTAAGGTAATATGTTTTTTTATATGAAGTAATATATAAAGTTATGTTTTATAATTAGTTTACAGTCTATGGGTCGATATAAAGGAGTTCGCGATGGCAAACCTCGCGCCAAAGGACTCAAACATATGAAGGGAGATGACGATGTTTGTGGTCTTGATGAAATACCAAGACCTGAACATGTAAGTAATACTTTTAAACATACATATATTTGTTTTATATACATAATACAAATTTGGTAAATAACTCTTATATACATTCAACGAGTACTTACAAAGTATATACGAGTATAGTGTAGCGACTTTCTCAATTCGTCCCTAAAACTATATTTCATAGAATCATCATAACAGGTATTATTTACATTTTCTTTCTATTGTTTGAAGTATCTAAGCTTATTCATAAGTAGAATTCAATATTACCAACTAAAATACAACTACTACAATGGAATTAGAATATAATTAATAAATTATGTCTTTTGAATATTTAATTATTAGTTTCTTAATAGAGAATGATTAAATAAAAATAACATTCCAGGTACAAATACCACTGAATCTAAAACGAGGCACACTTCAGACACATTCTCTCACAGTATTGCCATGTACAAAGGAACGTAAGCCGCAAATACATTACGGCATTCTGACAGGATCTTTCAATATGTACGACGCGAAATTTGGTAAATAACTCTTATATACATTCAACGAGTACTTTTTTTTACCAAGTAAATATGGTGTAGTGACTTTCTCAATTCGTCCCTAAAAAAAACTTTTATAGAATTATCATTTTGTTAATGTCTCAATTTTTTTTTTCATAGTCGTAGAATTTTTATAAGTGAGATTGTTATTTTCCATGCAATTGGTTTATTGATACGTATGAAAGGTATACGGAGAAATTTCTGTCATATAAAAAAAATAAAAATGTTTTTTATACACATTCTGTTATTAAAATTTTATTTAAAAATAATATATTTTTTGTTGCTAATAATATCAATTATCAGGTGGTAGATCCAAAGGAAGACAGGCTCTCACAATGAGTGTGATGGCGTACTGTTTAGCATTTCACTACCATCCTAAACAATGGACAATGAAATTAATAGATAACTTAATAGATGCTGGTGATCAATGGTGGGTGAAAAACATACACAAAAAATATATAAAAGATAAATAAATGCTCAAATACATGTTTATTTTAGGTACATACAATGCCTAGACAAAGTTCACGATCATTCGGCAGTTCAGGGTATGTGTGAAGTTTTACCTTTTGGTAAAAAACAAACATTATTACTAAATGGAAAGAAGATGCAAGTGTTGCTCGGCGAACCAGATATTGTTGGTTATACAATGTCTTTAGATCCAACTGTTTACAATTTGTGTAGAGGTCTCAAAGCGTTCTTTAAAAACAATCGAGCCGGTATATTATTGACCAGGTAACATAATATATATATGTATTTTTTTTTTATCTCGAACTAGTTACTAATAATTACATGATTTCAAGGGTTTTGAAACTGGTTATATGGAGGGATAAGATTTGTTACTACATATTTGATCCGGCCGGTAGAGACGCAAGGGCCTATTCAAATTTTGCGAATGGATGTTCGGCTCTCATCAATGTAAAGGATTTGGAATCAGTCTCTGAAGTATTGCTAGCAAGAAGCATATTGGAAGATCAGAAATTTGTTCTCGCTCCCGTTAAGGTCCTAAAAATGGTGGATGAAAAATGCGACGAAGACTTCGAATCTGATAAGGAGTTAACTCAGGCTGAGAAAGCTATGATGGGATATAGAATACTTAATGAAAACTGCGCTATCGTTAATGCTAATATGCATTTGGGTGATAGGTGCTTCGAAGACGCCAAGTTCCGTCAAGCTCTACCGATTGCGATAGTAGCAATGACCTATGCGAAAATTTCGCCACCAAATACATGGTTTTCCAAAACTCTTGACAAAGTTTTGCGTTTGGGGAACAAATTATATATGGATTGCTTGCATCCGAAAGTTATGATAGATATGACAATCGATAATATACCCAACGAAATAACGATCGGCCCTTACGCGTGCGAAATCATAATTTACAGGGAAAGAATTAAAGGTCAACTATTTACAACGAAAGAATGTTTATTGAATATAAGAACTGGTCTTATAGAATTTTTCAGTCACGAATACAATAGCGGTATCTTAGATTTTAATAACTACGCTTTGGCGGTTTGGAGACAAAAGGAAATGTATTATTTATTTGATCCGTACCCACGTTCTCATGACGGTACAAGATCTGTGAATGCGGGAAAAGCCTGTTGTCTGATGCTTTTAAATCCAGAAGCTATGGCTGAAGTCTTTACTAAAAACTGGAATTATCTGCCCGCAACTACACAATTCTATATACATGCATTTAAAGTTCTTAAGCTAAAAAAGAGAGAACCTAAGGTAGGACTGAATTTAAAAGTAACAGAAGTATTAAAATTCGTTTTTTGTGATTTTTACTAACCTAAAATTGTGTTTTCAGTCACAAATAGTTTGTACGCTCAGCGATGAACAGCTGCCAGGTGTAAAGAAAGTAAAGCGTAAAGTTTTACCAATGAGTAAGGATCACGGGGATGGTATGGAATTATTTCACGACGTTTTACCAATGGAAGATCTGGATAAACCGCCTACAGGAGTAAGTGAATATATTACTAAAACCTTTAGTATGAAATTCCGAAGAATCAACGCTTTTGTGTTGTTTATAATGTAAGTGTGATAGGTACAATTATATATTTCTTTATTACAGCCTCTTATGGATGAAGAAAAAATGGGCGATATAATATCGTTAGTGGACAGTATACAAGAAGACTATCTACCCCCAATACCTCTAAGATATAAGAATTTACCTACGGAACCGTTAGAGGAGAAAGTCGGTAAGAAACAATAAGAAAATAACCAGAAATATGTATTAATATATAGATTATAATACTACTTCAACATTTAATAGTTTACAACATTTTCAATTCAGTTCAGTATTCGGATCTGAATAGTGTGATATTTTTCTCCATAGAAAATTTTCTATAGACTCTTTTAATCACATCACATATTAATAAAAACTATTTTTCAAACTTGAATTGATGACTAAGTTAAGGGTGGTGTAAAGTTAAAGTTAGTGGCGGCCTAGTGGCTAAAAGGTCCGCCTCTCATGCACCAGGGCGCGGGTTGGATCCTGGCAAGTACCAATGTGGTTTTTCGGAGTCATATGTACTTTCTAAGAGTATTTAGACATCACTGATTAATGCATTCCCAAAGAGGATTAAAGTCAGTCAGGCGGCCGGTCGTAAAAATAATTAGCCAAAAACTATTCACAACATGTAAGGCAGACCCTGGCTAAAGCTGGGAAATTGCCAGTTAGAAGTAGAATTGATGAATAAGTTACGGGTATTCCTAATATATATTATTCTACAGTGAACCTAGATTCCCCGACGGTTTCCGTAACCCAAGTGGTCCCTCCGTGGCCGAAGCCTCGAGACAAGACCCACGAGATACCTGACCCAGACCCTGACCCTGAACCAACTCCTCCGCCAACACCACCGCCGATGCCCGTAATATATTTATTTATTTATCTACATAGGAACACCAACAGTACACATATGCAACATTTACACAAAAATATAGTCAAAAGTATAGGTCAAAAGTATATGTACACCTATTACAGGTATTCACAGCACTGTCTAAAAAGTTTTTAACAACAACAACAGCTTAATCTAATTAAATGAAATTACTTCTACAAAAAAAAATTACAAAACACTAATTAAGAAAAACAACACATAAATTAAAAGTGAAACAGTTACAATTTTAGAGATATTTATGCAAAGTATGTCTGAATTTTGAAAATGAATCGTGAAACATGTCCAAATCTGTTATCTCTTTAATATACATACTTATTTAATACGTCTTCGCTTATTATATTTTCATACTAATAATATTTGCTACATGCTTTCAGCCTCCTGAAGGCGGAGAAGAAGAGGTATGGTATTCTACTAACTTTTATATTATCTAATTCTATAATGAAATATATATTGTAATGATTTAAAATAAAAGGAGGAAGAAGGAGAGGAGGAAGAGGATGAAGACAGGTCGAAGAAGAAAAAGGAAGAAGAGGAAAGAAGAAAGGCAGAGGAGGAGGAAAGGAGAAAGGCGGAGGAACTCCCACCACCGCTACCTCCGCCGCCGCCCTCACCGCAACCAGAACCGGAAGTTGAGGTGAGTAATCTTTGTTTTTCATTGGAGTTTTTATTGTTTTTCACAATTAAGACAGTTTTAATGGAAACAAAAGAAAATTACAGTATTTTAAACTGAATTACAGTTGGCGCCACCAGTTGAAGCAACGGAAGACGAAATTCAGACTCTTGAACCAGTCAACGTAGAAAGGCATATTTTGTTAACAGAAGATGCCCAATACCGGTATAAGTTGAGACAATTGCGCAAAAAAATGACTCTGCCCCTAAGTGAAGGTGACGCGACATTGACGGCTGAAGAAGAACTGGAAAAACCGAGCAATTTTAAGAATTTACCGGACAATACTCAGATTATCAGAGGAGCGTCAGCCATCTCTGATAATAAAGAAATCATCGATATGCTGCCATTTGGGTCTATAATGGCAATCGTCACATCTTACAAGTACACAGTCAATACTTGGACATTGGGCATTGTAAATTTTGTGGTTGATACAGCAAAAAAATTATATAAAAATAAAAAGGAAAAGTTCCAACTAGCACCCGTGCATATAATACCCAAAATTGCTATCGGCCATCAGGTAAATTTAGTTATTACTATATTTATATTAAATCTATTGTGCGCTTTTTTTGTGATAAATTGCTCAAAAAGGTTTATTAGAACCTTGCTCATATCAATACTATAAAAATATAAGAGAGTTTGGTTGTTTTTATTGTCTAAGAAACAATTTTACTTATGTTCATTACACACATCAATTTCAAGAGTTAGTTAGGATTAAATATTAATAGATTTTAATTAGACAAAAAGAGTTTGGCACTAATTTATTATTATATATTATTTTTATTCAAGAAAAACCTCAGATAACTGCTGATTTAAAACTTAAATTTGTTTGTTTTTTCTCTTAAATCTTCAGGCATTCCACGCTAATATAGACGTAGTCGGTGAAGGACCCACTTGGCAACTTGAAGAAGTTCTGACGCGAAAATTTTTACCGCGTTACGATAGAGGAATGATAACGACAGCCACGTATAGTTGTGCTATATTCAGAAGAAACAATTTATATTATCTATTTGATGCGAGTCCTTGCAATGCTATGGGCTTGAGAGACCCCACTAATAAAGGAAAAGCGTGTTTTCTGCGTTTCCGTTCATTACACGATTTAGTTGTCAGGTTGGTGACTTAATTGCATTGGTTCAATTTATATATTTTCATATTCATTCATTTATTCCAATATATATTATATTAAATTATTCACATTCGTCGTTCTGGTGTAGTTAATTAATAAAAAAAAATGTATTTATAATAGACATAAGTAAAATTAGAAGAGCCATCTAATCTCTTACCAATTTTTACAGAGTTTGCTATAACAAAGACGGCAAAACCGAAGACCAACAGTTCATCTTAAGTAGAATTATTGTAAGAAGACTATTAACAGAACCGCGGTTGAAATTACCCGAAGACTACGATTACGCTGAGAGAATGCCAAAATCTAAAAAGTCAAAATTATCTATAGTAGAAACACCAAAATCCAGTGAAAAGAAGTCGACATCGGTAGAATCACCTGAACCTAAAACTGAATATGTCGTTGGATATCAAAATTTGAATGGAATATACAGAATTGAAGGCACAACTGCGCTAAATGATAAGAAAACGAGTAATGAAGTTAAAGCTTGCCATTTCGTGTGTTTGATAGCTATGTTGATGGCCACAATGCATCCTATAAGAACCTGGGGACAGGTCATGGTTGATACCTGTATCGAGAAAGGCTTAGAAATAAAAGAAAAGGCAACAAATTTAAGTGTGTGCGAAAAGAGAGTAATAAAAAATTTAATATTGGACGGCAAGTTCGTTAATGTTAATATAAAGAAAATCATGGTAGTAAACGAAAATCCGAAGAAACGCCTAGAACAGTACTTAAGGGCTGTTCTGAAGAGACTTCGATATGTTATTATACGTTTTCCTTCATGCAGTATGGTGATATGTCAGACCGACGGTTATTACCATCTTTTCGATCCTTATCCCCCACCAAATGAAATACCAGAACCTGTTGAAAATACGAACGAGAAAAAACAGAAAGAAGTTTCTGATACAACACAGCAAAAGAGTGTAGGAGCTGTAGCAGGATGGACTTTATATCGTTCGATGGATGCATTAAAAAAACGAATAAAAAGCGTTGTAAGTTCTCCCGATAGCCCCGAATTTTACACATTCGAATTAACATCCATCAAAACTGCTCCGCGGCATTCTGCTCTAAACTACAGATTAAGTCCCCTGTTTAGACCTGATGAAAATCCGAATTTACCATACTTGAGACGAAGGAAAATCCGACCGATCGTTGACGAGAAAATGTACTGGCTGAATGTTGAAACTATACCATGGTCTCGCATGAATGCTGTTAACGATCTTGGCTTCGACAGAAAAACTCCAAAAACCATGTGGAAAGATTGGGATATCGAGTTCCCAGGTGACCTTTATTCGCTGTGGGGAACACTCCATCCATTGGATCCCAAATTTGGTGCAGAAAATCGTGGAAAGCAATATTTAGCTACGAGTGTCGTTGCACTTGTCATGACTAGGGCTTCTAGTCTAAGTGCTTGGACCAGTAGTTTCTTAGACGGTATAGTCGAGGTCGGTGATCAGTATCACGCTAAATGTCATGCGAAAATAGCTGGGAACAAAAATCACGAAATTTGTCTCGAGGACTTAGAAACGAAGTACGATGACATGTATCCATATTCATTCACGGTAAAGTTTGATAAGATCATATTTGGATTCGTTTACAACATATACCCAGATAGGTTCAATTTGAGCAAGGCTTTAGTTTATTTCTTTGAAAAGAACACTCTGGGCATATTGACAAGTCCATCGAAAAATTTGGCTTTCGGTAAAATTGCAGCATCCTATTTTATGTTTGATTGTCAAAGTTATGGGTCCCCTATATTTAGTCCGAGTCAGGGAGCTGCTTATATATTGAAATGTGAAAGTCTTAATAGACTCATTTATTGCATGGCTGTGACTTTGAATATAAGACGACACGGACAACAATTCCATTTATACAGTGTTAATGTTACTCTCAATGAGAAGACAAAATAAAGCTTTTTACATATTTATATATTTTGTTTCATAAGTTACCTTTATAATCCCACATAAAAATGCAGTCAACCCGCTGCTAATTCCACAGTTTATATGTAGATATTAAAATCTAGTTGGCACATGTATGAATATTTCAATAATATCAAACCCAAAATTATTTGTTTTTGATAAGTAACTTGGTGAGGGGGACACTGATATTTAGCAAATCAAGATGCATATTATATTAAAAGATGATTTAATTAATTGGCAAACTCCAGTGAAACAAATGCTAAAAGGAACCAATTAATTAGATAGATATACATATACTAATGATAAAATTTTGATATTCAATTAAGTTGAAGGAAAATTTATAGTAATATATAATACAAACATTTATTAAAAGATGAACTATTAAAAATTTCTAAATTTACTAGATATAACAAGGGTTTAATGCATTGAGATACTTCCTTAACGGTAGGTCTATAAATAAATAATAAAATACTTTACAGAATTGTTTTTTATTCAAGTATAGTGTGTACTTACTATATAATTCCAGTATTCTAGTAAATTAGAATAAATTTTAATGACAAGACGTAACCTGTCATGAAAGTACAGATTTTTATCTCGTTGCAAACATAGTCAGCTTAAGAACTTAAAATATATATATTTTTACCATAATTGTGACTAAATATCTGAAAGTTTTAATTTGTTCAACTTCTTAGGCAATTTAGAACAACAATAGATACAAAAATGCAATATATCACTAAGTCTATATTGGATACCCAGAGAAACAATATCCATCTTTTAAAATGATTTTATTATAACTGTAAAAACCTTAATATACATAATGTATTGTTTTAAAAAGTAAGCATTAGTACTAAAGGCCTCATTCAAGATCAGGTAAGTTTTCGTCATCAGAGTCGCTTTCCATGTCGTCAAAAACTGGCTTTCCACCCTTGTCTTCGGCTCCTTGACCCATCGACCTCAGCATGTCTTCGATGTCATAATCTCCACCACCGCCACCAGCAGCTTCGTCTTCGTCGTCTTCATCCTTCCATTTATTAAAATCTATCTTAAGATAATGAGGCTTCCTATCTTTGGTTAGGGACGGCCAGTAGGCTGCGTCTGTTTTTTCTTTTTTAAGAACCATTTCTATGCAACGACCTTTATTTACGAAGCTGCTATTTTCAGGAATAATAGCGTCGTGTAATTGTATAGTCACCTCGTGGGCTTTATTGTTTGGGATGTTCACGCCTTTGAAATAGACGGACTCTTTTTCTATTTTAATAGTTGGATCCTTAGTTTCCACGCTAAATGTAAGAAAAATTACTTCCTTACGTTGTGCCCATAATACGGGAGGAGGTACTGGAGCTTCACCCGCCATTTTTTTAACACACGTGAGATATTCCACAAGATATGCTGCGATTAAGAATTGCCCGAGCACAACCTATTTCAAAAACTACAATTTAATTTGCAATGATTAAAATTCTAAGCACCATTCGCCGACTCGCCGATTCATTTATGGAAAACTGTGTTACCAGTGTTCAGTAACCATTTGGTTATTGTATATTAGAATAAGTTTGAAAAATTTTTATAGATTGAATATTTTTCTAATGAATAGATTATGATAACAAATAATTACGTTTTTTTTAAAAATAAGACGTCTTCTATATTTAATGTTAAAAACTTATATAATAGCCTTAAAAGTATTTTGAGGTTATGTTCAACACATTTTTTAATAGTAACTAAAAATATAGATATAAAAATTATAGCCATGATTTTTTAATAATTTAAATGAATAATGGTAAACTGTTGCATTTTCATTAATTTTAATTTGTCAACGAAATGCCTAGAACATTCGACTGCTTTCTACAATATTGTATGATCAATATCTGTATGGTAACACTCAAAATAAAACATTTTTTTATGGCTTGAGTTTTGACATACCTAATTGTGGAAAATTCGAAATACGTATTTTAATGATGACACTTTATGAATCATGACCACATTAAAAAAAAATTATTGCTGTTGAATATTTCTGCGGACCGATGTAAATTTTCATATTTATATTTTAAAAATTGAATGTTTGTCTTACTTTTGTCGAATTTAATAATAGAGACTACCTTTTAAATTATTTTCTTAGTTACCTTTCAAAATTTGTTTCCACGTGCTAAAATGGGCTGATTTAAAAAAACTATTCTGTAGCCTGATCGGGAAGTTTATAAGCGATAGGATTATTTTTATGGAATGGATTCATTACATTTGCGAGATAATAGAAGACAAGGTCTCACCTTTACAAAAAAATGATAAACTCGTTTTGAAATCAACAATAGAATCATCTTTATTTTGTGATACACATATAATAATCCGGTACACCAAAAAGGATAGCTTTATTTCATTTATTATTAAAGAAAACCATCAAACATCTAGGACTTGGAAGTACTAAATATAATATTGCATTTAATTTGAATTTATTATTACAAATAAATATATTGTTAACAACAATTGAAATTTTAAAATGGCTATATCTAACCTAATATTTATGGACAGCATTATATGGCGTATAAATTACATCTACCACAACATATGATCAGTTTTTTAACAAGCACAATGATAAGATAATTTTAGTGTAAATATTATTTTTTTCATACATGTGTGGACTTTTCGTTGAAACAGGAACACAGAAAAATGGAATAAACTATTATACATTGTATTCCAATTACTTTTAGAAAGATAACAATGGAATCACTTAACACTATTCACTGCTACTAGTTATATCACATTATAAGCATAATTATAGAAAAAAACAAATAAACTCAACAAAATAATATATGTACTTATAAGTACAATAATAAGAAACAATCTTCACGATTTGATGCTTTTGTAAATGATTTAAATTCTAAGTAAATTAAACATATGTTTACTAGTGACATCGAAAATTACTCATGTTACTTTAAGGCAAATATTTTGAAGTTAAGTAAATTTTAACATGTAGTCTTATTCTACAAAAATTTATTGCAATTAAAACGTCTTAAATTCTGTCTTCAAACTGTAAGTTTCTAATAAAAAGATGTTTTTTAAATCATTAATTTAATAAATGCATAGACGAGAAAAGAATATAAAATCTTAAATGCCTATCTAATGGCTATGACCTATTTGACTATTTGGCTTTGAGATTTTACATATTATACGAACTTCTAACAACACATTAAATCATTTCTGGTTGGAAGATGACAGTTTCTTCAACCAATGTGTCAGACAGCTGCCAGCAACTTTGAGAACATGTGAATATGAGAACTGAGAGAAAGTGTAAATGTGGTAGTGAAATATTGTTTGGAGAAATAGCTAAAGTTTCTGCAAAACCGGGCACTAATTGAAGTTCACATATAAGTTTTGAACCGCAACGTGTACAAGTATTCTGCCGACAAGAATATTCATGTGCGCTTTCCTTTACTGGCAGCGAAGCTCCTAGAAGTGGTGCTTCATCACGAGAATATCTGCGAATTGTCATAGTTATAGTTTTTAATAATTATCACAATTGGGAAATACACATTATTAAAATAATCATAAAACAAGAATAAACCATAGCAGACAATTTAAGTATTGAAATAGACACTGCATTTGAAAAATTTTTGTATGAATAAATCTTAAAGCTTGGGTTATTATCAGAAAAATTATATAATAATATTATATACCGAAGAATTTGTCCAGGATTTGCTTTGAGTCTTGTAACGAAAGCGTGGAACAATCTATCACCATGTAATGGTGTTGCTTCCTCATAAGTCTCATCGTCACATCCGGCGGGAACGTCGCCAATACCAGCATCCAGTTCTGAAATGCGTTACTTGATGATAATTACGGCAATTTTATTATTATTTTATATTTCCAATATATTTCACATACCAAAAATATAATATTTCTGAAATATTGATTTTTTTTTACTTATATTTAGGTTTGATATTTTAAAACATATTTATAATTAGTTTATTATGTTGATGTTGTATAAACCCAATTTCAAATTTCATGGAACAGAATTTTAAATATTTGTTCTAATGTTCCCAGTTAGTTCTCATCAAATTTTATTATTATTTTTAGGATTTTGAAAAGCAGCTAAGAGAAACACTTAACTAAAATAAAGATTTATAATAGATTTACCATTATCCATTTTATATTTGTTGAGCAAATCTGTTACTTGGTCATCATCATGTGCTGTTTGATTCCATTCCTCTTCAACATAAATATATTTAGGGACAAATTGTATTGGCCCCAATAACAGCCTGCTACGAATGTCTGGTGGAAGTTCCTCAGTCTAGAAATAGTATTTCAAGTTATATACATACTTATTCATATTAATGTTTGAAACAGTTAACAATACAATAGACATTTCTTTTTAAAAAGACATTCCTTTAGATAGAATTCATTAAATACTAGGTATTACAAAAAATTCCAATAGTTCAGGCATTTTGTTTAAAGCATGTTTTGGAAAATTGTATTAAAATTCTATGGTGAAAAAGGTGTGTATGTTTCAACAATAAAGAAATGCTGAAATAAATGATTGTATAAAATAGGGAATATGTAGATATACAATGAAATTGTTAACATAGGCTTTGAACCTACAATTATTAGAATATTGTGTTAAAAACAAACAGAAGTTCTTTATCTTTCTTATACAGTAATAAAGTTAATTAATAAAAGAATTTTATATACTAAAATGTGAATACAATTAGTAAATTATTTTCATTTGATCTATTTGTATGTTGTTCTTTCCCACAAAACCTATTTAATGGCTTTTGAAGAAATTTCACAGAATAAGACAAACTACCATTATTATCCCAGATTTTTGGGTAGTTCTCAGAAGATCATGGTATAACAGTTGTATTTTGTATTAAGTCATGTGGTACAGTATAGAAGTAAGTATATAAATACATACTTGATTAAATAAGAGCTGCATATTGTTTGCAGGCGCTGTTGGTGTGTCTACAATGACCAGACCACATTCATCATCACCTTCCAACTCCGCAGCTGGTATGGGTGCACCAATTGCACCAACGGCACCTGAAATATATTACTCTTTGTTTAGAAATTTTTATATGAATTTCAGATTTTACAACACAGTTTAATTATTTACAAAATAGATTTTATATCATTGGTTGTAAGTAGAGCAAAGTATAGTCGTAAATTTGATTCCCATAGGTATCTATAAGCCTCAGATACTATGAGATTTAAACAAATTTTTATGTGTGCATACATTTTCTGTGGCTTTTTGCTATCAAATGGATTGATTTATTTAGATGCAGATTTTTTTCTTTTGAAAGAAAGTTTGGTTTGGGGAGATTCTTAACTATATTTGTTTATATCAGTCTAGCAGTGTTGGAGTATTAGCTCTTGTTTATAATAATTTAAGACATTTTTAGCAAATGATTAATAGTTTCAGAGTTGCATGGTTACCAGTATAATTCTTAAATTAAATTAATGTGTAGTTTATTTCTAAAAACAACTATATGTTTATTCTTTTTTGACATTTAAAAGTTGTGAATATGAGAATCAAATTTTACAAGACGAGGTATCAAATAGATTTTATTCACATCTTTGAAGTCAAGTGATGGAAATTCGCACATTTTTAAATTTAAATGAGCCATGATTATATAAGAATATGACATTATGTGTAATATTGTATACCTTGAACTGGTGACAAATTTGCATTGTGAGCATCAACTTGTAAATTTCCCAGTGCCTGTTCAACAGCTTCTAAGTCGTAAGAATTGCTTTCATCCTCTTCATCAGAATTTCTATATAATTGAATAAAATAAAATTACTTTTAATAATTTAAGTATACCTCAAAAGCTTTAATGTAGAGGATATTCAATAAATAAGGATAATAAATACTTCATTTCTAATATTATTCACATACCTTTGCATATTAATTGGGCTGTTATCCATGTCAACGACATTGCCATTAGTTGAATCCCCATTATCATTCTCATCCCAGTCATCAGAACCCTTACACCAACTGAGTTTTGTATCCATACATGGCATCAATACAACTGCACTAGTGTCCTTAGGTTCATCTTTAATTTGACTTCTAACACATGTCCAACTGTAATAGTGTAGATAGAATGTAGTATAGTAGTAGAGAATATTGCATGTGTAAATATACAACATTTTATAAATAATGCCTACCATTCAGATTGATTCCAACAGTGAGGATTAATACAGGCAAAAACATATAATGTTCTATGATAGACAGAGCCTTCTAATGGAGCATAGCATTGAACTACTAGTAATCTGTACAAACTGCACCTTGGACATTTGAGGGGAAACTGTACATTATCCAGAGGTGGCCAATTCTGAAATATAATAACTAACATCAGAATACAATATTATGTCTACATAACAAAATACATATTATATTACAAATTGAATTATAAAAAGCAGTTAGGGTCTTTCATTAAGCGATAGATAGATAAAGTTAAAGTTCATGAAAATCTATAGCAGGTTGTCTTACTGGTGTTCCGCCAATTTTATTGATCGTGTAGTTTAACTGAGTTACACCTTTGTCAGTTATTACATCTTCCTCATAGCCTAAATATGTTTTTCCACGATATTTCGCCATTTTTTGAATTTATTGAAATATAATTATATTTTCAAACATTTATAAACGTGTTTACTTTTGTTCTCTTAAATTATCGAGATATTTTAATTGTCACTACACACATTGACTTTGAAGTTTTAGCGCTAGTATAGTCTCTCTCGACTTTGACATTTTGATACGATAGATATTAGAACTAGTATTATGAATGTCGAATAGTTTGCAAAATATTATTACAAAGTTAAAACCTAAAAATATTATTACAAAGTTAAAACCTAAAAATATTATTCCAAAGTTAAAATTATATAAAAGTGTATACAGTTGTATAAAAGTATAATTTCACATAAACATCAAGTAAACAGAAGTCATAGGGCTATAGCAACAGAAATTTTCAAATATCTTACACAAACAGTATTAATTACACTGGTCTGCAAAAAAAATTTTTTTTGGTCTCCTTTACAGAACTAAGGATTATTATTATTGATTCAATAGTACTAAATAGAAATATGGTATCAAAATTTTTCTATCACGTATATTTTTTTTTACAATATAATTTTTAAATAAAATAGCTTTTTTGGCATTATATTTTAATCATATATTTATTTATTATCATAATTTTGGATACAGACCATGAAAAAACATTAAAACGTATATTACAAAATGTTTATTACTTATTATTAATATTATTTTACTTTTTAGTTTTCTTTCTTTTTATATTTTTTAAGTTTGAAGTGGAATGTCGCGCCGAATAAACCAGGAAAAATCAGCAAGCATTCCTTCGGACCATTTTGCGTTGTAGCGTCTCTCTATGTGCATAATATCTTGATGAAACCTCTCACCATGTTCATCTGATACTGCTCCAAGGTTAGGTGGGAAGAAAACCCAGTGAGAGTCCAAAAAATGAATTTTTAAAGACATGTTACACCCTAGGTCTTTATACGAAGAAATAAGTTCTGTGACAGTATCCTGGTAGTTTTCACTTTTTTTTATTTCCTAGAAAATTATAGCACATTTCGACGAAAGCAGTACATACCCTTTTTTCGGGTTCTTTCTGTTTTATTGTAAAATTTGTGTCCTTCACAAGCTCGCGTATTTGGGGACCCACAAAGATTCCTTCTTTTAATTTTGCTTCGCTGATTCGGGGGAATTTTGTCTTTAAATACAGAAAGCCTTCACCATTCTTATTTATGGCTTTGACAAAATTTTTCATAAGACCCAGCTTTTTATGGAGTGGAGGAAGAAAAACTTTTTCACTTGGAACTATAGGTTCTTCATTAATGTTTTTGAAACCAGGCATCATATTCGTTCTTCCTGGCCAGCTTTTTACTACATAGTGTTTATCTCTCGCCCGACTATCCCACTCACACAAAAAACAACAATATTTTGTATATCCTCCTTGTAGGCCAGTTAACATTGTTATAACTTTAAGATCAGCGCAAATATTCCACATATACTGTGAATATTTAATTTTTTTTCAATGTATTCGTATAAAAATGACTCAGGCGGTATCGTTCGCTCTCTTTCTATCAGTAGGAGTCGTTTTTTTGTGCTTACCCACTAACACAACTAAACACAGTTGCGCTAACGCATGAACAACAGTAAAATATATGGAATTTTAAGCTATTCAAAAAAATTTTTTTGTAAGGAATATATACCTGATAGCAAAAAAATAAAGACAGATATAGATTCAGGATATTCAATACTTCATACTTATCATATTTTTGTTTAAAGGAGTTTTTCGTTGCAGACCAGTGTTATCAAATATGTCTCTGTGAAATTGTGATTATACATTACATTTTTTCCAAAAGTATTTAAATCATAATTATTTTTATCATAATATCTATATTATATCTTATATTTTTAAATGAGCAATTCATTTTTGAATTCCAATTATATTTACATATATATATACGCATTCTCGGAATCGGTTCTTACGATTTTCATGACATTAAGTATATTCTTGGGTTTCGAGGGCCAGAAATCGATCTAGCTAGGAATAATTTTTAGAAAAAGGTATTTATATTTATAAAAAAAAAAATAACAAAACGGATACCTTTAAAACATGATTCTTTTCGACATCTATTGGCGAATAATAATACTACTATTTGCTAATTGTTTTTATTAATTGCTTTAACGACACAACAGCAGATCGTGTTGTCAAGTAACAGGAAGCCGATGAGTGTTTGTTTTGGACCTAGACTAAGAAATTTATTGTTGATCTATATTGTATAGTGTGTTCTTAACGTGTTCACTTAAAATGCCTTAACAAAACAAAAAAAAAAAACACAAAATAAATCCCTAAATACCGAGCAAAGTTCGGTAACCAGAATCAGATAATGAGTTGATAATAAATTTGTCCATGGGAAGCTTACAAAAATGCATTTATTTTAATTTGTAAACCTTGGCAAAAAAGATCATATTAAAAAGAAACTGAACGGTCATTAAAACTTATCCAGCAATCGTTAGATTAAATATGTAACTATCGCGTTATTCGTAAAAAGCTTTGATATTAAATATTCTATACCTTCAGATTGAGAACTTACTTTACATTTAGTTACTCTTTTGACCGTAGTTTATTTTTAATTTTAGTTTAATTAATTAATTTCAATCATTTCATCCTGAGTAATATTTTTACAAATCGGTATTTTTGGTTTCGTAAGGAAACATTTTTTTTGTAAATACGAAATTTATAGATAATAATTGTTGTTGAGATCTAAGACTTTGTGAGTTTTATTCATTTAAATGAAACTTAGTTTTTTAAAAAAAAATGTCGGTATATCCGAAAAATATTCGTTTCATTTAAATATTTGTTTTTTACAATATTTTACTTAAAATAACAAAATTTAGAATGGATGTACTTCGTTTCAGTGGTTTTGAGATATGTGAATATTCATTTACTTATACAAACATACCGAAGAGATGGACACAGAAACTTTTTTTTATTAATAAAGAGACATAATAAAGAAAGAGAATTATACTGGAGTTTGTAAATAAAACCTTTAGAGTATTATCATACTGTTTTAACCGATTTAACATTAAAATTTAAAATATAAAATTTGTTTTACGATCATCATATTAATTATATTATATTTGGAAGCGTTGATCAGTGTATGGCTTTTATGGGTTGTAAACAGTTTTGCAACTCTAATTATAATATAGAATAGTATTTTCTATAAAAGGATACAAGCATTAGGTAATAATTAAGTTGAGGTTGTGGTATTTATAATTTTTTTATAACGTATACATATACGACAGAAATAAAAACAGTTAAAGTTTGAACTTCACCTACAACTTATTCTGTTTTATAATACATCTGGTTACTTAATACCGGGTTTCCTATTTGAATCACATAACATATTTAACACATATTTTGAAATTACATCAATAGCAAATTTTTATTTTTAAGAAAATAATTTTTATGATGTTCTTCTTTTTTAGGTCGCATTTGGTCATTTTATTGTATAAGGAGCGGTATTGCTCAAGGATTTGCACATTCATTTCGCTGGCGTGGGAGACTGAGATACCAACTCCTTATAACTATAAGTTCAGATATCAATCGGACATTTGCGTGATTGTAAACGTCGTAGTTAGTGCTTGTTATCTAATTAATATAATAAAAGAAAATGTCAAGACTATGGATGTGTGCAACGGGCTTTATTATAGTATGTTTTGAGTTTCGAATTGAGGATTTTTTTTTTGTGACAATATTTAGATAAATTTGATTTATTGTACAGGTTCTAAGTATTGCGATACAAATAGAAGCAGTCACAGTGAACCCTTTGTGTCCTACTAATAAAATTGCGCCTCATCGTAGGGTGAGGCGTTTCAAAAACTCCCAGCCCAGAACATTTTACGCGTATTACGATTTATTGAGACCCGGTGGGTCTTACAATGCACCCAGCATATTGGAAGAAAAGCCCCAGGAGGACCCTGAAGATTGTGGAGAAATAGAGGATTATGATGAAAACGACGTCAGTTCAGGTAAGATTACTTTTTTCTCTATAAACTTTAAAATGGTTCAATAAAAATTAAGAAGAATTTGAAAAAGTTTGTAATATGTACATAAATAATATTAATTTTCAAGTTTTATTTAATACTTTTTATTAATAACTAAACTTTATTTTCACTTCAAATGTCAATGGCGAGACGGTAAGGTAAAATTATCCGTACGTTTTCAATATTTAGATTTACCTATGGCAGGGACAGAGATTTTGCAAGGTAGTTAATATTCATCATACTTACATATAAAATAGCATGAAATTTTGATTGTGTCTAATATTTACGACTTATAAATTCGTTTTATACAAATAACTTTATCTCAAGAATTTAAATAAACGTAATATTTAAGAATTACTACGCGTTATTTTATTAGTTTTAACTACACACCCATATAAACTTTAAAATTAGCTATAAACGTCAAGTCTAGCTATAAAGTTATAAGCGTCGTATATTTTATTTTTAAAGCTACAACTAGGAGAGGTATTCCTACATCCAATAGAAAATATGGTTTTTATAATCACTTTGGTTTCTATCGCCCAACACATACAACAAGTGCTCCTAATAGACAAACTCGACCCCCTTCAGGTGGATACTTTGGAAATAACGCATACAATCCACCCAAGCCTTTGAATCCTACAGGTAAATAATTATTTATTTTGTTAATTAATGTTAACATATACGGAAACAACAGCGGAACTTTCAAGGTACAATTAAAAGGTAAAGAGAGCGAGGCCTAGCTTTACTTCCACCGCTTACGTTAAATTATATTACATTAAAATAAATATTTTCTACAGGAAATTGTTAACATGTGTGAGTTTGTTTGTAAGTTTTTTTATACCAAAAACAAAGGTATTAAAACATATACTATACATATATGCATAGATATATTTAAACAAAACGGATTAATATAAACTACAACTTTTAATAATTAAATATGTAAGTTTCATTAAAGAAATATTTCTAGCTTATTTAAAACCAGTACGCGAGGAGGGTCATGAACCACATATGACGTATAAACCTGGTTTAGTCGGAGGTCCTAGTGGACACATTATAGGACTCCACCAAGTTAAACCAACAAGAGCTCACTTGGAATCTACTACACATAAGAAAAAGTATGAAAACCATGTACACGATTCCACAATCAGAACTAACAGACATACCAATAAAAAGAAACCCAATGGAGATCCAGGCATAATAGCTTCCTTTATTGATTTATTTTCCAAATAAAGCTATATTAAAATGTATTTCTTTTATCTCGTACATATATTCCCTTACCGTGAAAGTACTTGCGAGACATTCGTGCCTTACCTAGTTGTATAGCCTTGGTGGGTAGTGTCTACTATTGAAATGTCGCGTTTAGAGTCGCTTTGTTCTACTATAACAGACATTTCGTGTGAAAAATGGAAACAAAGCAAGGAAATTAAATTGAGCTCAGTCTATTAGAAGATCGGATGACTTCCTACGTATGTATCCAGTAATACGCACGTGACAAAGATGAGTTAAGTAGGTTGAGGATTAATTAGTATTTTTTGTTCATTTATCTAAGCCATTCATTTAATTAAGGAGTGTGATGATATCACCCCGTGGACTGAACACAACATGTATTTAAATGGTTTGGAGTGAGTCCAATGTACGCATGTGAATACTGTTTAAATGCTGTGAAGTTCTCAGAGGGCGTAGTTTAAAATGTTTTTAGTTTTAACGATTTTATTAACGTTTATTTCAAAATCAGTGACTTGTGAGGGTGAGTAAAAGTTAAATTTAATCTAATTGTTCAGTTTGAAATGACTGAACTTTTTATTTAAGGATCACCTTATTCAATATTTTTGTATTTTAGAACGTAATCCATACTTAGAAGCTTTAAGTCATAAACCATGGAAAAGTATTCAAAGCTATATCGAGGTTCGTCCCGGAGCCTTTCTTTTCTACTGGTTTTATTACGCTGATGGTTCTGTGAAAGGAGCTAGGGAGAAGCCTCTTATAATATGGATACAAGGCGGTCCAGGTTTAGCGGCCAGTGGGATAGCAAATTTTGCAGAAATCGGACCGTTGAATATGAATATGCAACCTAGAAATCATACTTGGGTAGGTAAGTTTGCCAAAAATGGACACATGCTAATGTTCTTATTATTATAAGATAGTATTTACGTTGTGGAATTGTTATATAAAGTTTAGTTGTTGTTAAATTAAATTTCTTATTAATTTTTCTCTATTGCAGGTTAAGGGTAACAATTTGTTACTAATAGATCATCCAGTAGGGACGGGCTTTAGTTATGCTACAAATAAATCTCTGTACGTTCGAAACGATAAAGGTGCCGGTAAGTATTTTGAAGTAAATATAACATAAATAATAAATCAAAGTTCTTTGAACTTCAACTATTAGTTTATGAAGATAGCCAATGTTTGTTAATAATATCTGTTCATTAATTTTGACCAGTGGGAGTTATATAAATACATAAATTCATTAGAAAAACAATCATGTTCACAATTTATTTCGCATAATTATGATGTATTGTTCGCATGTAACATATTTTGGCTGCGTAAATGATACGTCAAGGTAAAATGTTTCTATTGTAACGTCATATTATAATAATAATTATAATTATAGTAATAATGTAAAATAATTAGCGGTACTATGTTATTGTTTTTTTTGGAAAGGCCTGTACATTTAATTTAGGGCTGAAGGTTTTGGTGAAATTTCAAAATTAAATACTTAATATAAAATGATTAGATTAAATATACGAAGCGGTAGATATATGTAGAAGTGTATGTGTATACATTTATGTCTATGTATGACAAGAAAGGATCAATGTAGATTAACTTCAAAAAGATTTAAAAAGCTTATTTAATGACTTCGGTCTCCATATTAGGATTATACAAATAGGACGCCTATTTGATTCACAAAAATATTTCGTAACTAGCCGTATAATCGTTAAGTCGTCCGTCCTCTGATACTACGTCAACAATCCTTATTTTTGTAACATTGTGTAATACAATCGACTCTTTTTCCAGCCAGAGATCTTCTGAGAGCAATAAAAGAATTTTTTAGACGTCACAAGGAGTTTCGCAAGACGCCAACTTATTTAATCGGACAAAGTTATGGAGGTAAACTGTGTCCGAGGTTGGGATATTATTTGTATACGGTTTGTGTATTTTTTAAAATATATGTTTTATGATGTTGTCTTTTGATATTAATTTAAATACAATTTTTTTCGCTAAAGGCTATGAAGAATAAACGTTTAAAGATGAATTTTAAAGGCATCGGAATTGGCAGTGGATGGGTTGATCCAAAACAAAGCTCTTTAGTGCAACCGGAATTTTTATATAATATGGTAATATAGAAAATATCCCATAACTTTTTCAGTATGGTCTATGTTTTTTGTATTATTTAATTTATAAAATGACTTTTGTTTTATTTAAGGGTGTAATCGACCTGTCAACTTTCGTGAAATCAAAGAGGATTGTAAAGCAAATGTGTGAATTAATCGAGGCCAAAGAATACGCGACTGCCGGAAGGTTTTCTACTATACTGTTTAACATGTTTAATGTAGAAGCAGCAATGGATATAAACTTTAATAATATCAACCAAGAGAGCCCTTATCCAGCCCTATACCAATTGGCGTTAAAAGTCAACAAATACGTTAAACCAACTTTAAAAGAAGTGGATCAGAATTTAGACTGGAGTTTTATCTCTGATGATGTCTTCGAAAGTTTAAGCGAAAGTTTCCTTGTACCTTCTAGCAAATACTGTAAGTTTTATCAATCATATGTATTTAGTTATTATAGAAATTTAAGTTATTTGTCGGTATACTGAGCTAAAACTTTTTCCGTATATGAACTTATAGCCAAAAGTTATCTTATTTTCATTAATTTTGTTAAGTTAGTGGGAAAAAAATAGTTTATTTATAACATTTGGGAATAGTCCTAAGTATATTTTGAGGTCTTTGTCTAGTATAAGTAAATTAAGTTTACGTTTAAATCCCCAAAATAGCACCGGCCTTAAAAGCAAAGTATAACCTTCACAGCATTAGTTTGTTCGTGTGTTTTTTAATCAAGTTCATTTCTAAAAAAAAATCATTTGAGTGTCCAGAAGTAATAAAAAGACATATTGAGGTCTATAATTCTTAGAAGTAAATTTAATGTACTATTTCGATAAAGCAAGTCATGTTGGAGCAGTAAAAAATCTAAATTGTAAAATTTATAAATAAATTATAAAAATAATTGCCTTCTTGAGACTTAAATCTTATTTATAGTTGGTAAACTAAGTCTTTCTGTGTTATTGTATGGGGCCTATAATTTTCAGTCGATAAAATTTACTTTGTTTCTAAGCAGTGGCGGCTGGTGGGTTATCGAACTGGTGGTTCACTTTACTAAAATATTGACAAAAACAACAATTGACATAAAATATGTTTATTTTTTGTACATTAAATCAATGCGACGACATTTTTCTGTAGCGAAATGTTCTATCACCTTTTTATTAAAATCTGGTATTTTTTCTATAAATTTCTTTTCAATACTAAGCACAGAAAGTGCATTTAGCCGATCCTGAGACATGGTATTTCTGAGAAAAGTTTTGATTCTTTTCAGTGTCGAAAAACATCGCTCGCTCTCTACTGAAGTCATTGGTATAGTATAGATGCTCCTTCATAACTACATATATCCAACTCTGATACAAAGTCTATTAATCCACGAAACACTCCAGCATTACTGGACTCAATAGTTTCATCGTGACCTCGCAAAGCTAACTCAAATGCACCACAAAACTTGACACAATCGATAAGACGTGATAAAATGTATCTGTTTTTATCAACTTGTTTATTATACTTTTGGATATTACTTCTATACACAGAATCTAGCTGATTACGAATATCGACTGTGCCTAACACAGACAAACTCATTACATTTTGTAGGTGTACTTGTGAAGAATCGTGTTTTTTTTATTTTTTCACTTAAATGCGTCAAATCCTTGATTCCAGTTTCTGTCCAAATCGATTCTCCGCCAAAAATAATGCAAGGAAAACAAAAGAATGCATTAAGACGCTCACATCCACACAACCATTTCTTTCTATTATATGTACATTTCACTTTTAAAACTTCGTATAAATGCTTTATTTTTCGATTTACACTCTTGTTTTAAATTTAAAAAGGGCCGTGGCGGCCCGGCCAATTTTATGTTCACTTTACTTTGAAAAATTTTGTTATTTTCTTTAATATAATCAATATTTATACTCATTTTCAACCAATAAAAAACACAGTACAGAATAAAAGTTCTATTATAGAAACGAAATAAAAACTAAAACGAATTACGGAAATAATTATAAACAATAACGAATTAACGCGTCACGCATACAGTGAAAGTTGAAACAATACCAATAACGATTAACGAAATGTCAATCATAGCACCCATCCTTTCGGCCGGCCCCTTGCCGGCCGGCTCAATACGTCATACATCGGGTGCTCTCGGTAACCTTCGGCCGCTTCGTGCGGCGCGCGAGAACCGACTCGTTACTCGGTACATTTCTATGAACTATCTTTTGTCTCACGCGCCAGGCGTATTAATGCGTGTCTCATACAAGATGTATTAGCAGTCCTCGTGCACTCGCCGGAGCGCACGATATGAGTTTAGTAAAGCGCTCAAACTTTTTGACCATAATTGGAAATTAAATTTTTTATACCTTTTTGTATGTTTAAAAAATAAATATTAAAATGGTAATTTAAAAATTAAGATGACATAATATTTTGTAATTTTTAAATATTTTGAATTGGTGGTTCAGCGCACGGGCGCACTTAAGGTACAGGCGCCACTGTTTCTAAGCATAGGTATATTTGTTTTATCGAAATAATCATTACTTTCATTTTATTAAATTGTAATCGTTTTGCTACAAAATGACTGCAATTAAATAACAGTACTTTATATAATGATATCTAAGACATTTACTAGTAACCATTTAAATAAAACGAATGTTATCGGATTTACTACGCGTTTTTATGACATTAAAATAGATAGGTATACTTCAGAAGTTTCGGTTACGTTGCACTTGCAGCAACTGTGACCGCGGTCAGACGAGATGAAAATGTCATTTTAAGTATTGTATAATGTAGTAAATCCGAAAATATTTGTTTTATTTAAGAATTTAATGTGTTATACAACATGAAATGCAGATTGCTAGAGGATCTTTTTTAAAGCATTTTAAAAGTATAAAATCTTAGCAAAATATTTTGCATTTGACTCACTAATGTTTTCTAAACTTGTATCGGACATAAAAGCAAAGTTATGCAAAAATACAGCTGTATGTAAGAATTTGATTTAGATATATTATACCGAGATGTATTATTGTCTCAAACTATATTTTTTATTGATTACCAATCCTTTAAAATAATTAATAGCATTTTTTGTACTCATGTAAATTTTTATATTTAAAATTTCTTGATATTTTTCAGTAGAAACACTGTTAAATCATACGAATCTTCGGATAGCTGTTTATAATGGAAATCTTGATGTTGTTACACCTCTTGCTGGTAAGTTATTGAATCTTACTTAAAATGTTCCACTGAATGCATTATTATCATAAGTATATCTATGTATAAAGAAATGCTGTCCTAATTAAATGGAAATCGTTGAATAAATGATATAATTAAGGCAGATTATTATGATAAACTTTAAGATGATATTTACTGTAACGCTGGCGACATGCGAGAATGTCCGCGATAGTAAAAGCATATAAGGTAGGTACGGCACTTTCCCCGCGCATGAATTTCCCTCAGTGTTATTCTTATTGAAACTAATATACATAATGGATAGCTCAGTATGCTTAGCACAAATTTTCAACATCACAATGCCTACGAAGCTTCTCCCGCTTCAAATTCTAGAAAGTCAAAACTACGTAGGTATAACGTGTCAAGATGTGTGACAAAAACTTTTAACGCTCGGTATGTGTGATAAATTTGAAAAGTACTAAGTATATCGAACAATTCTTCAAAATCTCCGCGATTTTATTAAAGATTATAAAAATCTAAAGCACAATAAATCTTCTAACAACATGGCGACGTTTATTTCTGTTTAATAGCAAGTAAAAAATTTATTTTTTATTAACAGAGAATGCCAATATAACTTTTTTTATTCATGAGGGTTAAAACTGCAAGGAGTTTTCAATCACGGTCGAATCTATATGACGATGCGTTAATTCGAGGCAAGACTGAATGCGGTTCTATCCGAAGTGAAACCAGTCTAAAATGCCAAGTCTTTAAAAAAAATATATATCTATAAAAATGTTTTAATGAATTAAAATCAAATAATGACTGTTAGATTAACCAAATTACAATCCATTTATCCTTTTCAACCATACTTTTAAATGTATTAAATATGTATTAGAATTAAGTCCGTCCTATGAAGCTACAAAACAATTAGTTTTTGTGTGAGATAAGGAATACTTTATGTTGTAATTGTAGGAGCAACGAATTGGGTTCACGCATTAAAATGGCGCGGTTCAAAAGAACTAATGAACGCTACGAGAATTCCTATTAAAGGACATCGGAATGGTTTTTATAAAACTGCGAGACAACTAAGCCTTTGGTCTGTCTTTGGTTCCGGACATTGGGTACGTAGTTTATATAAATACAATTTATTTTCTATGTTATTATATACAGTACCTATTGATCATCTAAGTCGCATTGATTAACATATATTAGCTATTTTGATAGTATGTACTGTGTTTTTTTTTATTTTCAAATACATAATACAAAGAACCGTGGACTGCAATGAAAATTAAATATGAATTGTCCTAGAAATTTACTTAAAAAACACAAAGTAGAATTTATTATGATAATTCTTATAGATATTGAAATTTGAAATATACTGTTTTTGATATACATATTTACCGATTCAATATTCTTTGTAGGTACCAGAAGAGAATCCTGTGGCAATGGAAGAAATACTCAAATATTTGATGTCCGCTGAATACAGATAATCAATGCTGTTTATGTTGACGTTTATTTTTTCTGTTTCAATACTTTATTAATTTTATTCGTATATTTTTGTAAAATTATCATTTATATTAATAATAAATAAAACGAGTTAATAAATTAAAAGGTATAATTTTTCATAATTAGATTTACAAATTATTATTTACACGATAAAAATGTAAAAATTATTCACAATCATGATTTCTGAAGCACCTCTAGCTTTAAGCAATAATAGATTTTAAACATTTTATATTGAGATAATCTACAAAATGAAATTTTCGATATAAATGTTGTTTGTTAAAATAAATGCGATCGTGTATACGTTAAGGCGCAATTCGATGTTTTTTATAATTCCTCTCTCACTAGAACCATAATTTTGTTCATAGAAGTTTATTAAAAAACTAACATCAACAATTATCATCCATTTAATATAGAGTAACTTATCAACATACATAATTTAAATTCACATGTCAAAAAACTTTCAATAATATCTGTTTTAATTCAAGCTATTCAAATTTAATTATAGAATTGTTATAAATTCTAATGACAGTCAATCAGTCAGTTATATTTGAAATTACTACGTCACTCTAACTTCAGCGAAGCAATTGTCACAAACTCGAACAGGTTTGGTGTTGCCAGCAAGCGCTACAGTTTTTTCACTACACGCCCCGCAAAATATATGGCCACACCGTCTACAGTGATGCTAGAATGAAAAATAATATATTAATTCAATAATACAATATTTTAGTTATAAAATACATTATTAGTACCAACATTATATTAACTAATTTCAAATATAGAAATATTTAATAGGAATAACATAGCATCTTATTAAAACGTTGGCTGTATAAAGAAGCTAATTTAATGCATTAAAACAAAATTAACTTACTTTTCTTCTAGCAATAGTAAATTCTTTCGAGCAAGCTGTACATGCTACTGCGTCTTTATCGCTTGTCCAGTTTGGTGTATCTTCATTGGATTTTGCTTCTCTCTCCAAAAGTTCAGCTAATTGCAGTTTATTTTCACTTAAAGTAGCGCCAACTTCTTCTAGAGTTTTCTGTGCTTCGCTATATTGAATCTTTAATTGATGCTGTTCTTCTTGTAGCGACATGTATTTCTAGAAGATTAAAGATGGATATATTAATAAAATTTATTCCCATTAAATCAGCAAATAATTATTTGGTTTTTTTAATTATTTTCTATTGCATTTCGGAAAGGATTTTTAAAAGTGAAAATAGAGCATATGTTATATGGTAAGTATTTTATATATATTATGTTTACCTGTCCTATAGATTTTAGAGATTCCACTTCTTGTGTGAGTACAGATATTTTGTCACGATCCCGAACCATCGATTCCTGGAAATATGAGAAATATAATGTAATTTAATTGCGTTTCTTTTACGAAATTTATTTATAACAAACAATTCAATGAAATTTATCATCTCAAAATCATATTTGGTTTAGCTAAGTGTTTTGTTTATTAAAGTTTTATATGTGATTCTGACACATTCATGTTTCAGTATAGTACTGGGACGATGTTTGATGAATGCTCTCTTAAGGAAGAATGCATTATTTGCAATTAACTTAAGTGAAGTTGTAGTCACGTCGACATTTATTTGTAGTTACGTTCTTTTAAATTATTTTTGGGTTGAAGGCAGAATTTTTTGTTTTTAATTGAATTAATAAAATAATGTCTAAACCCAGAAATTTTAAGTCAACTTTTATTATAGTTTTAATTGATTAACAATAAATATTTTTCAGTGAAACTTTTAGAAGTTCCTTTCATAGAACATAAAAACATAACTACTATTTGTTAGAATAGTACCAAATTCGAGATTCTTATAATGGTATCTATATAGATATTCCTATAAGTTTATTAAAGCAATGTTTAGCTAACAGATTAAAATTAGAAAATATAGAAAAAAAAAATCATCACAAGTAGTAGTATTCGAATCTGTAACCTATGGAATATCGGAATAACGAACTTAGAAAGCGGTGTCCTCACGTAGAAAATAAGATTTTATTTTATGACTGTCCCATATATTTGTGCAGTTAATTATTTGATACATTCATCTAACGACCCTGTACCTGTAATGAGACTCTCCACTCCCTTTCTATCCTCAGATCTCCTTCAGCGGCTACGGCCCTTATCTCCGCGGTTGTAGCTTTCTGTCCCAAAGATCTAGCGGTTTCTTCTAAATTCTTTCTAGCTGCTTTGTCTTCCTGTAACCTATCACTAAGTTGTAAAGGATTTTTTCTTTCCGACTCAGGGTTCGATATTCAAATTAAAAAAAAAGCAATGCAAAATTTCGTACCAGCTTTTTTATTCCAAAAAGTTCATTAACGTGATAAAAACTTTTTGCAAATTATGAATTATGATTATTATATAAAAAAAATAACATCAAATGTTTGTTAGGTAATAATTCTTTGAATAATTTTTACGAAGATTTTTTGAGTATACTCCATTTAAAGACCCTATCAGACTATACGGAAAATATTGTTAAAAGAATCAAAAAAACCGTTTAATATTTTTAGTGTTGTTAGTTTAACGATTCAATGTTAGTAGTCATGCTGTAATTAATTATGATAATGGCAAACCTACACAATATAAAACAAATCAAAATGGTTGTATAAATGAAATACGTTGTGTGACTGAATATAATTTATTATTAAGAATGCTTTACATAACTAGAACTTTATTACAAAACTGTAAAATAAACCGACAGTTTAATTATTTGGTTTAAATACATCAGTTATAAATACAAATATATCATACCAAATAAAATCTAATTATAATAGATTTTAAATATATTTTAAAATATTAATTACATGAGATCTATGAGGATTATGTTAAATTAAACAAGTTCATATATTGTTTTAATTTTAAATATAATCTATATACTTTAGTATCACTGAAAATATACAGAATATAATTTTTTTTGTTGGTCACAAAATTAAATCTGAATACAATTCTATTCGATATATGTAATATGTATACTAGATAATTGCTCTAGCACATTAAAGCTATTACAGAGAATTACATAATAATGGTATTTGTGACCGAAACTTAAAATAAAAAAAACCTAACAAAACTTAACAATTTTTTTATTAAACCACAGCTAAAAGCTAAAGCAACGATAGCGCCACTTTTCCGCCACTAATGTGGTTTATAATTGATTTTTTGTCTTTATTAAAATATATATTATTATCAAAATATCAACGTTTCATTGTGGGGGTTTGCCAATATCATGGAAGTATTTTAGCAAGCGGTGCATCGCTCACACCTAAGTGCGCTTTATTGATATGTCAAGCAATACATTTTTTTTTAATAATAGGGTATTTGACTTATTTTCTTAGGTCTTACTGTTTTGGATCCTAGAAATTAAGATTTATATGATTTAATATTGCCAATATAAATAAAAAAAAAAATTCGTGAGGGTAATTGTTGCTATTGTTGAAATTATTTATTTTTTTATACATGTTAGTCAATTACCCCATTAAACAAACGTTCTAGGCACTGTTTGTTGAGAGCGAGGCGTATCTTAATAAAATGTAACCTACTTTTCATCAAGTTGATGTATCGTGCTGCCCATTGACTCAGTCTTTGCTTCCAATTTGGCTATTAGTTCAGTTTTATGTTTCAAGGAACTTTCACATTCCTAAAACAAAGCCATCGTTTAGCTTTTCCTTTTTTCCTGGTCATGTTAGTACAAGCATTAAACTACGTTATTGGGAGGGTTAATGAAGGCTAATTATTAATATTGTATAGCATTTTGAACCCCATATAGTCTAATTTAATAAATTCCGCTAAAATGTTCATCAATTAGTGGAAGATAAGGATATTTACATTAAAATTGTCTACTGATTATTTGTTTTATCAACGCTACTATTCTTTCGGAACGGTGGTATTTCTTGCAGGTTAATTTTTTTGTTTGGTGGGCCGTCGTCTTTTGTTTTCGCAACTTTTTGGCTACTGTGCGCTTTTAGCAGGTCTAATTTATCATTGGTGGGTGATTTGAGAGCTTTGACTAAATCATGGTCCGGTCCGAGGAAGTTGTTATATTTTTCGAGGTTGTGAAGTATTTTGCCAATTTGCTCAGCTTTCCCCTGTAGTCTGGAGACCATTTCGCCTTTCTGCGTCAGTTCCACCTCACATTCCTTCCGTTATAATGCCGCATTGACGAACACAACATGTTAGTATTTAAGCTCATTAATGCAAGCATATAACTCTCAGTTAATTTGCCAAAAAGCATAACAAAAATTATATGTAGGTTTCAATGGAACTATAAAGCAGCTAGACAGTTTGGCTAATAGGAAGGTGTCCGATACGATTTGAATTAGAAGATTTGGAAAACCGCAAATAAAAAGTTAAAGCGTAAAAATAATTTACGAACGCACACTAAACAATGCGATGTAAATAAAGCATGGGCGTATAATAACAATGTCGCCCACGTGGAAGACCTTCAAGGGGCAATGACTTCACGAACTAACTGTACTGAAGTAATTTTTGTTTATGAACGAACGTGTTTATTTTCTATCGTTCTTCATATGTTTCCTATCATACACTAGACTGTACGAATAATATCAACGAAAATAAACCGCTGACATAAATATTTACAGTGAAAAAGTACTAAAGTCTATTTCGATTGTTTTAGGTAACAAAATTATTAGAACGAAATAATTGAAATTTCTAAACGCAAATCGTTATCAAGGTTAGTTTTTCAACAATTGTTAAGCGACATTGTTAGGTATTGCTCAAGGGCTTACAAAATTAATGGTCCAAATAAAGGGTCAAGGTCATTCAAACTCCCTTACCTGTAACTTTTTGTACATTTCCAGGTTTATCAATTTAATATCATCCAATTGTCGTCTCAGTGATATAATTGTGTCTTGTTTATCGTGTATATCTTTCTCTAGAAGTTTCATAGCGACTTCCATTTCAGCCTTTAAAGAAATCTGTAAAAATATTAATATGCTTAGAAGATCTGTTAAATAATTTGTCATATATATATGATATTTTTAATAAAATATATACCTGCAAATCTAATTCTTTTTGCAGTTCCGCATTTTTCTTCCTCTCTTCCTCCAAACTCTTACAAAATTCAGTTTCCTTTTCGTTTTTGGATTTCTCAGACGTATTGCTCTTGACGCTCCTCTTTTCCTACGGGAATCAATAAAATGTATAAAACTACAAAAATATATTTTTTTAAAATACATCTTTACTACGAAAGTCATTACTTAATATCAATAACAAATAAATCATTATTTAATTTATGTCATTTTATAACAACAGTATTAAATTATTCATTCAAGGAAAACAATTAAGTTATGATGCTTATGATATCATGATGTCACGATATCAAAATAAAGCAATAATCACATATATTTCATACAAATGTTGTATTAAAAACTAGTATTTGTTCACGCTAAGCATTATTTGCTGTAAAGGATTCCATAACCTTCTATGGACATCAGTATAAAAACACTAACTACAAGGGACAGTATAAAATTTATTATTTATAAACAAACCCATAGTATTCTATAGAAAAAAACTATCTACAATAGCACATTGTGTGACATACACTGTTATAATCATGTGCATACGATTTGTATATACCGCTTGTAAATAAAGCTAGATACATAAATATATACAAATATTATTAAAACTCTTTTTAATTGTTTATTATTTTATCTAATAATATAAATCTCACCTCTTCCTCAGCTTGCATTTCCATCACTTTCATCCTGCTATCTTTAGTGATGTCCTGACCTAAACAAAAAGATTCACGTCACATACTAAATAAATTAAACCGTCTACATTATAAATAACTCACAGGTCCTCCAGCTTGTTTTGCTTTTTGATGTAGAATTTCCCATTGTAACGGTGAAATAAAAATTAATAACAAAACAAATAACGGTATCATTAGACAATAAACGTGCGATCACAACGGCATATTAATGCTAACTGCGAAAAGGTGTTGACTCAGTGGCTTATCTAACGCTGCCTATTGCGATTAACAATTTGTCCTTACTTTGGCAACTTATCTGTTTACGCGAATAACTTGTATCTTATTCGAATATAGAACACTTTTTGAATTTCGAATTTTAAATTGGCGTTCCGCTATTCTTAAATGTAGTTGCATTATAATTATTTCTATTTTGAATTTGGAATAGTGAATTTTATTTTTTTTAATGTTTGGTTATAACTTTTTTGAATTTAGTTTGCGCTATAAATAATTCTTTACGAATGTGTCATATTAGAAGACGTCAGATACAAAGAATTTATAGGTTGTCTTATTGTAGTAATGTAAATATTTATATTATTCTTGTTATTAAAAAATTTAATATTTTTTTGATAATAGTTACTTTATTTAATGGTTGTTTTCTTTTTAATGAGTACTGATGTTATCTAGTTAAGGGAATAAGTATAAAATTTGAGGTATTAAAATAAATATTACATCGTACATGAATTAAAAAAACAATACCTAATGCATGTTTCAGTTGATTGTTCTCTTCAACCAAGCTGATCATAGTGTTCTTCGCGATAGCCAAGTCTTCCTTCATTAAAGCGTTTGTTGTAGTCAAGCTTTCCACTTTAGATTGTAGATTTGTAACTGTTGCACTGTAAAAGATTTTAACTGTGATTTCTATAACTAAAAAACATTCTATCTCAAATATTGTTCATATTTTTATACAAATACAAAGATTTCTCTTTTCCCTTGAAAATACCCGCTAATTGGATCAGTTGCGGATGCAAAAAGATTTTAAGATTAAACTCGCAATTACATCTATTTTTAACTTGGACAGTCTTAAAAAAGATAATATCTTAGTTTTAGTATTGTAATATTTAAGAACATTTTATATATTTGGTCTATAAAAATCGTATTACATTTAGTTAGTTTTAAGTCTCTATTTTAATAATACTAACTTGAGATGTCTATTCAGTTCTTCAATGTAGTTCTTTTGATCCAACATAGTATTAATGTGGCGTTGTTTGGGCTCGTTATTACCGTTTCCGTTTCCAGCTAAATCATTTGATGAATTGCTGCCGCGGAGGTACAACGAGAAGTCTATAACACCCTGCTGACTGTCTAAATCTTCCTCCTAAAGAAATGATATATTTGTTATAATGCGTTTAATTAATACGCGATTAGAATTACCAGAAAAATATATGCAAGACACGCTATCTTAAGAACTTTATCTGAAGAATCTCATTATGTATATATTTTTTTATTAAATTATACAAGTTCAGTACAGAATCTATGATATCGGAGGAAAATGCAAATAAAAAAAATATTATTTATAAATATGGATGGCACAAATTTTTTACGGACTTACTTTGACGCAAAGATTGCAATCAACAACGTTAAGTCCGACAAGCAACCCTGTTATAATAACGGCTTCTTCGTTCAGCATCAAGGCGTGAGGCTCGAAGTATTCCTCGAGAGTTTCCTCTCGATGTTCAAGTAAAATTCTCAAATAATCAGCAAGTCTTTTTTGCATGAGGGCGAGACGCAACCAAGCCCTCGCTCGACCCATGGCAGTCCTACGATAGTAGATAGTATGAATCCCTACTAATATTATAAATGCGAAAGTAACTGTCTGTTACGCTTTCACGCCTAAACCACTGAACTGATTTTAATGAAATTTGGTACAGAGATAGATTAGACCTTGAGAAAGAACATAGGATAGTTTTTATCCCAGTCTTTTGAAAAGTTCTCTTGGAAACGCGATATAACCGAACTCCACGCGGGCGAAGCTGCGGGCGGAAAGCTAGTAAAATTATATTTTGAAATGTTAAATAAGTACCCTTTTAAAGGTCTTCCTTTCATTTAAAGCTTTAAAATTCATAAGTATGAACGTTATACTCGTTTATTGTTCGTACTGTAGTCAAACAAATTTCACGGTCTCATTTTGCAATAATTATGGGTAAAGTGCTTTGAATTGTCTACGGTATATATACATAAGTATATATATAAATATATAGGCTTACTTGACAGTCGGTAAATCTCTGATGCTGGCTGTAATATCAGCTGCCTCTGGCGAGTACTTTTCGACCATTTGAAGTATATCCCACAATTCCTTCTTCGGACCAAGTAGACCCTACAATGTAACTAATAAGTCAAATAAATCCAACAAGAATTTAAGGAGCATCGAAAAATTTTGCACTATGAGGCGATTAAAAAGATAACGGTAATTCATTAAGATGATAAATGAAGTATTTTTAATTAAATTCTTTTTCATTTCAAACATTCGTTTTGTAATTGTAAAATTTTGAATAAAAATTAGGAGCTGTAAAAAAATTAAACTCTATTCAGTATATATTACGGATTTTATGTATATTAGTGTTGCGTTAAGAATGACGTAAATTTTACATGACTTTACACTCGTTGCTTGATGTAAAAACAGCGTCGTGCAACCTATCTACCAGGATGTACATAGTTTGTGCCTACCTTTTTAGGTTTAAGTCCATGCCGCATAACATGCTCGAGAACAATAAAGAAGTGATGTAACGGCAAATGGTCACTGTCGAGCATCCGGCCATAACGAAGCGATTGTTCAATGAGTTCCTTAACAATCAGCTTCGAAATATTCACCAGATTGCTGCGCTCAATTACGACAGGATCGCGAGCTACGAATACAAGTAAGCAATTTAAAGTTCAAATTAATAAGAACGAGGAGTTTAATAAACATTGAAACCTCATTTATTTTGACGTATTTCCCTACCATATACGTATCATCCGTAAGATTATCATTGGAACCGGTTCGCTAAGTAAACGTTTTGATTAAAGATTACTAAGCCGGAGAAAAAACTTAGATCGACCTAAGCAGGTTTAAAATCCCAAATATGGAAGCACTAACGTTTTTTAACCGATATATACGACATACAGTAATTACAAATAAAATATTACCCATCAGAGAATGCATAGGATCGTCTGGAGACGTAATAGCTCCGTTGTCAGACTGTCGAGTGTAAGAATCCTGCATTTCTAAATCGTGTAGCTCCTTTAAACACAGCCACTCTCCATCGACTGATACGCGAAAATTACACAAGTAAATCGTATCCTGCGCGCCGGCCATTTCACCATCGGGATTTTCGTCAACTTGTAAACCAGATGTAATACCCAATTCTGGCAAGGGATCCACCCCACGAACCGCGGTTAAAGAACGCATAATAAATCAGCAAAGAAACTTTGAAGCGAAACAACAAACGGACGTACGGAAATCTTGATTACTCTTCCACGTACATTTTTAGTTACGTTGTTACAAAGTAAAACTTCGATATAATAACACTTCTGTTTTTGCAAGACGAACACCCCACAGGACTAAATATTAAATATGTTTATCATATGAAAGCACCTCGAAGGACAATGTCACACAATTGGGTTTTCCCGTAACATTAGACAGTATATTGATTTTCTCGGCAGCCCATGCTAGGGGAGAAAATCAATACTTTCATACAGTGCTGCCACCTCTTGCAACAATGAAACAACTATTTTTGTTACCTCTTGAATATTTAGAGCTACAAACACTGTGTTTTAGTATTGCAATATTTCACATTCGCTTATATATTATTTTTCAAAATATACCTAAAAGTAGAGTTTATTAGAGCTTCAATTACAATTATTAAAGACAGACAATTCGTAACAATTTCATAAAAACTCGGACGTTTTGAAATGCGAAGTATTTTTTTTATAGATACGGCAATACCTGTCATCGACATGGTTTCAACCCAATTTTTAGTAGTAGTATAATATTCTTTAATTCTACAACAATTAGAATTCACAATCGTTAATATGACAACACGATTCATAATAAAAACTCTGTGGTTTCTTAACGTTTTTAAACCATTAAATATTCCAAATATTTAAAAGTTATTGAATTCGAGATCGTAAATTTATAACGTAGAAATAAATCTTATATACTACCGTTTTTTGGTAACTTAATGACATTTCATTGTGAATTGGTCAATTATGATTTCGGGACCTATGTATTATAAAAGGAAGTTATTTCAAGAGGCTTTCAATGCTCTATAAAAAGTATGTTTTTAAAGTTCCCTATGTCAAAGAGAAAGAGGCTCTTATCGGTTTATTTCCTCGCATTTCATTTTTGATCCGTCTCTGTTATTTGTGACTTATAATGTACCTAAATATTGTACTTAATGAATTTGTGAACGTTTCAAGTTTAAATGGGGTAAATACATATTTATTTCAGGCGTTTGAAGCACTTTTTTTTTAAATTAGTTTTTTGAAGATTTTTTAACTTATGGCGAGCAATCTAATTGAATTATATAATCTGATAAAAAAATAGAAACATCAGTAACAAAGTATAAAATGATAGAGATGCAGCAATAACAAAGAGAAAATATTAAGGCATTGGAAGGAAAAGTAAGATTTGTAGATCACCATATCAATTAAGGTTAACATTGCAATTATTGCCATTTAAAACATTAGACAAAACATGAATAATAAATAATACTTGAAAGTTGACCATTCTTAAAAATGAAAGTGATATTTACTAAGTCATAAAAACATTTTATTTCGAGTTTTTATTATTAATGTAATTTTAATGTTAAACAGCTGTATATGGCATAATATTATATTAAAACCATACACTGCTTACAATATGTAGAGTTTTTTTAATGGAATGTTTATTTACATTAATGATATCACATATTTTTACTCATATAAATGTTTTTTATTCATGTTATTTTAAGCTTTGATATATTTTATAAAATGTTATGTTACTAATATAAGATATTTAAAAATAAATTTAAAATGAATTGTGTTAAAATAAAAAATGTCATTTATACAATAAAACGATTTGAATAGTTCATATAAGAATACTATTTGTTGACGGAATGATGTCTTCCTATACTACTAAAAGGTGCATTTTCTCTAATATACCTCTCCATACATATAATCTCAGATGTGGACATAAAACACGAAAACAAAAAGCAAATTAGTAGCATTCCAGAAAGCAGTATAAAAAATCATTGAAATTGAAGTATACAAAGAGTAAGTATATAATATAAAACAAAAAATGGATATAGTAAATGCTTTCCAATATACTTTGAAACATAATGACTGTTGGAAGTATATGTAGCCAGAATACAGGGATAAGATAGGTTTTAAGTATGGAAAGGATGGGGGTGAAGCTTGAACATCATAAAAAAGTAAAAGAGAGTTCACAAAAAGTAAATGATGAAAGGACACCAAGTAAAGATGTCTGGGAATAGATGAAAAGGATATTTACATCAATGGTACAGAAGAAAATTATGATAAAAAGTAACAGTATACCCAAAAATACAATAGAATACAGTGTAAACTCTTTATAACATTATTCTCTATAACAACAAACTCCCTGTAATGTTGAAGTAAGCCCCCCTTGTTTGGAATGCGTTAAGACCCACATATTGAAACACTCTTTATAGCGATAAGCCATTCTCTATTACGAAGAAATGTGTTTATATTTTGAGACAGTAAATATTAATAATTGGTATTCGGTACTTCAACAAGCAATAGATGAAAATAAGTTGGTAAAATTTTTTTTATAAATAAAATAGGATCCATAAAATAATGCAAAAGAAGTAGTGGCATAGCAAAAAACATCAGACAAAGATGAGACTTTGTGTAAACAATAATTTATAAGCATTTATTATCTAAGAAATATCTAATAAAAATTCTTGTTAATTTGGTTGTGTTTTTGTTCACTCCATACAATAATAACTCTCTCTAATGAAAAAAAATGCTCAGTCCTTTGAGTTCGTTATAAAGAGTTTACACCGTATATGTGTGTGTCTGAATTTGTTAGCATGGGAGAATGTTAGTATTTTAACCTTATGAATATTTCATTAAATAATATATTGATGAATAGAATCAAAGAGTAAAAACTTAATATTTTAAGAAATGAATATACTCATCTTTTGTTTATATACACATATAATAGAGTTAATTAAATATTATTCAAATTTAATGTTAAATATGTATATGGAATAATGAATACTGGGTAAATAGTGTATAATAAAGTTATGTATTATAGATGAGAAATCAGTTTATATAACGAAGAATATTTGGAAGACTAAAATTACTTCCCATTCCCAAGCTTATTCAATGAAACTGGCAACCGATTTAGAAAATGTTTAACCTATAATGTCAATATTTACAAAGTTATGAGAATAAATATTTTGTTATATTGTACATGTGATTTGATATAATGTAAACAAATATATAGCATAAGCAATAAGTTCTTTGGCACTTAAAATTTATCAATTGACTTTTTAAAGCAAACTGAATCTATATAGTCTAGAACCGTATATTATCACATCTACGAATCCATAGTCATTGGTTTTATAGAATATTTGTTTTGGAATATAAGCTAATAGTATAAAAACAAATCATTGTGTTTGTGATATTTAATTAGAAAACATAATATTATCAAACTTACATTTAGTTTTGAAATAGTATGACTTTTCCGGCCTGGACAATATCAATTCCGGCCATTTATCTTCCTTATTGGAAGACACTGAAGGAGATCTCTCAGCTATCTGTGATCTTAATGATGTGGTAGAAGTAGCTGGAGATACTTCAACTTGCTTATCTTGATTAGTCGCCATCACTTAACATTATCTATAGTGAGTAACTATTTTACAAAACATATTTTTCAATAAACTTTTTTTACTTGACGTGTCACTTATAGTATCAATATGTCACTGTAAGAATTGACAACTTATATGTCTATTGTAAGACAATGACAGTGATGCCAATTGTGCATTTAGATAGACCGTTCCCTAAAGCGCTTGGTTTCATAAGTAGCATGGACAGAAATTTTAAAATGAAATTTTTAAAAAGAAATTTTAAAAGAAAGTAAAAAATGAAAATTTATAGTATGTACCCCCTTTGTGGTACGAAAATGTAAAATTTGTTTTTTATTTTCATTCCGGTCACATTTAAAAACGTAACTTTCAATGAAAACATGTTTTCCAGTTATTAAGTCACTAGAAAATATTTAAAAAATAATTGTAAAAGTTGGACCCAATAAAAAACTTAAGTTTTTATCACGAAATTAGAATCGAATGATTTAACATGATATATCATAATTGTATAAAAAAGTTATATGGGATATAAGTTAAAAAGATTTATTTACTCAGAGAATAATAATATTTAAGTCCCACGTAAGTAACATAGTGTCTTAAAACACTTCAAGTCTTAAAATTTACCCCTAGTTGCGTAAGAGGGCGCTTTTAACAATTTTCAATTAACATGTTAGTAGTAGAATAAATATCTTTGTTTCCATTAACTTTATATAATAGTTTTATCTCGTCAAATGTCATATAATTTCTGTACTTGTTTTCACGAATATAATTACTGATTCAGACTCTTTTATGCTTCATGTGTCTCGTTGTTTTGTCAATATTTTGTCAATTGTCTTTGACAAACCTAAATATTTAATAAATTTAATAATCACTGTTGATTAGTTTAATCAAAAACAATGAATTTTGAATACAAACCAGTATTGAAACCATTAAAAGTTTATTTCGTTAATCCTCTAGCTCCAGCATCTCAATTAGCAATAGTGAAAATCATGTCTGGTTTAGTATTCGGCAATGAGCAGTCGATTGATATGACTCTGGTAGTTTACTCTAATGAGATAAAATCTGCTGAAGCTTTTGGATTGGAAATAGAATCATGTGCCTTTTCATGTACTAATTCGATAAAAGTGTCTTCTGATTTGCCTTGGTAAATATCTTCTTATAAATTAAATGGTTTAATTAAGTTAGTAAAACAACAGTTTATTTAATGAGAGCTTAGAAACATTCACTCAGAGGTCTGGTGTAAAACACCTAATTAAAAACTTTTCAAGTAAGACTTGGGCTTAATATGTTCGTGAAATAATTTGATAGTTTAAGATTTTAAAAAGGTTATAACGTGATTTCTGTTATAAGAAAACATTAATAGTCAAAAAAATAATAGGTAAATTCAAATTATAAAACAGATTAAAAATAGCATTAAAGATAATAAAACAAAATTTTTCAGCGTTTCAGATGCTGATGTTATTTGTTTTATAACAAATTTTAGTAACCCAAATTATTTTGGTTTGGAAGTGTCTGAGGAGGAATTTGATGCTTTATATCTTACAATAAAAGTAGCTCTTAGTTTGAAGTGGGCAGTTAATAAAGGGAATACATTAGAAACGTACAAAGAAGAACCAAACTTAAAGATGGTTGAACACGATCAACCAAACCCCGTATTCATGACCGATGGCTTAGTGGCAACAGATATTATTAAAACACTATCCAACAATTTGCCTCACAATATCTTATTCTATCCAACGCCTTTAACAGCAATCGCTAAGTCCGTTCTAAGTGATTATTTAGACGTAGGTACATTGTTCAAATAAAAAACTTGGTATTAGACATAAACCGTCAAAGGATTATCTTTTGTTTTCTTAGATACCCTGCAAAGTAATCAATGATATTTTTGTTTGGGCCGCTAATGACAAAGTATTTCACATTGAAGTGCAAAAACCTTTGATAATTGATGACAGCATAGAAACAAAATCGAAGTGTGATTGGGATATGGTTGGAAAAGATTTATTAAAAACTTTTGATTTAGATTCAACCCAATTAAGTGCTTCTTGGTTAAAGAAGGATTTTATTGAAAAAGTAAGTGAACGAAATCATTCAGCATTGTTTATGATTTAATTTTAAAAAATAATAATATTAATATGTACATAAAAAATAAAAGTTGTATCAACTTGCATAAGCCGATTTAAATAAATAAGTTCATTCGAATGGGTGGGTTATAGAAATGGAAAATTCAGTATTTTTTTAATTGAATATCGCATTTAATTTTAATAATAAAGGTAGCGTCATCTGCGTCAAAGAATCCTTATGGAAGTATTTATAGGGCGGTAGAATTTACGAAAAGTTTAAAAGACATTTGGCATACGCGTAATCACAACGACGGGAACAAACTTTGCAGAAACATTGGCTGCATTAGTGATGGTTCCTTGGGAACTATTAAAGGTAAAACTTACGTTAAAATTCTGCATTCATTTTTTAAATTACATTTATTTTCATTCCAAGTTAAGGATATTATTCATGATTAGTTAATATGATTATGAACAACATATAAGAACTTTCTAATATTACAATTAAAAATAAACTTGTTCTCTAACAGGCTACCCGTATGTTTTGCCAATAGTATTTCAAAACGGTATTTGGACAGTAAACGACATTTTCTTAGACACCCATCTGAAACAGGAGATTAAAAGGATGAACAATACAGTCAAAGAGTGCCACGACAAGGTATTTGTGTGAGACATGTATTTTCGATTTACTTCATATTTAACTTAAAACTTAGCTTTTGAAACATCGCCTATTTCGGAATAGAGAAAAGGAATAATAGTTATGTGATTCAAAAATAGATATGGATACCAAATAGCAATCAGTCATAATTAAACAAACCAATCTATAGTCTGTGTTACGTGACTTCATACAAAATACAACTGTCATGTCGTGTTCCCGCGGGAACCACACAGAATTCAGGCATAATTATGGCCTATATGTTATTTTGACGTACTTGGTACACAATTAGAAGGTGTTCATCATTTCAGGTTCAGGTTTTTATCCTCTTAACACTTTTGTTGCTTCCAGGATAAATTACAAAGATCCACCTATTCTGAAAAAAGTTTAGGAATTTAATATTTAGTAGTATTAATGACAAATAATAATAATTACATACCAAAAAGTAACCTTATAGTTTAATGAGACCTTTTTAAAGTTTTTGTTACAGGAAATATAGTTTCCATCAAATTTATTAATTTTATGGAACATTAAATGTCACTAATTATTATTAAAATAAAAAACGTATACAGTAAATACCACCTTGTTCACTAATTATTATTATAATCATAATGTACGTCATTTCATTAAAAGTTACTAGAATACGTTGTTAGACTTAACACTCGTACAATATTCCACATCAAAATACCATTACGTACAATCACTTTTCCACACAAAGTGTAAAAGTAAACACGCTAAGTGACCGAGATCCCTCTGATATGCTCTTTCGTATTTATCTCTCTGGTTTTTGTGTACACTTTATTTAAATAGTTTCAGTATTGCTTTTGTTAAAATCAGTTTATTTTACCTGCGCTAATTGATAATGTATTCCTTTTATTTCAGTTAACTTTACATTGCAAAAAGTTTCTGCAAGAAAATGTAGATTACTTTAGCGCCGAAGATAACAGTGGTACAACGTTTTCCTAATTTGGCATCTTTAGATTTAATTAATACTTTTAAAATTATCTTTTAAAAATATCTTTATATTAGAAGTTTATTTATTTGCATTATTTGTTTTCGTCACTATTAAGAGGGGATTAATAATAAAGAGGATTATTTATTAAACCTGTATGTACATTTATTACTGTTTTCTCCTTAATATTGGATTCATCTTAGAGTCACAAATTCTATTGGAGTTTATAAAAGAAATTAATTAATAAAATTGTCAACTTCGGATAGAATAATTTAAAATGACTATTTATTCGCTTCTAAACATCTAAAGTAGAATATAAAATAAATTATAAGTATTAAAAGCAATTAAAAAATATATTTTGATAGGTAAGAATATTTTTGGTTACTATTAATTAAGTTTAAAATTAGGAATTTTTGTTCTAAATAAATAATAAAAATAAAAGTTATACAAGGAATTATTGCGTAACAAATAATATTAAACAGAATTAGTAGATGAAGCAGACAGTTGAAGGAATAGTTACACAAAGTGAGACAGTAAAGCATAGTATAGTATATCGCATTAATTCTTAGGATTCCTATTAGCAGAAACAATTCCATTCGCTGGCAGACTATCACAGTGTCAGCTTGATCTATTAGCCAGGCGACTGCTAACACTGTAAGGGAAAAACAAATAAAAGAGCATTTACCGACCGATTAATATTCGACGGACTACGGTCTCGGCTCCCTGACCACATCGTTTGTTTAACCTCTTCTGTCAATTTGATTTTCGACCTCAGGGTATGTAATTTCCATTACGGAGGCCAAACGCTTTGTTTGTTGACGTTCAGAGCAATAAAGCTTGCAGATCTGTTTTATCAATTAGTTAAGGACCATCCCCCATATATATCGGTCTAGTAAAGGATTTATGGCGCCTCTAAATGAATTTATGTTGAAAGAAAACTACAGCATACTTAAACTGTAGCAATTACTTGAGTAGTAGTAAGAATATAAATAAAATCAACAATAGTTAATAAAAAAACATCTGTTATCCGTTTGTAACACATGAAATATGTTTGCTAACATTGTATGTGAGCTATCACCAAGAGATAACACGGAATGATGATAATTCGAAGTTGAGACTTAGCTTCGGTATCTAAATAGAGAAAGCGCTTCAGGCAAGCTTTCCATATATCTAAATATGTAATTGTACGGAGACTCATGTTTGACGAGGGGACTGAACTGGAGACAGTATTGTGTTAAAGATTGATGGTCTGATATTTTTTATGACGTACAATGCTATAAATCCTCTACTGAACTTAAAATAAATAATGGTATTTTGTGTTGAGGCTGTAAAAGTTATTATAATAAATAAATCTTGAGACTTATAAGAGATCATTCTTATTAGACTTATTTATATTTCGAATTATTATTAAGAAAGAAGTATGAGAGCGCTTTTTTCGTTCAAAGAATTCAAATCAAACTCGTCTCATTAGTCCGTAAGGGAAAACTTGGATTAGTTGTCCAACTTCTAGTAGTGAACTGGTCTGCGTTTGCGAAGAGGACTTCGTTAACTTTTCTTCTTTAAAACTTAATTAAGGTAGGTGACCCAAATAAGGCCTATGTCTTAATAAGGCCTATTTTTTGAATTTCCCACTTCACGATATCAAATGTCCGCCAACGTTTGTAGATGTGTGCGTTTATATAAATTAACACCTACAAGCACATCAAATGACCCGTGCCGCGAGCGGGTTCGAACCTGCACTCGAAAACAAAAACGACGCGGAGATCACGCTTGTTTTTATAAAATTCTAGTAGAGGTAACAGTAAGTATTTTCATCTTTATTCGTACAAGGTGTACTGTGTTTTGTATATAGGATAACTATACGTGTAGTCATCTCCTCACATAAGTGAAAAAGCTGTAATATCGGTGTATTCCATATAATTGTTGTTTTGTTTATCCATGTGCCATGCCCTAATAGAGCCTACAAAAAATGTATAGACTTTATCACGGTACTGGTACAGATCTTATTAGGACAATGTTTTATGTCATTAAGAAAGGTATCACAGTAAAATAGTAAACCCTTGTTTTTAGTAACATCATGGTTATTTCTCAAATGAAACCCTGAATTAGCACGACGTAAAGCACAGATGATGAATATAGTACTTTTGTTTGATGAGAAACTCGTTAAATCTTATTTAACATGATCAAAAGTAATTAATGGGATCTCATTAGATTTAATATAAGTATTGATAACGTTTTGTATTCATTAAGAAGTTGAATGTTTACTTGTTATTATTAAGGCCTTATTAAGACACAGGGTTCTCAATAAGGCCTAAGTGATATTTTAGTTATTTGTGTTCACAAAACTGTGATTTTTGTTCCTAAAGTAATTTTGTTTGATTTATTACAAAGTTTAATAAATAAATATAGTTATTTCAAATTACCAGTACATTATTATTATAAACCCGCTAGTTAGATAATAAAAAAAATAAGGTAGGCCTTATTTGGGTCACTTACCTTACTTTATAATGTTTCTCAATCTTGAAGAGTTTGTATCATACGCTAAACATATTACATGCGGTATCATTTTTAATAAATCCTGATGTAAGTAAAAAACCTATAAAGTGTAAAGTATGATAGTATAGGTTTTTATGTTACTATAAGAGTCGTACTTTACCGTTCCGCGTTGGACGGCAAGTTTTATAAAAGTGTAAAAAGTGGCCGCTAATACACGCCGTTACTTTTTACCCTTCAGGGGTTTGAAGGTCTTAGTGTCACATTAACGCAAGCGAGCTCCTGCGAGTTTCCAGCGCGGTTGTGTCGCTCCAGAGACATTCGTTATCTGCCCCAGCTTGCTTGGATTTATTGACTTTTTTCCTGCCTTAATTTCCAGAGATTCGGTCGAATGGATGAACGCTACCACCGGAACATTAACGTCGCCCGAGGGAAATATCGTTTGTGTTTCATAGTATTTCGGTAATGTACAAGATTGAAATGTAAATAGAATTAAATTAACTAGTATCTTGATAGTAGTACTTTATCTTTCGTGTTCTAATTCTACATAAATGTTATAATTATGAAAATATGATATGTTATCATACAAAACATGTATGTTGATAATATGATTGAAAATTTTGGTTATTTTTTATTAACAATTAATAATGCTAGGTGGATCAGATGAACATTCGTTAAAAGTTGTGGGTGATAGTAATAAAAGGTACAAGAGAACCGAAAATGCTGGTGCAAAGGCTGGTGAAAAAACTCGTTTTTTTATAAGTAAGCATGTAAGGGTAAAAAAGGATTCAAGGCTTAATGTTATTCTAATCCTATAACATAAATTGGATCGCGGGCTGGTAGGTCGAAAAATTTGTTTAAAAATTCAATACTGCCTATAAGGAACTCGTTTTTAGAAAGCAACGGCCTGCGA